AACCTGGAATGGTCGGGGCGAAAACGACACATCACGACTGGACAATGCGGGTGGTTCATTTGTACTCGGTGGAAGTCAACGAGAAAGCCTGTTTATGAACCACGATCGGTACGTGTAAAGAGTATTTGATGGACCGGGAGGTGACCGGTGACCGGTGACGGGCGATGGGAAGTATTACGATCAACTAGCCATCGACTCCCACTGGTACTCACCCTCCGGCTGCAGCTCGTCCGACCATGACGCATAGGCATCTACGGTCCGCTGCAGCTTCGCCAGCGTACCCCGCACCATCGTCAGGCAGTCCTTGCCCAGCGGAAGCTGGATCGGCGGGTCTGGCAGCGATGTGATTTTGTACATCATTTCGACGGCCGTGGCGGGATCCGCCATGTTGGGCGTGTACTGGACGCCCTTGGACCGCTCGCGTTCCCGCCAGGTCGCGGAGGCAGGCGTCATGTAGGCGGGATGGGGCGGAGCGTGGACCATCTTGCTAAGCGCGGGAGTGCGGAAGCCTCCGGGCTCAACGATGCAAACCTGAAGGTGGTACTCTGTTAGTTAGTTCAGTCGTCGACCTATTACCAAGGCGAAGGAAGGCACCTTGATGTTCCATTCCGGATTGAGCTCCGCAGCAAGACCTTTGGTGAAACCTTCTAGCGCTGCCCAAGTGCGTGTCAGATCCTATGCGTGCCCTGAAGTCGCAGTTCCTACCATGCTTGGGCGCGCAGTAATAGGACAGCCCTGGAAGGCCGATGAGACCCGAGGCGGACGACACTTGCAGCAGGAATCCACCCGCGGGCTTGTTTACCTCACGGAACACGCGGACCGCCTCCCTGCTGACGTTCGCCGCGCCCCAGAAGTCGACCTCCATGGCCTCGCGCGCGAGGTCGTCCGGTATACCCTCCGCCTCTCCGAACAGAGCATATCCGGCATTGTTGAAGACGACGTCGATACGCCCGAAGTGCGCTGCGGCCTTGTTGAAGGCGGCTTTGATCTCTTCGTTGTTCGTGACGTCGAGCTTGGCTACGAGGAGGCGGTCGGGGCCGTATTGCGACGATAGGTCTGCGATGGCCTCTGGCTTTCTCAGTGTTGCGGCTGCGCTGTCTCCGTTCTTCAAGACGAGCTCGGTCATGAGCCTCCGAATCCACTGGAAGCACCAGTAACTGGATAGGTGTTATCAGGATATTAGTATGACGCGGATCGATGCGACGGGTCGTCACTTACTGAACCAGACTCTTCCAGTGACCATACTGTTGTACAGATTCAGACCGGGCACGCAAGAGAGGTGTGCAGTCGCTCTCCCGATGTCGTCTATTATAGTCACGCTGCCCAAGTTATATTCCGAGTGCCCGCAGATTCGCTTCCTACGAATGATCTGCTTATCAGCGCAGAGCGTCAACTTCAATTCACTATGTCCGCCCACCAGTGGCCATTAATCATTGGTGACACATCTGTGTACCTGGGATTCACACTCGGGAGTCGGCGCCCACAACTCGGGCGGGCTGGAGGCCGCCCGAGTAATATGTTGGCCGCTAGCCACCCACAACGACAAATGTGTTCTGACAATGGATCAGAGTGAGTCGGATGAGTCGCAGTGGCACTGCGAAAGCACCCACTGGCAGTGATGTTTCGCTTGACGGGGTTCAACCCTATCGAAGCCGCCTTTGGGCTTGGAGTGGCCGGCCTAAAGTCCGTCCAGTAGTCGACAAGTTGACCTGTAGAGTTTCTGAAGACGGTGCTGCAGCTGAACACTCCCAAGTCGTACCAGATGAAGACACAGGCTTGAAACTGTTTCCCACAATATATGTGATTTCATGTTGAGATCACGACGAGGGGGAGACGGCACAATTGCACTCACTGCCCCCTTACTATTCCCATGATTGAATTTGTCTCAGTAGCAGCATGGACATCACTTCCGACTGATTCGAACGGAGTGGCAGTCGGCCCAGCCTGAGGAGCGTAATTCGCAAGTGCTGCCGATAACTGACTGAAAAGGTTGTAGAAAGGGTTGAGATGGTCATTGGTTGAGATACTCGATATACGTGGTGTCACGGTCACGCGACTGTGGCACCCGCAGTGCTGAGACAAAGATGGCCAAACATGGATCATCAACTTCCTGAACTCGTTCCGCTGCTGCATCTGTACTATGACATCCCAATATCTCGACATCCAGTCCATGGCTGTGATGCAGACCCTTCTTCCATTTCAACGACTGCGAGTATTCAGCCCGGGTCTTAGAGCGTCTTATGCATCGTGTATCATACCGGAACCCTGCTAGTCGTCACAGCTCTCGCCCATGCGCTGCACCTTGAAGCTTGATCCTTCTGTCTATGCCGGATCATGAACAGCTGCTCTCTGATTGTGTCTTCTCCTGTGCAAGCGATCCTAATAGCTGCTGGGGAAGTCCAATCTCAGTCAACGTCTGGATTTCCGCAGCTATATGATCATCATAGGAAGCGTACACCCGCACTGTGTCCGCTCTTGTCCGCTGTCCACCGGAGGACCTTGCCGACAATTTCCCACCTGTGGTTCCACTGGCGCACGAGGGGACTTTCGGCCTAGGGCATGATTGCATCTCAGCGACTTCTTTGGGACGTTTTGCGCCCTTGCGAGGTGGGCAGCCAAAGATCCTGGTTGACCTGTCATGGTTTCTGGCAGGGGCGGTGTCCGGTCTCTTCAAATCGACTTCATCGGCGGAATATGGCTACTCCTCCAGCTCTGCTATCGTGCAACGTGCCTGCTGGTGCTATGCAATTGCCTTCGTCCATGAGGATGCTGTGAGTGCTTCTCCAGAAGTTACACACAACGACCCGGAGCTATGCGCCTTCACTACCATCAGCCACCAGCAAAATCTTTCGTGTTATCCAACACATAGGGTTGCATTCTGCAGGTATGCGCGAATACGAAGTGCTTACCTGGAGCCATACAGGTACCAGGACAAAACACAAGGCGTCGGCAACTCGTGTAAACAAGGGCGAGTAAGTAGCTGGAGACGCCTGTTATGCATACGATATATTTATATTCGGAGGCGGTGATGACCACGAGGTTTCCCTGTGGCATATAGCGGGCGCTGCGGGCGCTGGAGACATCCCGCAGTTTGTACTCGGTCTCGCGCACAGCACCGCACCAAGGTATAAGAGCTGTTCGGTACCTTCAGTGGAACGGCCGACCCACCCACAATGAAGCAGTACAACATCAAGCTCACGTTCGGCGAGACTACTCGTAAAGTCGCCTTCGCCTCTCAGCCGACCTGGCGACAGCTCGTGGATCGCGTCGAGGCCCTTTTCCACGTCCCTGCTAAGGCAGCGGCAGTCAAGTACACGGATGAGGACGAGGACGAAGTCACCGTCAGCACCGATGAGGAGCTGGAGCAGTACTATGACAGCCTGCAGACCGATCCCAAGAACATCAAGCTCGTGGTGTGCAAGTTGCAGGATGCCGCTGCGGATGTGGAGGGACGTCAGAAGGGGCATAGGAAGGATCTGAAGCCGGAGATCGAGTCGTCAGGTCAGCCTTTCATCCTTGTCCACTCTAATATGCCGACGCGAATCCTCATACATTCGTAGATCTCGACGATTCCAATGATCAGGACTCTCAACGCGGCCCGGGCCCTACACGTAAATCGCACGCGCATTCCGCATCTCATAGTGCATCTCGCACAGCCGAGACTTTGACTGCTCACGGGACGGGACGACGGAGCCCACCGTCCACCACCGGCTCGCCACCTCCTCAGGGTGCGGCTAAGCGCGGAGACAAGCGCCGTAAAGGTCGCAAGGGTGGACAGCAAGTGTCGGCTGCCTCCGCCGCGCCTGCCAATCGGTCTGGCGGGGGCCGTCATCAGGCAGCGCCCTCTCCTCGCATCCGTGATATGGACCAGCCGGCCCATAGCGCGCACGGTCATCGGCGCAATGACGAAGACGATGAGATGACGAAGCCGACGATGACGATGAAGCCGACGACGACGATGACGACGATGGCGAGGATGCGGACGGAAACGATGGTGGAAAGTCCTTCGCCGTCAGTGTCAACATCGACGACAACAACGATGACGGCAGCAGCAGCGACGACGATGATAACGGCGACGACGACGCCACGAATCCCGGCTTCGAGAACGACGGCCGCTCGCGCCGCCGCGAGGCCAATCGCGGCAGACACCACAACCATAATCAGCAGGATGCCTTCGGCGGGCAGGGCGGCTGGGCCAACAGCCTTGCACCCCCAATGCCGGACTGGAACCCCTTTGGTGGTCAGTTTGGTGGCTCTGCGCAATTCTCGTGGCCTGGTCAGGGCCAAGGCCATGGTCATGGTCATGGTCATGGTCACCATGGGCGTGGGTCCTCCCGCGGGGGCGGGGACGCCAACTCGCCTTTTGGAGGGTTTGACTTCAACACTTGGCAGCCGCAGCCGACTCCAATCCAGGAGATGTTCTCAAACCTGAACATGCGAAGGTGGTAGGCGATCATCGTGTGGGACTATCTGATTCCATGGCTCGAATCTCATAAACTGGACAATGTACATCAGCGACTCGATACCCGTTCCTGAAGTTGAAGGGCTGACACGATCTGTACAACGATGGTACATATGTCCTGCATCTTCCAGACTCAGATCCTTGATATCACTGTCTACGTGCTTGACATTATTGATACCATATATTACTCAAATACTTCCTTGAATGTCTTATGTGCATTCGTCTACAGTTCTCGGAAAGCCGTGACTCGAGCTCGCGTTTCGCAGATTTGGTCCCGTGCGCGCTCCGTGGAGGCGCCCAGCGTTCAGTAGCCTCGTGTCCGTACCATGGCCGAATAAGTGACATCGCGCGCTCAGGCCACTCAGCCGCGCTGTGGCAAGATTGCTTCACTCTCTTCGCATCCATCGTACGACGCAGGCCTCGTCCCTCTTAACGTTCGCGCATAACCTATCGGTCATCCACGTCAACTCTACGAGCTTGACGACTAAACACGCCATGTTTGGAACGCTTACACACCTTTGTTTCGACGCTGTGCTCTTGAGCGCGTTCCTTGCGGGTATCAGGCGGACGACGGGCCTAACGTGCGTTCAGAGTCTCGCATATTGACTTTGACTCACGAGCTGCGGATAGGCCCAAGCTTTCTGATGTGCCCAACAAGGACATCCGGCGTGAGTACCACCCCCGTCACAATGGCAAACGTGTTGCTCATCGCGCGTCGCTTCTTGCAGAAATACTCCGGTCTTATCTGGAGTTCGGTGCGTAGACCAGCGGGAGACGACGGTGTACACAGACTGAGGTGGCATTCCATGCAGGCGAATATGTGTTTGACTTCGCTGTGGTGATATTCGGGGTGCGTCTCGTTTGTCATGCTCTCACGTCTCACTCTGAAGAGGTCGTCGGCAGAGGTCATCGTCGTTCGAACGGAAACGCGACTGAGCATGCAGGGATCTCCTTCACTGCTGTCTCACTATATGCGTGCGCCCCTGCCTGATGCTCTATATCCCCGTCGATTCGCTATTCCCCGTGTCGCACCGTCGCACCGTTCGCTCCTCACTGGGACTGTCTCGGAGGTCTATCTCATATGTATAGACGGCGCCTTGTAACAATACATCCCGTTCAGTCGTTGTCCGTCTCCATGTGCTCGGAGTGTGCCAGCGCAATGCAATGGCAGAAGACTCAGCCCAGGAAGTTGTACACGAAGAAGTGGAGGACGATGGAGCCCATTGCGAAGTCTGCGAAGGCACTGCGATATCGGGCATGTTAGTATATCTGGTGATGAAACGGTCTGTCTAGCAGACGTACCGTTCTGGTGAAACTTCCTTGAACTCTGCCCGGTTCGCCGGGTTGACCTGTGACCGCAGCGACGCAGTCAACACGAACTGGCCTACACAACTGCCGAAGCTAAGGCGGTTCTCAGTTACCTACACTGGAGTGCTGGAGAGAAATGGCACGGACCCGGAAAGAAACGCGTTGAACGGGAAGTTCGTCACCAGGACACAGTAGACGAACTGTATGATCCCGGAGAGCATGAGAAAGAGCAGGAACGTGTCGATGAGTTTCAGCCGCGACGACGTGTTTTCTTTGTAGGACTTTAGTAAGGACTGGACAGAGCTAGTGCTCGCCGACGACGGGGTTGTTTTGGGTGCCATGGCGGAGAGATGGGCGTAGACTCAGAGCGGGCTTGCCGCCGTCAACGTGGACTGCGCGGTCCTGCGATCTCGGAAGCTGGGCCTGCCATATCGGGCAGTCACGCTGGCGAGCGCGTCCTGTCCGCGTCCAAAAAGTTTCGCGTTTACACCTCCTCGTCCCTCGCGTTCCCGGCTTCTCCTTCAAATCGCTGTTGGGGTCTCAAGTGGGAGTCTGCATAGAAGGGATGTTGCCACTCGGTCTTCGGCTAAGCGCAAGCAGCTCTCGCGGTGCCGCACGGCTCGTGCCAGCGTGCAGACATGGTCGCTGGGTGTGGTCCAGGAAATACCACGAGCGGAAAGGACTGCCATATCCGATTGAGAATGGTCTTGGGGAGTTTATGTCACCGGAGGCATTAAAGGTCGTTGCGCTGGACTACCAGAATGGTCTCCTAGAGAGACTGAACGACCAGATCCGAGGTGCGTCTGTGTAACCTATTGTTACTCAGTCCTAGGTACTCATGTGCGACCAGGTACCGTGCTGGAGAACAAGAGTGTTCCAGACTGTGATCGAGGCAGCTCGTGATCCTCACAAAGTGCTGGAGTTCGACTACGCTTGCGAAGCCCTCAACAACTCGTTCTTCCTCGAGACCATGGTGCGTTACTCTGTCGTCCCCTCGATTCATTGTCTAACCGCTCGTGTCTTGTCAGAAACCGCCAACAGAACCCGCGAAGTCGAATGAGGCAGCTCTGACAGAGAACCCTAACAACCTCTTCTCCGTGTTCCAGAGGCAATTCGGCAGCCTCGAGCAGTTCAAGTCAGAATTCAGCGCAGCTGTCCTCGGCATGTTCTCCTCCGGCTGGTTATACTGCGTCGTGGACAATGTCGGCCAGATCGCCATCTACCCATCTTCGGCGCGGGCACGCTCCTCGTCCGGGCGGGCCAGACCCCACTAGGACGCGATAGGGTCGTCGGCGAGATCATTGCACGGGGCCTGAAGCTCTCTCAACCCGCAAGGGAGCCTGCGACCAGTACAGAGTCGGCTGAGCCGTCCGCGCATCGTCACCAGTCTCCAGTGTATCACAATCGCCGCTGTCGACCTCACCGCCACCGCTGTCGAGGACATTCAGCACCTCTGCCGTTGCGAGGTCGGCCTTCGGCCGTGGCCCTATCAACACCATGTATAGCCCCGATGGCAACTTGTTGCCGCAGCCACCCGCGAACGATGAGATGAAGATCACGAACATCGGCGAGGTGCTCAACCCGCTGTTCTGCGTGTCCGTGCACGAACATGCGTGGGTGCCGGAGTACGGAGTGTGGGGGAAGGAGGAGTACATGAAGCGCTTCTGGAATGTGCTGGACTGGGAAAAGGTCATCCAGAGACACCAGCGTTTCACGGCGGGCATTGGCCTGTGAGAGGGCGTGCGTGGTTGTCATGTGTGTCCGGGTTTACATCGCATGTTGGTGCGGGCTGGGACAGCTCCGATCGCTACACATCTCATAGATACTAAAAGTACATCTAATGCACCCTACTCCCATCGACCCATATCACACAGCCACCCTAGAGAGTTCTTGTCGGATGATTGCGTCCTGTTGTGCACAGAACCATACCGCACTCATTTTGAGAGCTAATTGTGAACTAGCAGCATGCATGATCCACGTCTCGCACTACCATCGCCACTCGATGTCTCCAAAAGATTTGGGCCGCATTCCTTTGTATGGTTTGTATAGCTCTCCGGTCAGCTTGAGCTGGTCGATCTTCAACGCCGAGAAGCTGTGTTGCATGATGTCGAAGCGTACTCGGAACGAACGGGATGGCCTTGGAGTCTTGACACTGATGAAGCGGGTCAGTATAAGCTTAGGCTAACACGAAGTAAGGCGTACGTCGATGCGAACGTCCCGCGCAATGTGTATGTGGCGGAGGGTGCAACGTTCTTAAGCTCCCAGCGCAGGCTCTGTGGAGTCTGAGGGTCAGCCGGCATTTGGCAAGGTATCAATAGGATGCTTGCCAAACTCCTCGGCTCGAAAGTCCATGAATCGTTATGTGACGCGGTACAGCTCGCACCCGAAGCACCCTCTCCCAGGTAGAGCTCAACCACCACATTCTCCATCGCGCGCGTTGTCAGGCGCGATGTGAGGGAAAGGTCAAGTGTACCTTGGAGCAGCGCCCTTTATCAATTGCATTGGGCGATATGAAATGACACGACACATACCGCCATGCTCTTCGATCTTGACATTAGTACGCATGGACAGCGGTACCGCTATCTGATGCATAGTTGACGCCGACGTCGGTGCGTAACGGTACTCCATGAGCTTGAATCGGCCATCTGGAGGGACGAACGATAGCGTCTTGTCACGGGCCCATCGCGAGAGCCTACAGAGAAAAGGTGAGTATGGATTAGTGGGGCAACCCACTAGGCGAGCGTACCGAACGCATGGGTGGAATGAGCATTCCGTGAGCGACTTTGAGTTCGACAGTGTGAGCAGGAGGTCAGGCGTCCCTGCAATTAGTGCGTAAATCGAAGGCATTTTGGCAGAGCGGATGACGCATACCTGACAGCTTGCAGTTCGATTCGACGCGGCCCCAAACATGACTGGATGCCGGAGTACCGTTCCTATAAAACGAGACGTCAAGTCGCATAAGCTCAAGCAAGGAGACTGTTGGGGTGGAAGGAATTCTCACTTGTTGACGATCGCCTCCAGCGTTTCCACGACATCGAAGTAGATCTCATTATTGTTATAGCGCACGCCGGCTTTCCTCCATGGAATTGGTGATGCAAACGGTTGTGGGCCTACTAAGGGTGTTGCAAGACCGGGCACGCCTGCGACAGAGAGGACCTTGTTGAGCAAGGACGGCGATAGCACGATGTCCCGTAGTGCGTTCGGGGACGTTGTCAGGGGATGTCCACTCGCGTCCAACGTTTCTTCAAGAAGCTAAACCGCACAATTGAGACATGTCTGCAGGGTATGCTGGACCCTGACTGACCTGATAAATGATATCGAAGTTCTCCTTGAGTGTCTCAGCGGAGATGTATCCGAAGTACTCCCTGAGGATGTCGACGAACGTCTCCATAAACGCGAAGGCATACAGTGGGTCAACTGTGAGACCATGAGTTCTTTACGTTAAGAGGAACAGACCATAGAGTTTACCTTCGCCACTGATGGGGCAGAGGATCCTCATGTCCCCTACTTTGGTGTGGCAGCAGGCACACGGCGTGTCAATGCTCAACCCGGATACGTATAACACTGGGTCAACATCTTCGGGTTTCGGTGCGTTAGAGAGCGCGTCGTTGACTGCCTCAATGTGAAGCAGAGGATACGCCGCCGATGTTGAGCGGAATCCTGACTGTATAATGGGACGACTGTCCCTCGATTAGACTTGTGCCAAACATGATCATACGGCGAGACCTACCCTGTAGAGTCCAAGATTACTATTCCGTCAATTGCCATCTGGAGGATACGACGCTGAAGGGTCTAAGTAATGCGGACCGCGTCAACGCCTAAACGGCAATGCCCCTTCACGACACGCACTTGGGGAAGTCCCACCTGTCTGGTGACCGTTCTGCTACAACTGCACCTCAAAATCCAATAAAGTGTGGTTTTTTGCTCGGGCCCGTTTGGATCGTGCCAATACGAGGTACCCGACACGCGTTCACAGAGTTGGTTGAAGAGCTTCAGTCGCCTGGCCAGCGTCGTCGATTCCGATCTCGATTTAGATCTCCAGCCACATCCTTGATGGCACCACAGCCACAGCTCTGGGATGCGAGCGTTATCATTCTCTTTCACCAACCACCAACCAACCACACCACCCTTGTTAAACCGAATTGCTACGGGCCGCTCACGCCAAGAGTGCATTCATCGAGCCAGCAGAGTCTACGCGGATGCTACCTGCGTGACGGCCTAGTAAGTCACTAAGTGTCGGTGCGGTGACAGGCTCTGAGCCGTACTACATACTACCAGTGTGACCTAGTAGCATGGCTGTCAGTGGCAACTTCGAAGAACCGTATGCATATGCTCTCTGTGTTAGGTACTGCAGGTGCCAATTGACGACGAGCATATTCATCAGGTATAGTATGTTCCTCTGTGTGGAATGAGATGGTCAGGAGCTTATCGAACGCTCTATGCACCACCCGTCGCATTATCGACCGGAACATTACGCTGTTCCCCTCGCACTGACGTCTGTCTTCAGTCCTAGGCATCCGTGGTCCCTGGCGTGCCGCCGCATGCGAGGATGGCGGCAGCGAGTTGCAGCGAGGTGAGGAGCCGCTCGCGCGTCTATGTCATATGATGAAGGCTGATTGGCAGGAGGACGCCAGACAGTGCTCCCGCCGCCCCTGTCTGCGTCGGGTAGAGCGGGGAGGCCTGCTCATGGCGTGGTGTCCAGCATTCATCGTGACGAGCACTCCACGTCCCGATCGAGCGGAGAGAGCTTTATTGCTCACCTCGTCGTCCCCGGCTGACACTGTCAGCCGCCCTCGATCGCACTTTTCTCCCTCGCCCCTTACGAAACTCTACGAACATCACGACCGACACGAAGTCAGCAAGCATGAACAGAACAACATTCACTGTAGGACTTTCGCGAATTGGCTTGATGATCTCAAGGCAGCGTGCCTGGAGTTCATCGGGACAACCACCTTCCTTCTCCTCGCCTTCGGCGGCATCCAAGCGGCCAACGAAGAGACAGTGTCGAGTTCCGGAGCAGGGACGTCCGATGTCCAACATGTCATGTATATCTCCCTCTCGATGGGCTTCAGCCTCCTCGTCTCTGTCTGGATCTTCTACCGCGCCAGTGGAGGAGTGTTCAACCCGAACATCAGCTTGGCGCTCCTCCTGACTGGCGTTATTGGTCCGTGCCGCTTCGTGCTGTATTGCATAGCACAACTACTGGGCGGCATCGTCGCTGCTGCACTTGTCCTTGCGTTGACTCCTGGAACACTTCAATCAGTGTACGTCCCCTTTTCTCTGTGGGAGTCCTGGTTGATTCTGACGTGATTCTGCAGCACGTTCCTTGCGCCCGGTATCAACCCAGCGCAAGGTGTATTCATCGAGATGTTCATCACCACCGCTCTCGTGCTCGCGGTGCTCATGTTGGCGGCGGAGAAACACAGCGTCACACCGTTTGCGCCGGTGCGTCGCTTGCTCGCCAGTCGGTATCGACCATCTCTACACCGCATCTTAGGTCGGCATTGGTCTGACACTGTTCGCATGCCACCTGTTAGAAATTTTTCTCTCGCTTCTGCGACGCTCGTCTGACGTATCAAGGTGGGCGGTACTATACAGGAGCTGGTATGAATGTGGCTCGTGCCTTTGGCCCTGCGGTCGTCACAGGCTTTCCTTACGGGACACATTGGGTTGTAAGTATTATGCGCGTGATGATATACCGCGATGGGCTGATCGACGTTACAGTACTGGGTGGGCGACGGTCTTGGTTCACTCCTCGGCGCAGCCCTCTTCATCATCCTCAAGCAGTAAGTGGTTTCCCCTGCGGCTAGCCAATACATTCTGACCACAGTCAAATGTAGGAACCGTTACTGGCGCCTGACTCCGGGGCAAGACACGACTGACCACACCCTGTCGCCCGTCGTGCCGCTACAGGACGGAGTTCCCATTGGCCGCCGTTCGGGCTCTCGCTCCTCCAGGCGGTCGGGATCGTCGCGCCCAGGCAATGCTGCCGATGATACCTCGCGGCGTGAGAAGGACGCTATTGCGCGCGCGAATGGTGACGCCAGTGCCGCGAATATTACCTCGCATGGCCGGACGCGCGTCAATGACAGCCCGGTATGAGGGCGCTGTCTATCATCTGGATATCTGTAATTGGGAACGAACCACGGACTGTCTACTTCGACCGCCGTCATATGAATGAAGCAGATCTTCCGGGCTACGAATCAGGTGCCAACGGGGCATGCAAAGTACTATACATTATACTCATGGAACGGTGCCCGCTGGCCTGTGACAACATCTATTTTCTGGCATTCATCACAATGTATCACTAGCACCTTTCCTACATTATATCTGTATGGCTACCAAGTTTGTCAATGGAAACCAAATGGAAACTCACCGGAAGCCAACACCGCAAGTGACGGTGGCCGTTCCCGTGGAATAGTATCATGGTTTGTATGTCGTTCCGCAGCCTTTGGTCCGCTCATGCCGGGTACCATTCCGATGCCTAGAATGCGGAATGAGCAAGGTCTCCTTCAGGCGTGTCCGGGTGGTAGCTCCGGTGAGAGACAGCGCGACTGGCGCAGAGCCGCCGGCTTTCCAGGCTCTGTAGCCTTTCCTGGACTTGGATGTAGAGATCGGAGGGCGATCTAGGCACGTGACGGGTCGCGTATGTCATAAGAGATGGATCGTTCAGTCCTGACCTGGCTACTCTACGCTTATCCTGCATCTCATCCCTCTTCCTCCCTGCCTCCCGCATTCATGACCAAGCTGGCCGCGCTATCTGGCGTGTCCGTGAAGACGGAGCGCAAGATACTAGACGACATCGAGGACCAGTTTCCGCTCGAAGAGGATGGGCTCATCGAAATCACGAAGCAATTCCTCGAGGACTTTTCGCGCTGGACTGGGAGAATATAACATCCGATGGCCATGATGTATGCTTCACGCGTATATTTGCGCGTACATCTCTGCTCATCTAGGACGGGTAGTCCGACGTTTGTGACGGGTGTACCGAACGGCACAGAAACTGGGTGAGTTCACTTTCATCACCACTGTCCTTTGCGCGCACATGTTTCTCCCCGACTGCTACGTGTCAAAACCCTCTCCTGCGCTGCTGCACGCGGATCGCAACGGAGCGTGCGTCCCGCTGTCTCGTCCCGTTCTCATGCGGACCCGGTCTACTTCCGCGACCAGCGCTCCCAGAAAGGCAGCTCGGTCTAACTACGTAGCTTCACTGGTCGATCACCGCCGTGCCTTCTCGGAGAATCCCTGATATTCTTCGTGACCACGCTCTCCGATCGATTCGCGTATGCGCACCGAATTTCCGACAGAAGGAGAAGAGCGCCAGTCCAGTTGTGTCGCGATGCATGTGATCGCATCCATGGTCGTGTGCGAGCCACATGCGTGCAAGGATGCTTCTTCACGCGACTCTGAACAGCATGGTCGACGAAGTGAATACAGACTTCGGTGGAGCAGCCATGTGTGCATATCGCGTGTGGTGCAGAGCAGACCCCGATAGCTTACCGACGACGCGGTTTCAGCACCTTTCTAGCCTTGATCTCGGAGGAACGAACCTGTAGGCCCCAAGTCTGCTTGATGTGACGATGATACCCTGACCGACCTCTGGAGACGAGTTTGCGAGTTACGCTACTCGGCAACCATGAGTTCTCCATGAAGCAACAGAAATACAAGGTGTCTGAAGCACTGAAGACGGGTGAAGCTTCTGTGCTATTCGGTAAAGTTGAACAGTCCATGGCATCATTATCTGTGGTGTTGATGTTTCTGGCGTTTTGCAGACTATCTGGCAGACTCTGTCGACGCGTTTCTTACGGAACATTCAAGCGTCGGCGGTCCGATCAGCCCCTCACATGATATCGCCAATCCTTTCATACCATCTCTGCGCCTGCCGTGCCGCTAGGCCTTACCTTCAGTTTCCCGGTTGAGCAGACCGCATTGAACAGGGCAAGATCCTCACGTGGACGAAGGGATTTTCAGCAAAGAACGCAGTCGGCAACGATGTCGTTCGTCTCCTTCAAGATGCTTTCGACAGGAAACATCTACACGTCCGTTGTGTGGCCTTGGTAAACGATGTAGGTGCCAAACTGCCTCGAAGAAAATATCTGATTGACGTTTACGCCAGACCGTCGGTACGCTACTTTCGCGAGCATACAGCGCCGGATCGTGTCTTCTCGGTATGTGTGTATACATAATCGATGACATCCGACTAGATAGCTTCTTCACAAGGTGCTATTTTCGGCACCGGTACCAACGGCGCGTACGTCGAGAAGGTCGACAACATCACGAAGCTTGGTGACTCTCCAGCACGGAAGGACGGCGGCTACATGATCATCAACACGGAATGGGGCGCGTTCAACAACACTGTATGCAAGGCACTCACGAAGCTTAGACCAGCTCTGACATAATATATATCTGACAGCGCACGAAGCTGCCGACGACGCCCTACGATAACAAGTTGGACCGCGAGTCGATCAACCCGCGCTATCAAGCGTTCGAGAAGTTCATCTCGGGCATGTACCTCGGCGAAATCACGCGGAATATCCTCCTCGCACTCGTCGACGCTGCGCCCAAATCGCTTCTGTTCAATGGTAGGCGAGCGTTGCCCTGAACACGCACTACGGCCTCGATACCGCTGTCATGAGTGAGTCGAAGAGGCGTGGGAGTCGGGGCGCGACACTGAGGTCAAGGTGAACGGTCAGTCCGATGGGAAGAGTGCACACTTCACGGACGTGGAGGCGCTGGGTCCCCAGGACCTCTCGCGCCTCGAGCGATCCGTGGCATTCTTGTCCAGAGACTCCTGCTCGAGCCTGAGGATGTCTCTCTGCGAGATGCGGCGACTGTCCGCTGGGCAGCTTCGTTGGTGGCGAACCGCGCGGCAAGGTTGAGCGGTACTGCGCTCGCTGCGGTGCTTGTACAGACTGGACACGCGACACTTGGTGGAGGCACACCCGAGCCTGAGAGAACATCATCATTGGTGTCGATGGCAGGTAAGTCACGACAGTAGCATGCGCACAAATCCACGGCTCACTGTCTCGGTTGCAGTTTGATTCAACACTACCCTAACTTCCAGACTCGTCTCCGTGCATCACTTAGTGCTCTTGTCGGAGAAGCGGTGGAGAGCGAGTTGAGATCGATTTGGCCAAGGATGGGAGTGGTGCAGGAGGTATGCCATGTCGCGCATGGTTGTCTGTTATTGGCCTTCACTTATTGATGCCTTTCTAGCTGCGCTGTGCGCCCTGCAGGCGTCAAGCAAGGCCTGTAGTCCCATCCTCGAGCCTCGCACCTTCATAACGACAACATACTGTATTACCACACACTTTAATGTTCAAGTAGTACCAATTGTATCGTCCTGACGTTTGTCTGATGTTGTTGTACTGGTTCGGAACTAGAAGAGAAGAGGTGTTGCAATTGGTATCTGGACTTCGTAGCAGCAGTACTATTGAACATAGAATGTAGCACAGCAAGGAGAGGAAAATCAAGTACAATGGTACCATGGTGATCAAGTACAATTGTACCATCCTTGTGTCGCCTCTCCTACACCGTCCCATTACAACCGTATGACAGCTAAGTACAATATAAACACGGCCCTGAGCGGGTCGGGTGTCGCGCACACCCGGAGGACCCGGGCAGAAGCGCCCGTACTTTCTCGGCTGTTTCCGGCGACGTTCGGACAGAGCTTGACGGCCTGCGTGACGACCTCCACGATCCCCCATTCATTCTGTGAGGCTGCTTCGCTTTCCCGCTCCGTTTGCTATCTGCTGATCGAGCGTTGTGTAGCTTGCCATGGCCTCAAAAGCAGCCGCTGCAGCGGTGGTACGTCGTGTTTTCTTTTTCTCGGTTATGCCTCCAATTCATGGATGGCACGTCATACAGGACTTCACCCGTGTCTACTCCTCTCTTGGTCTCTCCAAGGGTCAGTATGTTTGCTTGAATGTGATCGTTGCGTCGAGCTAAATCACACATCTACAACCAGAGACCGTCGCGTCTCTCCAGGCCTTCCGCAAGCGGCACGCGGACGCCCAGCGCATCCACGCGCAGGCTGCAGCGCAGCCCACGACGGTCGACCTCGCGCACTACCGCTCCATCCTGAAGAACAAGGCGATCGTCGACGAGACCGAGAAGCTCCTCAGCGAGTTCAAGCCCATCACCTACGACGTGAGCACGCAGCTCAAGGCGATTGAGGCATTCGAGGCGAAGGCGGTATGTGTCGCGTACTCAGTCTGAAGAAGCACTGCTCACTATGGCATTGTGCCCTCTGTGCGTTGTGTCACCGTGTCATCGCGCTGCGAACAACAGGTCGCGAAGGCGAAGGAGACGACGGAGAAGATCGATGTTGAGTTGAAGGATCTCCAGGCTACCCTTGCGAACATCGAGGATGCACGGCCTTTCGAGGACCTCACCGTACGTGCTCATGCATGCATTACGTCTTATGCATCGCGAATTCACACTTCTGCAGGCGGAGGAGGTCGGCCAGGCGCACCCGCGCATTGTCGAGGCTGTCGAAACCATGCTGAAGAAGGGCAAGTGGTCCGTGCCGGGTACGTACCAATGTTCCGCGATCACATCTGTTCGCTGCTCATACTCATGCTACGCTCTGTACAGGCTACAAGGAGAAGTTTGGCGACCTCTCGCTCATGTAATTTGTCGCTACGATGCTTTACCAATAGAAGTCGCAGCCGCATAATAGCGCACATCAGATTGGTTATCCACCTCGTTATGCTCCTGTGTCTGGTTCCATCGTGGATAACGGATGTCGGCGTGGTTGCAGTATCTGGTAGCGCGAAGCTACAGTCACTTCATCGTGGACGATCACGGCTCTGCCAGTCGCATTTGTCCCTGTTCGGCATTGCTGTGAGCGATACTGGCTACACGGGACAGCGAACAGCAAAGGCGTCTGACCAATGGTCATTAGGATCCAGTGCGACATGAATGACATTGCAGATCATGAGCCGTAACGATGCGCGAAGAATAGCGAGACACGGAGACCACTAGGGTATAGAGCTAATGGAAATGACTAACGTACACCAGAACATACAACTGATCTGCACTAGAACAGATCTTCTAGCGTCATTTGCTTTACAATATCCTGGCCAGCAGATGTCAGTTACAGAAGGGATGTGGTCGACGCGCGAGACGCACTGTATTCGACACCATTTGGACAAACTCTTCGAAACTGAGCTTGCCGTCGCCGTCCTTGTCCGCCTCCATTATCGTCTTGTCGACGATTTGTTGTAGTTGCCCGTCCTTCAGGTTATTTCCGACCATCATCTTCAGCACGAGGAACAACTCGCCGTTCGAGATGAAACCATCTCGATCCATGTCATAGACCTTGAACGCAACTGTACAGGCAACACATGAGCGACCAAGAACTGTGATCATGAGGGGCGCACGCATACATCTCAGCTTCTCTTCTCGACCTCCTCGGCTACTGAATGCGCTGAGACCACCGACGAACTCCTGGAAGTCGACCGTTCCCCCTCCACTGTTTATCGGGAATTGAGATTGATGCGCTGAGGTGCGGAACAACTCAGCAGCACGTACTCTTCATCGAAGATGGCAATTAGTCGTGATGCGAGTGGGTTGTTGGCGATTTGAGGGATTTGGAGGAATTCCTCGCGATCTATTGATCCAGAGCCATCACTGTAGACACGTAGCAGTCTGAGTGCCTTGTATAAAGTGATGAACGGCCGCACATACCTGTCCAGCTTCATGAAGCGCTTCTTCAGCCGCTCCAACTCGTTTGCGTTGACTGGACGACAGAACATGGTGGCAGTCCCTGCTTCAGAGACAAAAGAATGACCGGAAGAGCGAAGCGGACGCACAGTTGGACCGCCTCTGCATGTCCTCCATGAATTGCGACGCTGTATGTGGAGCACGACACGCTCTCTCAGTAAGGTAGGCCGTCAAGTGTGCAGCACACGACGTACGTGATTGACCCATGGTTGCCGAGCTCGCCTATGTGAAAGGTACAAGAGATGGTTCGTCAGATGCAAAGATTGAGCAGGATGAGGAGAGCAAGGCAGGAGGATTGCAAGCAGAGTTCAGAGCAGGCTGTGTGGAGAACCACTCGCGCCCAAGACCCCTCCGGCGCGTCCGTGGGAACTCGTCGCTTCGTGAATCAAGGCAGCTCATTTCGGCCTCCGCGACCTGACCGCGTCGACCATCTCGAATGCTGCGATGCCGCCTCTCTGCAGCAAGCCATGTCCTCCGTAACGGCTCGACGCTGCTGACGAAGGAGTGGTTGATCATCAGAGCACCAGCGAAGCACGCGGGCACTGCCCGGTACCACGGCACTTCTGTTCGGAGCAACCCTCAGCATGAAGCAGTCGCGTCGAGAGGCTTCCGTGCGCACGAAGGCCAGCTGTCGTTGTCAGACAATCAGCGCAGGACTATATACGCGCTCTCAACGCCTCCGGGAAAGGGCGGGGTAGCGGTGATCAGAATATCGGGCCCGGACGCGCTGCTCGTGTGGAGGGCAGTGGTGAACAGAGGAGCGCGTAAGGATGGACCTCGGAACGATGATCCTGCACCCTGGCAAATGTACAGGTGCAAAGTCACTCACCCTGTGTCCGGAGAGGTTCTGGATGATGGCCTTGCAGTCTACTTCAAAGGTTCGTCCCTCGTAACGTAGCCCCGACGTGCCTCATCCGCAGTGCCTGTACAGCGCCGAAGTCCTTCACCACAGAAGATGTTGTAGAGCTGCATATTCATTCTGGTCGGGCTGTCGTGTCCTCGGTGCTGTCTGCTCTATCTTGCATCCCTGCCTGTCGTCTTGCGGAAGCCGGGGAGTTCACGCGTCGTGCCTTTAAGGGTGGTCGTCTCGACCTGACCCAAGTCGAGGGATTGAATGACCTAATAAATGCGGAGACTGAAAGCCAGCGCAAGGCTGCGCTGATCGCAGCGGGGGTGTGTGAGATATCTGAGAGTATGCTTCCTTGCAGTCACTGAATTCACTCAGGGTATTGCACGAAACCATTTTGAGAAGCTCAGGAAAGATATCATACAATGCCTTGCTCTCGTAGAGGCTCTCATCGATTTTGGAGAAGGCGAGGACATCGAAGAAGGTGTATTTCAACAAGGTCGGTGTTGACCTGTTCCGTGTGTCTTGTTTCTGAGTATCCGACAAACCACAGCCAGAGAACGTGCCCGAGATATAGCACAGAGCATACGTGAGCAGTTGTCTGACAACCGAAGAGGTGAAATCCTGCGGTCCGGTATACGGCTGGCCATATTTGGACCACCCAACGCGGGTAAAAGTAGCTTATTGAATTTCCTCGGTAAGTAGAGGCTGGCCGACACAGACTCCAATGTTGATGGCAAACTTTCAGCTCAGCGAGAAGCGGCCATCGTGACCTCGGTGCCGGGCACGACTCGAGACATCCTGGAACTCTCCCTAGATATAGGCGGCCTACCCGTGATTGTCGCTGACACTGCTGGTATACGGCAGACCGATGACCTGGTTGAAAGCATAGGCGTCGAACGCGCGCGCAATTTGTTAGTGCAACAGGAAGTACCCGGAACGTCTTGAGCTGACATCTCCCCTCAGAGTTGAATCGACGGACGTCTCGCTTTGCGTGCTTTCACTGCCGGACGTCGCGGAGGGATCCACGAACAGTCCCGTCATTCCGCCTTCCGTGGCCTCGCTCATCGCGCCGGACACCTACGTGCTCTTGAACAAGTCAGACGTGGCGGATATCGCACCGAACCGAGTTTCAGCTATACTGGATGCCCTTGGAACCAGCAGAGGATGGGTCGTCAGCTTGGCTACGGGTAAGGGTACGCAAGACTTCCTAGACGGATTCGCACAGGCATTACAGGAGCGGTCAGTGTCCACGTGTCGTGCTTCGCCATGCACTCTGACCGTCCTGCAGGTACGATGTACATCAGGAGCAGAACACGGATGTCCGTCCGCTCATAACTCATGCCCGGCATCGTGTCAACCTGGAGCATGCACTGCAGTTCCTGGATGCCTTCCTAGGCTATGGTGAGCGCATGCTTCGATTGTCGTAGGAAAGAGGCTCTGATCGCGGGGCTTATCCCAGACGCGGAGGACGTGGTACTGGCTGCGGAAGAACTCCGCTACGCCGCACAGGCAATTGGCAAAATTTCTGGCGTGATTGATGTGGAGGATATCCTCGATGCTGTATTTCGTGACTTCTGCATCGGAAAATGAGAAGGTACTTTCCCTGTGTCTATATTCTGAGAAGGCGAGTTACCGCAGCCATCGCTGTGTGCTTGTTACTTGATACCTCGTGCACTGTGTCGCCCCTTTCCATGGAGCAACGGTCTCTTGATCGTCCGAAGGCTTCGTGAACTGTAGTTGCACTCATAAAAGTCAAGGTGATACCGTTCGCTTGAGCAACCACCCATTGCGTCGTCGCATCATAGCTGTGAGGTATGTTCCCTCCCCCCTCACCTAGTCCGTCGCGTCGATAGTCCTAAATCATGTACATCAATTTGACAGTGCGTCATGGACTCGCAGAACAAGAAGCGTGGCTCCCGGAAGAAACATAAGAAGCGCACCAGCGCGAAGTCAGAGACAGATTCGCAGAGCACCCCGCTACCGCCGGCTGGAGCTGCGAGTGCATCTCGTTTTCACCTTGTCCGTTACGGAGAAAACAAAAGCAAGACAGGACAACTGGCAGATAGCAGACTTCGACTGCTCTCTCCTTGTTATTGTACCTATTCGACGGACGGCGGCGACACGGGGTTGGTCATGGTGGGATCCCGGGTGGAACTCGAATACCTCATGCCATTCGGCGAGGACGCTATGCGGAAGCCACTCCCGGGCTGCGGTGAGGCGAGCCCTTTCCGGATTGAGGAGACGGGGCAGAAGGGTCTGGGGATGTTCGCGACGCGGCTCATTGAGGCCGGCGAGCTGATAGTTGCCGAACGGCCAACCATACTCTCGTCGAAGACGCCCTTCGCCGACTCGTCGTTCAACGACGCCGCTCTCGCCGCCCTCTCAGAGAGCGTGCGCGAGTCGTTCATGACGCTGACAGGCTCTTGCGCCCCCGGGGCGCTATCCCATCCGCTCCTCGGCCGTGCCGCCATCAACTCGTTCGACTCCGGGCCCATGGACGATGCCGAAGATAATCCCGTCGAATTCGCCGCGACATTCCTCACGTTGTCTCGCGCAAATCACGACTGCGTGGCCAACACCAACTACCAGTGGTCCAAGACGAGGTGGTGCGGGCAGTTTCTCGCCAAGCGGGACATCGCCGCTGGCGAGGAGATCACGGTCAGCTACACCTTCGCCCTCACGCAGGCGGAGCGGCACGCCTATATGAAGGCGCGGTACTCGTGCAAATGCCGCTGCAAGACGTGTTTCAATGCCACGCCGGCGGACGTGAGGCGCAGCGATCAGCGTAGGAAGATGGTCACGCAGGTGCGAGACGCGTTGCAGAGTGCCTTGTACTCCTCCTCGTACGTCACGACGTCAGACGAGTCTCTCCAGCATGTGCTGGGGTACGCGCGGGAGGAAGGCATGATGATAAGCTACGCGACTATCGCATTCCTGGGAAGTCGTATGCTTATGGCACGGGAAGGCCATACGGTGGCGCTGAAGTGGTTGAGGGAGGCCAGACAGGCATATGTGGCGACGCTCGGGGAGGACGCATGGGAGGTTTCTCAGGTTGATAAACATGGAAAAATCATGACATCCAGCATACGGGCTCGCGGCATTCATTGCAGCTGGCCTTAGGGGGGCCTTTAGGGGCGGGTCCTCAAGGGCCTTTGATTTGTATTGGCCTCGATGTTATGGACGTCTGTTCAAGAATGTACTAGTAGTGACGGTATTCATATATGTCGCTTGTATGCAATCGGAGCATGGCGCCACAAGTTATGATACCTGACTACGGCAGATCGTAGGGTTGCGCTTTCGGCAATGAGGTGAACATATTAAAACGAGGACTCTTAATACACAACCCATGATCAGCTTGAGAGGTTGAGCACCTCAGCACTCGAGGACTCGGATACATAAGTCAGATCTCGATCGAATCGATATTGGTTCAACATCCGGAACGTCTCGAGCTGACACCTCTCCTCAGAGTTGAATATTCCCAGTCAAAACTGACACGAATTCAGGCGAATTCCACAGATTTCTAGCGAATATGTCAAAGAAATTCGATTCTCTTCGGAATCCTTCGAGGCGCCAGCGTTCCTTCGGTAAAACGGCGAAGCAGTATGAAGCACAACGAAGGCGAGCGAATTCTGGTCTACTGGACCGAATACAATCTAATTCGGGAGAATTTCAGCGCCGCCAGCGCGACGCTTCATACGAATATAATACATGATTTGTTTTACTATTTCCTGCTCCTGGATGCGCCGCATCCACCGGCTGTATTTTGACCGCTATACACACCAGGGAGTAGCTCGCAAGGGCCAGTGCATCAACACCTCAGCACGCGTGTACCACAGCCACAGCCTTAGAGATCGACGTACCACAGGGGGTGCGCGAGGGCATACCGCACCCACGACCCGCGTACCTGTGGTCTCGTACCCATCCGTGTGGACGCACCCCACCACCGCTCCGACACGTCTGGGGCAGTTTGTGAGGGCGACCCCCCCTTTGAATAGACGCCCGCGAGGCGCTCGCTGTAACGGTCACGACGGTCCAGAATAGAAGCCTCGTGCCCTCAATCGTAGATTTGAGATAGACTTGTCCGATCGGACTGCCTAATCAGGTATTGATGGGCGACAAGCCTCACCGTCTTCGTGCGATCTTCAGCCACTCGACACCGACTCGACTCCAGCGATTCCTGCGCGCAATGCTGCGCCGACTGCACAACTACACGCATACCCGCACTCAACTTTTCTCTGATGAAGAGGACTATGCCTCTGATCACACATCTGACCATCAAGAGGCTGTCGATTCGGACGAGGATAGATATCAGTGGCCACATCAGAACTTAGGGAAAACTACTGAACCTCGCTGAAGCCACTGAAATGGCCATTTCAGCGATGTTCAGTGTGTCACAGTAGCATTCAGTAGGGACCATTTTTCAATCGAAAGCTGGCCTGTATTTCGTCAGTAGCTGCTAGGTAGAATGTGTCAGCAGATGTCAGTAGACGTCAGAGGATTTCATGGCACATCAATCTCGTTCGTGACATTTATGCATAGGTTCATTGGAACAGACGAGGTAGTACTACAATGTGAGACGACATGCGACAACAGCTGTAAGGTACGGCATGACATCTAGTCATCATCGCCATCACCCGATGACCCCTGGCCTTCGTCCCCTGCATCACCATCTCCCTCTGCTTCGGATCCGCTCGGTGTGTACAGTCGAACAACCCGCGCCTTCGGCTCCCGTGGCTGTCGGTACGTCTCGCTTTTCTGGGTCTCTTTTGCAGCCTTGATGATTGTGTCGAATTGATCGGTATGACGAGAGAGCCACTCGATGTTCGTCCTGAATGCGCCGAGGACCAAGTCTCTCGCGGCGTCACCGTCCCATGCCGGAGTGCCTTGGTCCGAGCCAGACTGCCATTGCTCGAACGAAGCCTGTACCTGCAAAGTGAGCGAAGATACTGTCAGTCCAACACATACACAGTACGAAATAGACGGCGTACTGCGGCGTAACACAGCGCAAGAGCGCCACTAGGGCGCGGCCGGTGCATACACGAGTTTTCAATAGTCTTGAGGTGCTTCGCGAACGTTTTGAGGATGTACACGGATTTCATGCGACCGGCCTGTCGAGTTTGGTTAGCCGAATGATACAGCTGCCCGAGCCGCGGTGGACAAACCTTGCCATCGACTACATTGTTGAATGCTGCTCCATGAGGCTCGAGAGCGTCCTTGACGTGCTTTGCACGGCCTGCTTTTCCGCCGTCCACGCGCTTGAGGTCCGCATCGACGAGTCGCTTCGCTTTCAGGAGGAGACCCTTGCGCCAGTCACGGACCTTCGTAGCACACTTCCGGAGCATTCAGTACGACATATGGAGCAAGCCATGCATTAGAATTACTTACATGCTCGACAAACTTGTTGAATTGCGTATCGGTGAGGTCAGTGATTCGGAACTTCGGACAGACCTGGGCTAGAATCGCTTTGATGTTGTCACGAACATCGTCGAGGCTGATGTCCCAAGGGTTATCGAGTGAACCATAGAGTTCAATGAGCGTCGGGTGGATCTTCGTGAACCAGACACTGAATATCGCTGCGGGGACAACGGCAGCGGCGCCTCTTGACTTCTCTTGAGGTATATCGGCGGGAGCACGACGCGCCCGTTTTGCTTTCGCAGGCGTAGGGACTTCGGTGTCCGAGTCGATGATCTCCACGAACTTAGACAGAGGGCACACATCACTGATGAGACAGCAGGCTAATACAGAGTAGCGATTTACACACCTGTTCTTGCGATTTCCGAAGCACCACCATGTCCTCCTTCTTCAAAGCGACATCGCTGTCGGCCAGACCTCTCTCCTGCACAGCACTCTCCTCCTTTGAATCTTTCTTGCCCTGCGCGCGACCGTGACGCTTCTTCGGTGCGTTGGTCGATTTCGTGGACATGGTGGCATCGTCATGGCGTGCAAGGCCGGCACCATCAATGATGGCCCGCCAGTCTTCGTTAAGGCCAGATGTCTTCGCTGATGCTTGTTTGCTCTTGACAGATTTCGCGGTGTTGCCAGCGCTGATACGGTGTCGATGAGACGCCTTTGGCCGCAGACGAATGATATATGGCAAGACATGCAGACACACCTTGTCTTTGCCTTCGACTTGTGAGTTCCTGACCGAGATGAAGCGGGAGGCGAAGCGGGAGGTGGGAGTTGACGGTGAGAGTCGATAGCAGAGAGCACAGAGACCACGCGCTCGCGCTTCTTGTCCTTGCGTCTTGACGCGGGCTGATTCGAACATCAGATAAGGTGCGTGGTACCATACCTATAAACAATACGACCGTGTGTACTCACCGGTGCAGACTCAGACGCACTGCGCTCCTCCTCACTCTGCTCCTTATCGCCGTTGGCTGCGGTGTCGTCCTCTTCCTGCTCCACCATGTTGACGTCCGACTCGTAGCCATCAAGTGGCATCCCCGCCTCGTCAAGCAGAGCCTCCTCTTCGGCATGCCGATCCTGTAGTGCAGCAATCGTTTTTGCGCCTGCGTCCTCCTTTTCCTCGAGCAAGCAGGCTTCCTGTTCACGGGCATCCGCCTCAGCTTGATCCTCAGCTCGTTTCCTCTCTGCGACCTCTGCGATCTCAGTCTTGGACCGCTTGTGGAGACCGGCCGAACGCGCGGGATGAGGATCGGTCTGGCGTGCTGTACGGCGCACAGTGACAGCAGGACTCGGAGGACTAGCAGAGGGTTCGTCGAGATTGAAATCCGAGTCAGTATCCTGAGCATCTACCTCGGAGGTGCGTGCTTTCTTGCGTCGAGTCTGATGGGTCGACGCAGTGCTGACATCGAGTTCCAGATCGTTGTCGGTATCGCTCGGTGCTGGTGCAGACCGCTTGGATGCTGTCGACGTAGTACGGCCAGCAGATGAAGACCCGCCTCGTCCGCGTCCGCCTCTAGGCCCACGTCCATGCGGGCCACGCCCACGAGTTGCATTTGGCATGGAGTACAAGGTGACAGGGGAGGTGTAGCAGCAAGAAGCGTCGACTCGAAAGACAGCAGGCAAGTCAAAGACGAAGCCAGAGAACCGAGCGGGATCGAGCGTGCGACCCAGCGTGTGCCGCCTTGCCAACACCCCAAGGATCAGTCTCGACTCGAACTTGTTGCAACAAGTGTCGCATCAGTTCGCTTGAAGCACTCCGCAGCTCTCGACGCCGTGTTTCACTGGTACTTCTCCCTCTTCGCTCGCTCGAGCCTCTGTATACTCACTATGACTTTCTTTTGTGTAACCTGTTCAGCAACATTCACCACCCGACGAGCTTTCCGCACGCATGTCGCCAGAGAACACAAACATCCCAAGCCGAAGGTTCCTTCCCTTCGGAGGCAAAATCACTACATACTCAACGGTTCGTGTTGCACAAATATCGCAGCCAAGTTTAGCTGACCGCTTCTGTTCCTTACAGGTCGCCCGTGTGACGAGAACGGTCATTACCTCCCGCCAGGGACGCCGCCGCCGCCACCGCCTCCACCTATCACTAACTTCGAGCCATTTCCCGACCGCCCATCATTCGAATTCGCAGAACTCACTGTTGAGAAGATGGCTACGTCTCGCGAAGACATTGACCACCTCCTGCGAATAATCCGTGCGAAGAATATCATGGATGGTGTCGAAGATTCGCCTGACGATTCTGGTCTCTTTCCTGGACTCTCGGCGGAGCTGCAGCGTACTCTCGACGCGATCCCCTTTGGCGACATCCCCTGGTTCTCTTTCAAAATTCGCTGGTCTGGCCCTATCACCCCGACGTCACCGGCTTGGAAAAGACAGACGTACGTTGTCCACACGCGCGACCCACTTGCTGCGTTCGAGAACACTCTCCGCAATGCAGAATACAAGAACAAGTTCGACGTCTGTGCGTACAAAGAATTCACGCCAGGAGGCAAGCAGAGGTGGTGCGATTTCATGTCAGGACTGTGGGCTTGGAAGGAGTCGGTAAGTCTGAATTGATACTCGGCAAATGTGCACGCTTCCGACTCATATTGCTCGACATTACAGAGCAAGATTGCCCTGGACCCATCAACCCGTGGTGCGATGCTCGCCACAGCGATCGTTGGCGCTGATAAGACGACCGTATCAGTTGCGAGTGGTGATCAGGAATTCCATCCTGTGTACGTCTCACTGGGTAACTTACATAACGATATCCGGCGCGGGCATGGGGAGGCAGTGATACCACTGGCGTTCCTCGCCATTCCCAAAGGTGTGTCGAATTTGAGTGTCTGCATATACTATCAAGAGCTAAGGGCATCGTCGGCTTAGGTTCGAACGAAGACGAGAATGACCCCGAGTTCCGCATCTTCAAGAAGCAGATCTACCACCGATCTCTCGCACACATCTTCGAACCTCTCAGGCCGTGGATGACAACACCGCGCGTGACGCTCTGCCCAGACGGTCACTTTCGCCGGGTTATCTACTCGCTCGGACCATTCATTGCCGACTACCCAGAGCAAGTCTACCTCTCTGGCGTTGTCCAAGGATGGTGTCCAAAGTATGTTCGCCCTAGTTCGTTTTGCAACATCAATGTCACTAACCTTGTAATTCACAGATGTTTTGCTGCACCCGACGAGCTCGGAGAAGGAGCTCTGCGATTCCGAGAGCTAACACAACAAATCAAAGATACGTACTCGCATGATCCTGACGTCTTGTGGGACGCATTCGGTATCGCTCCCGGGGTGAAGGTATGACAAGGCATGTTGATCGAGTGAATACATGTTGACAGTTTACAGCCCTTCACGGATTACTTCCCACGTGCGGACATCCACGAAGCACTCTCTCCAGATCTCCTGCATCAGTTGATCAAAGGAACCTTTAAGGACCATCTTGTCGAGTGGGTACTCGACTACATCAGAATGAACAATTCAGCCCGTGAGGCCAACACGATCATCGATGATCTTGACCGCCGGTGAGTGCCCATCTGCTAATTCCGTGAATTATTGAGTAACATTCCTTGTAGACTTCGATCAGTACCTGCATTCCCCGGTCTACGGCGCTTCAAACAAGGCCGAAACTTCAAACAATGGACAGGTGATGACTCGAAGGCACTGATGAAGGTAAGTTCCGTCCGTTATCTAGTGGGGCTCTCTAAGTAACCTCGTCGTGCCCCATATATTTCAGATTTTCATTCCTGCAATAGCTGATGTTGGGGTCCCCGGACGTGTTGTTGAATGCGTCCGGTCGTTCATGGACTTCTGTTACATTGCTCGGCGATCTACCCACGACGAGGACTCTCTGCGGCTCATGGAGACTCATCTGCGCCGCTTCCACGAGCTTCGGGAGGTCTTCCGCGAGGAGGCTATCCGTGCGAACTTCACGTTGCCGCGCCAACACGCCCTTATGCACTACGTTCGAGGGATCAGGCTCTTCGGGTCCCCGAACGGTCTCTGCTCGTCGATCACAGAATCGAAGCATATCCGTGCAGTCAAGAAGCCGTGGCGTGCAACGAACAAGAACAACCCGCTGCAACAGATCCTTAAGATCAACTGTTGGCTGAGCAAAATTGCTGCCGCGCGTTCTGTTTGGGGGCTAATGGGTTGCTCCGACACGACGTCCTCTCGGCTGCCCGCCGTCATGCCCATCCAGAATACTACGACTCGGATGATGACCAGGATGACCGGCCCGGAGGTCCTCACCGAGCTATGGTTGATGAAGAAGCTGACGATGCAGACGAAGAGGGTGGTGATGCCGAAAATCGTCACTTCAATGACATTGCTGACGTTTTGGGTGAGCCAGAGCCACTCTCTATAGAGTTGGCTAAGAAGCCAGGTATGTTACTATCAGTCTCACTCGAAGCAATGCTAATATCTTGTTGTCAGCGTATTCGCGACCGATCTCGCGACTCGATCTCGACGCGAGACTCAAGACCCTCCTGCCAAATCTCATTCGCCGCTTTCTCCATGAACAGCTTGACCCTCCAGCAGACTCCGACTCCGACTCTGACAATGAGCCCGAGGACGTGGACATCGAAGACTGCCCTCGCTTCCACGGGCATGTCGCTGTGTACTACAGCGCGCGCGCACTCTATTATGCTCCGAGTGAGCTGTCCGGGCCGGGCGGGATGCATTCAGAGGTCATCCGCAGCCATCCGCTGTGGTACGGAAAGTACGAGCACCGCGACACCGTGCTTGTCCAGGATGGACCAGATGATGGTGTCATGGGAGGTATGGTTGTGGCACGAGTACTTGCATTTCTCTCATTCTCGCACAACGAGATCAAGTACCCATGTGCACTCATTCAGTGGCTCCTCCCAATCGGTGACGCTCCCGACCCTACCACAGGCATGTGGGTCTTGGAGCCCGAAGTGTTTGATGGTGAGCGGGCTGTAGGATTGATACACACAGACTGTATTGTTCGTGCTTGTCATACTCCCCCTGTTTATGGTAGAGGTCGTCTTCCGGCCGATTTCGATTTCTCCTACTCACATCTCGCTTTCAAACGGTTTTATTTGAACAAATGGGCTGATTATCATGTACATGAATGTTATCCATTGGTTTGATCAGTAGTTTCGTGCGTCGAATATATGATAGTTTAGCTCGTCTACAGAGCAATGATACTGACATGCTGATGGCGCTGAGCTCACTGACGGCTTCTGAGGTAAATGTCTTCAATTTCGTCAGTGTGTGTCAGTGTGCATCAGTGCGTCGGGGAATCACCGAAGTACTGATGCATCATCATCTCCGAGTCCCTCGCCTTCGCCATCCATAGACTATCCCATGGCCGATGACTCTGGTAAATTCTCTATTTTATGCACTTTATCATGTTCAACTGTCCAATTAATAGGACCACCCAATGTCGAAGATTCGGACGACATGGAATATCCGAGTCAATCTGCAGAGCCAGGGGAGAAGAGCCAGGCCACAATACCTCCGCTCAAGATCAGGATGGCATCTGTGCCTCTGTTCTGCGTATTTTGGATGCCATCAAGGAGGAGAAGATGACAATGGCTCAGTTCTTGGATGCGTATAGCTGGGGTAATCAAGCATGTGTCACTAACAATCGTATCCGCCAGTCGCGCACACGATTTCTACAGAGCCCAACACTTCCAGTGTTGCTGAAACGCTGGCGCAAACCTCCACGCCAGAAGACCTCAAAGAAGAAGCGACCCGAGGGAGCCGAGGAGACTCTCAATCGCTTTGCTTTGGAGACGATGAAGGAAACAGCAGAGACTGAGCTGGGCAATGTGGAGGCTCTCGTGAAGTCATCAGACGATCTTCTCACCAAGGCTGACCTCACTGCAATTCATATCAGTCAATTGCAAGCTGACATGCAAAAATCGGCACCAACAATATGGATGTTGCTAGAAGGCATTGCCACTAGTGATGTACAACGGAAACGTGGAACTCAGAAAGACAACAGCAAGGCAAGTTGTGTCTATTGACTGAGGTCTGATTGGTTTGATCTACATGTATGACAGATCATCATGCTTATCATCTCCATTCTGGCATATTGCCGCAATCGATTCGCAAACCGACTTCAACGAGTCTTGGCCATCTACTTCAAGTTCAAGGGCCTTTCAGCAAAAGGCTGCGACACACTGCATGCTCTGGGTATCATGATGAGCACAAAGTGGGTTACTGATGCTGTCTCGAGCCTATCCGCAGAAGCCATGCGAGATGCCCAGACACTCGTGTCTGCACTTCAATATATCATCTCACACGATAACATGCAAGTATCCTTCCGCATATTTTCCCAGAGGTTGGACCAGCATGCAGAGTTTGGATCTGGGACAGCTGGGACAGTCTACATCCGCAAGGATGCCCCTCCCATTGATCCGACACTCAATCGTGATCTGCAAGTGTGGCGAAGACGAGGCATCCACGACCCCATCACGGTGATAGAGGTCTTCGGATGGGCAGAGGAGAGCTATCCTGCCATTCAGCAGCACATGGCCTACCTGGTACTGGAGATGCTGTTGGACACACCTGAATTCGACCTCAGCACTTACGAGTTCAAGAACAGTGTACACCTCAATCCGCCATCACCTGTGGATGAACTGCCTTGTGGCGAGGACCACGTTACACTGCAGTATATGCTCGGCAGTGTACCAATCCCACAAGCAACCTACGAAGACAACGACCGGATTATCTTCGAGTTTCTGAAGCAACTCGGGTTTGATACCCCGGACGAACTGAAGAAGATGAGCCTTGAGCGCGTCATCTATTGGATAGGTGATCAACTCACGGTCGATCGTATCCGAGGCATGCAGCGGTTCTGCTGCCAAGAGTATAACTCTCTGGACCGCCTCGATTTCATCGTAGCTGTTTTCGGCTGGCTACATGCTATGATGGCATATGCCAAGAATATTCACAAACAATACCTCGGAACGAACGCTGGGCTAGGGCTGAAACACGCCTTCACGCAGCTCAGGCGGAAGGGACTTGACAAAGTCTCGACGAAAGGGCCCTTTCACGACAATCTGGAGCGCGCCCTTCGTCACATTCTCACTGCCCATATCCGCACATGCTGGAAAGTCGTCGGCAATGTCTCTAACTTGGCCGAGCTCAGGAAGAGCCGACCAGAGGCTCTGAAGCAACTCGCCATACAACTCGTAGACGAGCACGCATCATTCCGAGCCGTCAAGCACCTACGTGCAGCCGGCGTCTCGCGCGATGAAGTGAAGGAACAAGCATGCATGTTCAATCACGACGTACTTCAATATCTTGTCCTCGAGCGGGCGATCAAGCACGGAGACGTCGGAATGATGGAGGGTATGCTACCTCACTTGGCCTTTCGATTTGCTGGTGGTCGGAATTCGCACTACACGACAGAGTGTGTCGAGTTACTGCAAGGTCTTCACAGAGAATGGCCACCCGCTGTTGCGTACGTCGTGTTATATCATTCATGATGAATCCGGATCAGTGCTAATGTACTCACAGTGATTTCGTACGAAAGTTCTGTTGGCTAGTGAACAGCACAGGACGACGCGAGGGGTTCACGCCGGTCGACCGTGCACAGGAAGCTAACATAGGAAAGATCAAGGTAAGCCTTCGCAAGAGGATAATGCAAAGCCCTAGATCCGCTCACACATACTGGTCTTTTCAGGTTACGAACCGATCACAAGGGCCTAATGTCAATTGGGAGTACTTCCGGAAGCTTCATCCGGTTCTCCCTGTTATACAGGCACTTTCCGAGCACATGGAAACAGAATTTGCAACATGGACACGCTATAAGAAACATACAACACCAGATGACGAAAAAGGGATCAAACTACTTCAGCAAACATATACCAGTGCTCGCGTTCACGTCACAGTGCCAGGCCGTCTCGTGGAACGCGAGTCCGAGAGAGTCAAGGACTTCTACAACAACGGCATCGCTGAGTTCGCAAAGACGCTAGGAAGATGGGAGAATGCACGCACATATGCTCGCCGTGTCGACGAGGACTATAGCCAATTATCCGATGTTGACGACGAAGGAGGGATGATGGCAGATGATGAAGACGAAGGCGGCGACGAAAACACCGGTGCTGATGGCGCGGAAGACGACACAATGGATCGCGCTTGAGGACAGAAGACCTGGGATGTGTCACGACTGTGTGGCAATAACGCTCGTGAAGACGCTAGGATTGTGAGTACCTGACAGACAATATCAAATGACACGGACTTACCTGAGCGTGTCGGTAGATTTACGATGGGATGTGTTGGATATGGTGCGGCCGGAGGTACATTGACGTGGATGGTTGTCGGTAAGCTGAACCGAGCGAGCGATAGAGGGTGAGCAGGTGGGATGACTGCTCGACTGTGCAGCAGGTCGTACATCGGGCGTTGTGATCCCGTCATGGGCACATGCAACGTCGATGGTGCTCCGGCACCTGCTGTTGAGCCGGACGGAGTCGGCATTGCAGATGACGACGTGGACTGTAAGTCATCAGCCTGTAGTGCAATGTTCAGTACTGAATCTGCGAACACATCTTGAACGTACCAGGTCGCATCCCAAGTCGACTGTTTCGGACTGCAGCGTAGCCGCGAGGCTACGCGTCCTCGGTGCAGCTGGCCGATTTTCCTTCCGTTGAACGTCGCCACGCTTCCCGCGCTTTGCGTTGCCCGGCTTTTCGAATGCCTTGTCGACCTTTTGCAAGATCTCAAGCACCTCGAGACCGTGCCGCTTCAGCAAGACCCAAGGCGGATTATGCACCCGCTGCTCGATATCCTCCAGAGTCTTGAAGTCTTCAGAGTGGCATCATGCACGAGCTTCCGCAGCTGGTCATCCATGAGCAGCCCATGCTCGGTGATCGGGAAGTTCGCATAACGCTCGGAGAGAATCGTCGTGTGTCGCCAGGCCTTCAAAGCATCCATTGCGGCATCGTACCGTTTCCCAGCTCGTACACTCGCCAGTGTCGTCGGTCCTGCGTCATCCTCCATGGCGGGCACTGCGTGCGTTCGCCGTTTCTTCGTTGGTGTCTGAAGCACGTCCGAGTCTGCACGCCTTCGCTTGCGTCGAGAAGGCGTGCCCACCGAGCTCGTAGGAGTGTTGAAGATGGCGGAGGGGCTAAGGAGGGCACGGACAGAGGGTGCGCTGAACTCGCTGGACGCGTGTGAAGGCGGTGTTCGCGAAGGCGTCAATGGCACACGTTGCGGCGCCTCCGACTCGGACTCGCAGTCAAGTGCTCTCGCCGCACAGTTATCACAACATCTCTCTGGATCGACTGCATCAGTACTTCGGTGATTCCCCGACGCACTGATGCACACTGACACACACTGACGAAATTGAAGACATTTACCTCAGAAGCCGTCAGTGAGCTCAGCGCCATCAGCATGTCAGTATCATTGCTCTGTAGACGAGCTAAACTATCATATATTCGACGCACGAAACTACTGATCAAACCAATGGATAACATTCATGTACATGATAATCAGCCCATTTGTTCAAATAAAACCGTTTGAAAGCGAGATGTGAGTAGGAGAAATCGAAATCGGCCGGAAGACGACCTCTACCATAAACAGGGGGAGTATGACAAGCACGAACAATACAGTCTGTGTGTATCAATCCTACAGCCCGCTCACCATCAAACACTTCGGGCTCCAAGACCCACATGCCTGTGGTAGGGTCGGGAGCGTCACCGATTGGGAGGAGCCACTGAATGAGTGCACATGGGTACTTGATCTCGTTGTGCGAGAATGAGAGAAATGCAAGTACTCGTGCCACAACCATACCTCCCATGACACCATCATCTGGTCCATCCTGGACAAGCACGGTGTCGCGGCGCTCGTACTTTCCGTACCACAGCGGATGGCTGCGGATGACCTCTGAATGCATCCCGCCCGGCCCGGACAGCTCACTCGGAGCATAATAGAGTGCGCGCGCGCTGTAGTACACAGCGACATGCCCGTGGAAGCGAGGGCAGTCTTCGATGTCCACGTCCTCGGGCTCATTGTCAGAGTCGGAGTCGGAGTCTGCTGGAGGGTCAAGCTGTTCATGGAGAAAGCGGCGAATGAGATTTGGCAGGAGGGTCTTGAGTCTCGCGTCGAGATCGAGTCGCGAGATCGGTCGCGAATACGCTGACAACAAGATATTAGCATTGCTTCGAGTGAGACTGATAGTAACATACCTGGCTTCTTAGCCAACTCTATAGAGAGTGGCTCTGGCTCACCCAAAACGTCAGCAATGTCATTGAAGTGACGATTTTCGGCATCACCACCCTCTTCGTCTGCATCGTCAGCTTCTTCATCAACCATAGCTCGGTGAGGACCTCCGGGCCGGTCATCCTGGTCATCATCCGAGTCGTAGTATTCTGGATGGGCATGACGGCGGGCAGCCGAGAGGACGTCGTGTCGGAGCAACCCATTAGCCCCCCAAACAGAACGCGCGGCAGCAATTTTGCTCAGCCAACAGTTGATCTTAAGGATCTGTTGCAGCGGGTTGTTCTTGTTCGTTGCACGCCACGGCTTCTTGACTGCACGGATATGCTTCGATTCTGTGATCGACGAGCAGAGACCGTTCGGGGACCCGAAGAGCCTGATCCCTCGAACGTAGTGCATAAGGGCGTGTTGGCGCGGCAACGTGAAGTTCGCACGGATAGCCTCCTCGCGGAAGACCTCCCGAAGCTCGTGGAAGCGGCGCAGATGAGTCTCCATGAGCCGCAGAGAGTCCTCGTCGTGGGTAGATCGCCGAGCAATGTAACAGAAGTCCATGAACGACCGGACGCATTCAACAACACGTCCGGGGACCCCAACATCAGCTATTGCAGGAATGAAAATCTGAAATATATGGGGCACGACGAGGTTACTTAGAGAGCCCCACTAGATAACGGACGGAACTTACCTTCATCAGTGCCTTCGAGTCATCACCTGTCCATTGTTTGAAGTTTCGGCCTTGTTTGAAGCGCCGTAGACCGGGGAATGCAGGTACTGATCGAAGTCTACAAGGAATGTTACTCAATAATTCACGGAATTAGCAGATGGGCACTCACCGGCGGTCAAGAGCATCGATGATCGTGTTGGCCTCACGGGCTGAATTGTTCATTCTGATGTAGTCGAGTACCCACTCGACAAGATGGTCCTTAAAGGTTCCTTTGATCAACTGATGCAGGAGATCTGGAGAGAGTGCTTCGTGGATGTCCGCACGTGGGAAGTAATCCGTGAAGGGCTGTAAACTGTCAACATGTATTCACTCGATCAACATGCCTTGTCATACCTTCACCCCGGGAGCGATACCGAATGCGTCCCACAAGACGTCAGGATCATGCGAGTACGTATCTTTGATTTGTTGTGTTAGCTCTCGGAATCGCAGAGCTCCTTCTCCGAGCTCGTCGGGTGCAGCAAAACATCTGTGAATTACAAGGTTAGTGACATTGATGTTGCAAAACGAACTAGGGCGAACATACTTTGGACACCATCCTTGGACAACGCCAGAGAGGTAGACTTGCTCTGGGTAGTCGGCAATGAATGGTCCGAGCGAGTAGATAACCCGGCGAAAGTGACCGTCTGGGCAGAGCGTCACGCGCGGTGTTGTCATCCACGGCCTGAGAGGTTCGAAGATGTGTGCGAGAGATCGGTGGTAGATCTGCTTCTTGAAGATGCGGAACTCGGGGTCATTCTCGTCTTCGTTCGAACCTAAGCCGACGATGCCCTTAGCTCTTGATAGTATATGCAGACACTCAAATTCGACACACCTTTGGGAATGGCGAGGAACGCCAGTGGTATCACTGCCTCCCCATGCCCGCGCCGGATATCGTTATGTAAGTTACCCAGTGAGACGTACACAGGATGGAATTCCTGATCACCACTCGCAACTGATACGGTCGTCTTATCAGCGCCAACGATCGCTGTGGCGAGCATCGCACCACGGGTTGATGGGTCCAGGGCAATCTTGCTCTGTAATGTCGAGCAATATGAGTCGGAAGCGTGCACATTTGCCGAGTATCAATTCAGACTTACCGACTCCTTCCAAGCCCACAGTCCTGACATGAAATCGCACCACCTCTGCTTGCCTCCTGGCGTGAATTCTTTGTACGCACAGACGTCGAACTTGTTCTTGTATTCTGCATTGCGGAGAGTGTTCTCGAACGCAGCAAGTGGGTCGCGCGTGTGGACAACGTACGTCTGTCTTTTCCAAGCCGGTGACGTCGGGGTGATAGGGCCAGACCAGCGAATTTTGAAAGAGAACCAGGGGATGTCGCCAAAGGGGATCGCGTCGAGAGTACGCTGCAGCTCCGCCGAGAGTCCAGGAAAGAGACCAGAATCGTCAGGCGAATCTTCGACACCATCCATGATATTCTTCGCACGGATTATTCGCAGGAGGTGGTCAATGTCTTCGCGAGACGTAGCCATCTTCTCAACAGTGAGTTCTGCGAATTCGAATGATGGGCGGTCGGGAAATGGCTCGAAGTTAGTGATAGGTGGAGGCGGTGGCGGCGGCGGCGTCCCTGGCGGGAGGTAATGACCGTTCTCGTCACACGGGCGACCTGTAAGGAACAGAAGCGGTCAGCTAAACTTGGCTGCGATATTTGTGCAACACGAACCGTTGAGTATGTAGTGATTTTGCCTCCGAAGGGAAGGAACCTTCGGCTTGGGATGTTTGTGTTCTCTGGCGACATGCGTGCGGAAAGCTCGTCGGGTGGTGAATGTTGCTGAACAGGTTACACAAAAGAAAGTCATAGTGAGTATACAGAGGCTCGAGCGAGCGAAGAGGGAGAAGTACCAGTGAAACACGGCGTCGAGAGCTGCGGAGTGCTTCAAGCGAACTGATGCGACACTTGTTGCAACAAGTTCGAGTCGAGACTGATCCTTGGGGTGTTGGCAAGGCGGCACACGCTGGGTCGCACGCTCGATCCCGCTCGGTTCTCTGGCTTCGTCTTTGACTTGCCTGCTGTCTTTCGAGTCGACGCTTCTTGCTGCTACACCTCCCCTGTCACCTTGTACTCCATGCCAAATGCAACTCGTGGGCGTGGCCCGCATGGACGTGGGCCTAGAGGCGGACACAGACGAGGCGGGTCTTCATCTGCTGGCCGTACTACGTCGACAGCATCCAAGCGGTCTGCACCAGCACCGAGCGATACCGACAACGATCTGGAACTCGATGTCAGCACTGCGTCGACCCATCAGACTCGACGCAAGAAAGCACGCACCTCCGAGGTAGATGCTCAGGATACTGACTCGGATTTCAATCTCGACGAACCCTCTGCTAGTCCTCCGAGTCCTGCTGTCACTGTGCGCCGTACAGCACGCCAGACCGATCCTCATCCCGCGTGTTCGGCCGGTCTCCACAAGCGGTCCAAGACTGAGATCGCAGAGGTCGCAGAGAGGAAACGAGCTGAGGATCAAGCTGAGGCGGATGCCCGTGAACAGGAAGCCCGCTTGCTCGAGGAAAAGGAGGACGCAGGCACAAAAACGATTGCTGCACTACAGGATCGGCATGCCGAAGAGGAGGCTCTGCTTGACGAGGCGGGGATGCCACTTGATGGCTACGAGTCGGACGTCAACATGGTGGAGCAGGAAGAGGACGACACCGCAGCCAACGGCGATAAGGAGCAGAGTGAGGAGGAGCGCAGTGCGTCTGAGTCTGCACCGGTGAGTACACACGGTCGTATTGTTTATAGGTATGGTACCACGCACCTTATCTGATGTTCGAATCAGCCCGCGTCAAGACGCAAGGACAAGAAGCGCGAGCGCGTGGTCTCTGTGCTCTCTGCTATCGACTCTCACCGTCAACTCCCACCTCCCGCTTCGCCTCCCGCTTCATCTCGGTCAGGAACTCACAAGTCGAAGGCAAAGACAAGGTGCGTCTGCATGTCTTGCCATATATCATTCGTCTGCGGCCAAAGGCGTCTCATCGACACCGTATCAGCGCTGGCAACACCGCGAAATCTGTCAAGAGCAAACAAGCATCAGCGAAGACATCTGGCCTTAACGAAGACTGGCGGGCCATCATTGATGGTGCCGGCCTTGCACGCCATGACGATGCCACCATGTCCACGAAATCGACCAACGCACCGAAGAAGCGTCACGGTCGCGCGCAGGGCAAGAAAGATTCAAAGGAGGAGAGTGCTGTGCAGGAGAGAGGTCTGGCCGACAGCGATGTCGCTTTGAAGAAGGAGGACATGGTGGTGCTTCGGAAATCGCAAGAACAGGTGTGTAAATCGCTACTCTGTATTAGCCTGCTGTCTCATCAGTGATGTGTGCCCTCTGTCTAAGTTCGTGGAGATCATCGACTCGGACACCGAAGTCCCTACGCCTGCGAAAGCAAAACGGGCGCGTCGTGCTCCCGCCGATATACCTCAAGAGAAGTCAAGAGGCGCCGCTGCCGTTGTCCCCGCAGCGATATTCAGTGTCTGGTTCACGAAGATCCACCCGACGCTCATTGAACTCTATGGTTCACTCGATAACCCTTGGGACATCAGCCTCGACGATGTTCGTGACAACATCAAAGCGATTCTAGCCCAGGTCTGTCCGAAGTTCCGAATCACTGACCTCACCGATACGCAATTCAACAAGTTTGTCGAGCATGTAAGTAATTCTAATGCATGGCTTGCTCCATATGTCGTACTGAATGCTCCGGAAGTGTGCTACGAAGGTCCGTGACTGGCGCAAGGGTCTCCTCCTGAAAGCGAAGCGACTCGTCGATGCGGACCTCAAGCGCGTGGACGGCGGAAAAGCAGGCCGTGCAAAGCACGTCAAGGACGCTCTCGAGCCTCATGGAGCAGCATTCAACAATGTAGTCGATGGCAAGGTTTGTCCACCGCGGCTCGGGCAGCTGTATCATTCGGCTAACCAAACTCGACAGGCCGGTCGCATGAAATCCGTGTACATCCTCAAAACGTTCGCGAAGCACCTCAAGACTATTGAAAACTCGTGTATGCACCGGCCGCGCCCTAGTGGCGCTCTTGCGCTGTGTTACGCCGCAGTACGCCGTCTATTTCGTACTGTGTATGTGTTGGACTGACAGTATCTTCGCTCACTTTGCAGGTACAGGCTTCGTTCGAGCAATGGCAGTCTGGCTCGGACCAAGGCACTCCGGCATGGGACGGTGACGCCGCGAGAGACTTGGTCCTCGGCGCATTCAGGACGAACATCGAGTGGCTCTCTCGTCATACCGATCAATTCGACACAATCATCAAGGCTGCAAAAGAGACCCAGAAAAGCGAGACGTACCGACAGCCACGGGAGCCGAAGGCGCGGGTTGTTCGACTGTACACACCGAGCGGATCCGAAGCAGAGGGAGATGGTGATGCAGGGGACGAAGGCCAGGGGTCATCGGGTGATGGCGATGATGACTAGATGTCATGCCGTACCTTACAGCTGTTGTCGCATGTCGTCTCACATTGTAGTACTACCTCGTCTGTTCCAATGAACCTATGCATAAATGTCACGAACGAGATTGATGTGCCATGAAATCCTCTGACGTCTACTGACATCTGCTGACACATTCTACCTAGCAGCTACTGACGAAATACAGGCCAGCTTTCGATTGAAAAATGGTCCCTACTGAATGCTACTGTGACACACTGAACATCGCTGAAATGGCCATTTCAGTGGCTTCAGCGAGGTTCAGTAGTTTTCCCTAAGTTCTGATGTGCCACCCCAGGTCGCGCAACAACGAACGCGTTAGCAAGGATTTGCACAGCAAAACTCCGACATACCAGTACTATCTCTTGGTGGGTTGTTGAAGTACTCATCAGTGATGACGCGCCTGCAATTAGGCGTTTCAAGCCATACACGGAGCGCGTTTTCGACATTCATCTTGTAAGTCTTTTCTGGCTGACTGACAACGGCGTTTGCGGTCGTCTCGTGCGCCTTCTTCTTGCGTTTTTTCGTAGCTACCTGCTGAAATGCTGATTTCTCCACAAGCAGGATTGCTACGGCTTGAATATCCGGAGACCGCCCCGCACGTTGTATCCACACGGTCAACGATGATGGGACACCGAACTGTACAACACGTTCGATGTCAGGGATATCTGCTCCCTGTAAGTCCTCGTTAATCTCCTGTATGTTTCCACGAGTCTGACACTCTGACCATGCCCGCCGCCTCGGTTGCGACAAGAATCCTTATATCACCCTCTCGAAAGCGTTGCATGACACGCTCCCTGCCGCGACGTCGTCTATAGGCATGTAAGAAGTCGATCTGATCTTCATCCATTCGCCCATTGAGCTTCTCGCGAATGTGACGCCAGATCTGCATAGTCGCGGCCCGCGTGTTCGCGAAGATGAGGGTCTTTGGGACTTCGGTTGATGCAGAGATGCTCTCGAGATCAAGAACTGTGTCTAGTATGTCTAGATCATCCTTGCTCTTCATCTCGACAACTACCTGCTTGATGTTTGGTCTGTCGTTGCCCAGGTTCAGGTGGTATGATGTCATGGGATCAATGTGAGTCTTCGTCTCGATTTCTTCGAGTACTGATGGAGTTAGTGTTGCAGAGAGTGCGAGAACTGGTGTTCGGCCATGGACAATTGCTCGTAGTTTGTCGAGTTTGTCGTACGTCGGCCGGAAATCCCCTCCCCACTGCGATATGCAGTGAGCTTCGTCGATGACCCATGCGCCGATCCGTTCGGACAGTCCCAACTGGGACATCGTCTCGCGACACGCAGGATGCTCAAGGCACATCTCTGGCGATGTAAATACAGCACGGTATTTGACTGCTAATAGGTCCTGCAGTCCGGTGAGATAATTGCTCATGTCGAATCTCAGGATGCCGCGCACCTTTCGGAGGCTCTCAGACCATGTGTCACCATTGACAGCACATGCTTCGATGCCCATGTGCCGAAAGCGGCGCGTCTACCACAAAACGTGAGTGAGAAGTGTATGTCTCTATTATCTGCATACCTGATCTCGTTGTAATGATTTTAGTGGTGATACAACAACGAGGACTTTCGAGCGGAACTCGGGTAGAAAGAGCGGGAGCATGTACGGTACGGTCTTGCCAGCCCCTGTACCAGCGATGTAGGAAGAGTCGAGGCCGAGCACCAACGATTCCGCTTCGTCAAGTTGCCACTTGCGAGCTGTCATCTTTTCTTTTGCTCGTGTATGGAACTCCGTTGCCATTATGTTGCGAGTTCTTGCTGAGTCGTAGCCATGTTCTTCAGTGGCTAGCTTTCTTGCCCTTTCAATATTTTGTTGCGCGACTTTGCGCCTGAGGTCGTGATTCGCTTTTGCATACAGATCAGCACGAGAGAATGCCATGGTAGTAGTGATAGATTTCCGTCGCAACCTCGAGACTCGGTGACGAGCGCGTACTTTTCTCTAAATGGAAGGAGGTCCGATCGGACAAGTCTATCTCAAATCTACGATTGAGGGCACGAGGCTTCTATTCTGGACCGTCGTGACCGTTACAGCGAGCGCCTCGCGGGCGTCTATTCAAAGGGGGGTCGCCCTCACAAACTGCCCCAGACGTGTCGGAGCGGTGGTGGGGTGCGTCCACACGGATGGGTACGAGACCAGCTCACGCTTGCCCGTCCCCGCCCCTCGCGCGCCGTCCGCATGCCCTCCCGCCTGGTCGCCACCATGCCCTGACCCATAGCGCGCTCATCGGCTGCGTCTGCACGCGAGGCACTGGCCTTAGGTGCTCGCGGTCGGCGTGTTGTGTACACCTCGGCCCTACCCACCGTTGTTGCTATCTGAGCTCGCACGGGCGCACTCCGTTCGTCGGTCGTGATTGTGTGCTGGGCATTCGCCTAGCGCGCTCGCGGTCGTCGTGCGTGTGGTGCTCGTCTGCGCCCTGTGTCCGTCCGCTTCGCCCGCTCGCGCACCCACCCGCTTGCCTACTCACCTTGCCCACCTGCTCGCTCTCCCTGTCTTCTCGTCCACCGCGCGTTCATGATGCGTACTGATGTCAGCACTCGCCCACTCACCTTGGACACCCTCATCTATTGCGTGCTGACCCACTCTTGCTCATGCTCGTTCGATGAGCTTGCTCTGTCCACCTCGTGTGCGCGTTCACCGTTCACCGACGATCTCTGACCTGGTCATTCTCCCGTCTTCACGGCCGCGAACGTCTAGCTGTGTGATAAAGCGAAGGTGGGCTTGATCGTAGTGATTAGTGGAAGCGTGGTCCACTGAGGGGATGTCCATCGAGGGCGTACCATCGAGTTTCGAGCCTTTGTGCTCGTGTCCCCTGCTCTCACCTTACTGTTCTCCCTTCTGTCTCTCCTCCTCCTCGTACTATTCTCCTTGCCTTGCGCATGCCACGTTCTTATCGCTCGACTCGCGGTCGTGTCATGCGAGTCCTAGGCCGCGTGGCCTGTCACCAGAGTAGCGGGTTATCAGAAAGACGTTGCCAGCAGCCTTCGAGACACGGTATCGACACCTATAGACCCTGAGAGTACAGATAGAAGCCAGAGGCCACACTGCAACTATTAGCAGGGTAACAGAGCGCGACACGGCCACAGGGAGAACTTTGAAAGCAAGGTGGTGGTGGTATGCAGTCAAGGTTTCAAGACACTCTGCGACGGCGGATGACGTCGTGGCGACGACGACGAAGAGTTAGAGTCACGCGATCGTCATCTTAAATACGCAACTTCGGGTACAGCCTGCAATGAGACTCTGGATACGTTTTGCGCAAACCCTGTTAATCGCGCGTCGCACGTCGGAAAGGGCGACACACAAGGAAAGAAGAGAGAAAATGCGGCAGAGATCGCGAGCGTGCGTCCACTTTAGCGCTTTTAGCTCCGAGGAGAGCAGTTCAATTAGATTTTGATCGGTAGAATTCTTATTTCTTCGTTCTCGTTGACAGGTATTAGTACTGCTTCGCTCAAATTCTTTTGAATTCGTGTCAGTTTTGACTGGGGTTGAATCGACGAACGTCTCTCTTTGCGTGCTTTCACTGCCGGACGTCGTGAAGGGATCCACGATCAGCCCCGTTCCGCCTTCCGTGGCCTCGCTCATCGCGCCGGACACCTACGTGCTCTTGAACAAGTCAGACGTGGCGGATATCGCGCCCAACCGAGTTTCAGCTGTACTGGATGCCCTTGGAACCAGCAGAGGATGGGTCGTCAGCTTGGCTACGGGTAAGGGTACGCAAGACTTCCTAGACGGATTCGCACAGGCATTACAGGAGCGGGTAGTCGCGCTTCGACATGCGCTCTGACCGTCCTGCAGGTACGACGTACATCAGGAGCAGAACACGGATGTCCGTCCGCTCATAACTCATGCCCGGCATCGTGTCAACCTGGAGCATGCACTGCAGTTTCTGGATGCCTTCCTATGCTTTGGTGAGCGCGTGCTTCGATCGTCGTAGGAAACAGGCTCTGATCGCGGGGCTTATCCCAGACGCAGAGGACGCAGTGCTGGCTGCGGAAGAACTCCGCTACGCCGCACAGGCAATTGGCAAAATTTCTGGCGTGATTGATGTGGAGGATATCCTCGATGCTGCATTTCGTGACTTCTGCATCGGCAAATTAGGAAGTGGCTTTTCTTTGTTGGAATTTGTGGAATCCAGCCACTATATCAGTCGCCTTTGTTTATGATGCATGATGCTTCGCGCACTCCGTTGCTCCGTGTTTTCGTCCGTATAACTGGACTTGAGCCGGTAGCCTCTAGCTCCCAGACTTTGACACCGTTAGCCCACAGCTGACGAGGTACGCCCCCGCGCTGTTCTGATTGAAGACATACTTACTCAATATATCGGATAGTGCATCATGTACTCACAGATGAAGCGTGGTTTCCTCAAGCAAGGATTGGACTCGGAGGGCAACACGCGAGCGCCATTCACATCGTCGGTCAAGCTTCCCGTCCAGGACCGCGGCGCTGAACGTCGGCCCAAGCCGCCTACGGCGGACAGCACCCGTCCTGACGAGGGCATGTACGCCCAGATGAAACACGGTTTTCTCAAGGAAAGTAACAAGGAACGTGCCGAAGCGAATACGGCGTCGGTGGGCGCCGTGCCAGAACTGGCCGCGAAGTCTGCCAGTCGAGGGCGCTTCTGCTTAGTATCCCCGAGGAAATCAAGAGCAAGGCTGGGCCGCCTACAGGGCCGCCCCAGATGCCCCCGCCTTGCTTTTGTACCTACTCGGGGGATAGCGGCGAGACGGACATGGCCATTATTGGATCCCGTGCAGAGCTCGAGCACATCATTCCATTTGGTGAGGTCGCTCTGGAGAAGGAACTGCCAGACCACGGGAAAGTCCGGCCTTTCCGGGTACAGGAGACTGCCCAGATGGGTCTGGGGTTGTTCGCGACGCGGTCCATCAAGGCTGGCGAATTGATCATTGCAGAACGACCCACCATCATCTCGTCCTCAGGCGTATGTGGCACGAAGTACTATGTGCCTTTCGAGCCCTCTTTTTACGACGCCGTCCTTGCAGCGCTGTCGGAGGGCCCACGCACTTCCTTCATGGCTCTGGGCGACTGCTGCCTTGTCGGGGAACGATGTCATCCACTTCCGGGACGCGTCAAGACGAATGGGTTCGCCATCGGTGCCATGTCCGATGCGCAAAAAGCCTTCAAATATGTGGCGACGTACCTCACAATATCTCGCGCGAACCACGACTGTGCTGCGAACGCGCACTACCACTGGAACAAGACGAGGTGGTGTGGGCAGATATTTGCCGTGAGGGATATCACGGCGGGCGAGGAGATCACGACAACGTACGCGCCATTGGCGACGCAGTCGCTGCGGCACGCATTTTTCGCGATTGGGTATTCATGCAGCTGCCTCTGCAAGACATGTCTGGAGGCGTCGCCGGAGGACGTGAGGCGCAGCGACGAGCGGCGGAAGGCGGTTTTCGGGTTGCTGTATGACCTGGAGAACGCCTCAGATCCCTCGTCGTACCCTACCCTTTCGAAGAAGTCCATCCGACGGACGTTGCGGTACGCACGGGAGGAATCATTGATGGCTTCATACGCATACATCTTGTTCGAGGTCGGACGAATCATGCGAGTGCAAGAGGGCCCTGTAGGAGCGCTCCGGTGGCTAAAGGAGGCCAGGAGGGCGTTGGTCTTGGTTGTCGGGGAAGAGTCATGGAAGGTTGCCCGCGTCGATAGTGTCGGGAGGTCAGTAATAGCGGACATTGTCCTTGCTTGCGGTGTACATTACAGCTGGCCCTAGATAACGGAATGAGATGGGCCACCACAGTGCTGCTTGCTGCATGGTTCTTAATGAGATGGTAGGAACGGTCCGACATTGTATCGTTCTAAAATTTGATCAATTCGACATCATAATACTCGTCTGCTGTAAATTTGAGGAATCTGTCTAAATAGTAGCGACAGTATTCATATATGTAACCGGAGCTACTTACAGGCAAATACATGGCGTCGCAAGTTATGATACCTGACTACGGCAGATCGTAGGCCCGGGGTTGCGCTTTTGGCGATGAGGTGAACATATTAAAACGAGGACTATAGTACACAACCCATGATCAGCTTGAGAGCTTCAATAAGCGCCTCAGCATTTGGATACATACTACTTAAGTCAGATCTCGATCGAATCGATCGTGGTTAGCATCCGATTATCCACAGCCGACGCTCACTCCTCCCGCAAACTCGGTCAGTTATCAGGTACTTACTAGCTCATTTATGTCTCTGTCCCTCAGTGTTTCATCTTCTACGTCTGGGTTATTCGAATAGCATGTACTCGCAGATGAAGCGTGGCTTCCTCAAGCACGGGCTGGACCAGGGTACTACCGCGCCGCCGCCGACCAACTCGCCGACAATGCCGTCTGCCAGGCGGAAGCGTGTGGCGGCAGCAGAACCTCACACCAATACATCTACTGCGAGTAGCACCCGTCCTGATGACGGTATGTATACCCAGATGAAGCGCGGCTTCTTGAAGGAAGGTCGCAGGACCCGCGCCGAAACGAACACGGCCTCAGTGGACAGCGCCGTGCCTCCGTCGGCCACGAAGCCTGTTAGTGTCAATGGAGGGCATTTTCGCTTGGTATGCCCCGAGGAAAGCAATAGCAAGGCGGGGCGGGCAACTGGGCCACCCCCGCCCTGCTATTGTACTTACTCGGAAGACAGCGGAGAAATAACGATGGTCATGATTGGATCCCGCGCCGAACTCGAGCACATTATTCCCTTCGGCGAGCTCGCTCTGAAAAAGCCACTGCCAGACCATGGCACGGCCCGTCCCTTCAGCATACAGGAGACTGAGCACAAGGGCCTGGGGATGTTCGCGACGCGGCTCATCAAGGCAGGCGAGTTGATCCTCGCAGAAAGGCCAACTCTCCTCTCATCCAATAACTCGGTCGGAAACAAGTACCGTGTCCCTTTCGAGCCCTCTTTCTACGACGCAGCGCTCGCTGCCCTGTCGGAGGCCCCGCGCACGTCCTTCATGACGTTGGTCGACCGATGCTCTCTCGGGGAGCGATCCCACCCGCTCCCAGGCCGCATCATGACGAACGCGTATACCTCCGGGCCCTTGACCGATGAGGTGGACAACCCTGTCGCTTTCGGCGGGACATACCTCACGATTTCCCGCGCGAACCACGACTGTGCTGCGAACGCGCACTACCACTGGAATAAGGCGAGGTGGTGCGGGCAGTTCTTCGCCGCGCGGGACATCCCCGCGGGCGAGGAAATTACGGCGAAATATGTGACGTCAGTAACGCGGGCGGAGCGGCAGGCATGCTTTGAGAGGCTGTATTCGTGCGAGTGCCTCTGCAAGACGTGCCTGGACGCCTCGCCGGAGGACGTGAGGCACAGCGACGAGCGGCGCAAGATAGTTGCGGAGCTGCTGCATACCTTGGAAAATGCGCTGGAGCCCTCTTCGTACCCTGTGTTGTCGGAGAAGGCTGTCCGGCGGACGCTGGGGTACGCGCGGGCGGAGGGGATGAATTTCCAGGTTGCGAGGATCTTGTACGAGGTCGGTCGAATCATGCAAGTGCAGGAGGGTCCGCTGGCGGGGCTCAAGTGGTTGAAGGAGGCTAGGAGGGCGCACGTGTTGATTCTCGGGGAGGAGTCGTGGAAGGTTGCCCAGGTAGATGACATCGGACAGTTCGTGGTAGAAAACATACGAGCGTGCGGTGTACAGTGCAGTTGGCCTTAGCTAAGATTGAGAACGACTGAGATGATTTACTGTAAAGCTCACAGCACGGCTGTAACGTTCTATTGTATCGTGCTATATGGTTTGAATGAACTCACTTTCCCAGTGAAGTCTCGGTGACCGGTAGGTCAGCCTCAGGCTCTCGCACCGCCGCAAGCCATTGAGGGAAAGTATTTACGTAGTGGGAAGCGCAGCAGCTGGCCAACCTCAATAGGCAAGGTGCAGCTGTGCTCAAACGGCTAATCTTGCTGGTGTACTAAGAACTACCCGAAATCTCATGTCAGCATACACGGCGATTCACAAAGTGTGAGTACCTCTGTTAGGAGTTAGGGAAACATCCCCTAGCTCCGGAGGCGCAACAATATTTTGCACAAGCCTGCCATTGGCCTGCCAATCAGATCCCGAAAGGCAGTAAGATGATGCAACCGCGTGCGTACCGCGCACTCATCAGCAAGCCAAGGTCAGCAATTGCCAATGCCCGCGACGGTGTGCCGCCGATCATATCTGCGCTTCTGGGATCGACGATGCGCGCACGGCTTGTCTCGGGACTCGGATGCGATGCAGTGCTCTTCACCAAAGTTGGATGAGCTTGCGAGGAATGCGCGGCCACTCGCGGGCAGTGTGTAATGTGAAGTGAGATGGCCCTCAGGCTTGTAGTACGATATACTGTGACTAGGTTGTGATTTGAAGCCTCCACTGCATAAGTTACTGTAACGACGACTGTCTACTGCACATGCTAGCGCTTTGGAAGACCGCTTTACACACCGTCGAAAGCACGTAAAGCGGTGCTGGTCAGTCAGTCACCAATGGCATTCGTAACGCTCGTTGCATGGTTCTGTCATAGGTCACCGGCTTTTGATATGATCAGCCTTATATTATAATACTGTGTAGCCGCGCCGGCCTTACGACCGATGGGAAGTACAGTCCTGCAAATGGTGCTGTGTTAATATGGTGCCTGAGGCCTGATCGGCGCGCAGAGGTAGTACGTACCTCAGGCCGGTAGAACTTCTCCCTTGTCCGTGGATACCGGTGGACGGGTAGTATCAGCTGGGTACAACTTGTGCGTCTCAGTGACTGGCCCGCTTGATGTTCCGAGGCATTCCGCGACAACACAGCACATGAGCGTCCTGATGACAGTGATGTACTTAGCATGCAGAGAGCCGTTGTAAAATAATCGCATTGAGGGCCATGCGGCCTATGGCATAATGGCTCTGTAGCAATTTCAACCGTTCTGTAAGTAGTGCAGTCACGTGTACCGCGAGACATGCGTGAGCGGCGAGGGAAGTGACAGAACAGTACATACAGTAGTTGACTGGCTCCAGGACCAGGCTTGTGCAACTGCGGTGAACTCTGAAGTGGTCTGGAAGTGGTGGAGACGGCACTTCGTTGGCACGATAAGTATAACTTACTCCGCAGATCGCCGGGTGCAGAACGAGTGGGCCACCCAAACCCGGCCACTCGAATGAGCATCTCCGCGGACAGTGTTTCCTAATCCACTCACAGCGGAAGCTGTCTACTGAGTGTGTGTGAAGCTGCCCTGAGGGGCGCTGTTTTGCCCACAGGTCGTCCTCGACGGCCAGTGCGATGTTGAGCTCGGTGTTTGCGCAGAGCAGGAACTGGGTGAGGAAGGCTCGGGCAGCACAGCAATTGTAACGCGTCTGATGCGACTGAGCGATCCCGAGCTGGGCACGCTAACGCTGGGCGCCTGTGCTGCAGGACCTGGGAGGAGGCTGCCTTTCCGCATCATTTTCGAGACGTCTCGCCGGAGCCTTGCCTTGCTATCGTTGCCAATCCAGATGCAGAAGATCCGGCGTTCCGCTCATCCAGCCTGCAGGTAAGACCTCGGCAGATTGGGCGTCTTGTCCGTGCGGGGAAGCGGTGCCCTTTTGGACGACCTCCTCCCGCCGCGCCTCTTCACAACAACTTCACGACCCCTCTCTGCACCCCTCTCTCTCCTTTCCGCCAACGCGCGACTCTCTGAACAATGTCGAGACCCGAGGACAAGTCTGCAACACGACCGAACAAGCTGCGCCGACCCCACTCGCCAGCGGCCCCGGACTCCGAGGACGGCGATCGCCAGGGCTCAGAAACGCGGCAGCCTCCACCCAAGCGGGCACGCAAGGCAATCAACTGCGAGCCATGTAGAAATAGCAAGCTAAAATGCGATAGGTACGCTCACTTTCTCCGCGGCGTCGCGACGTCAAGTCGCTGGCTGCTAACATGATCTCCTCGCAATCCTCGGTCATGTCAGGAATCGTCCTTGTTCCTCCTGCGTGCTGAGAGGTGCGCAGTCATAGTCATTCGAACGTAAGTTACACGTGTGCTGATGTCTCTATACCGTCTGCAGGTACAACAGCTTCATGTTACCAAGGGCAGGATAATGGGCCGACTAATCAAGATGAGACGAGGTGAGTTCGTGTCAAGTTGGGTGTCTGGTTATTGGTATGTTCGTCAAAGCCAGCGGCACGCTCAGGAGGTGTTAGCTATTCCGGCAGGGACTTGGGGATGACGCCGTGCGCATGTGAAGCCAGCCTGGATGAGCTGCGCAGACTCACATGCCATCCTCGCCGTCCTGTCCCTCAATCAATTCCCTCGGACATGGGTGTTGAAAGGACGATTTCGGAGGCATCCCCGATGAGGGCCCCCGGTTGTAGGCAGAGATGCCTGACCCTAGATCTCGGTTCTTAGTCTGGATGAAATCAGGCCCCTGCGCTTGCTGTGATCCATTGCTCGCACTTTATATCAGGCATGGCTTCGGTGGACATCCATTCAGATTGGGGGTCCGGGCCTTACACGACACCCTGTGTGTCGGTTTGTCTATTCATTTGTGGGTGTCTTAGAGACAGGCCATGCATCGGTCTTGAAACGCTCAAAAGCTGCCACTGGCAGCTCTGAGGAGCTATCAGGAGGCTCGCTTACGGACCCTTACGCGAGACCGGGATGCCCGCCTCACCACTGCTCAGCCAATGGCGAGTGCTACCAGTTTGGGTTCAGCGTCGAGGCATGCTTTTTGTATCTGCAATTACACGACTATGCAGATGGGCCTAGCCCGCTGCGAAGTCACCCGTCGGGCATGACCAGAGTTGATTCACATAGTGGCCGGCAAACTGTGTATGCTTGGTATATGCTCTGTGCCACTGAGTACCACCAATTGGGTACTAGCTGGACCTAGACACCGCAGGTGTATTGACTAGGCCAGGCCGTACTTACATGCCGCCCTTGCCGTCCTGTCCCTTGATCAATTTCCTCGGACAACGGTGTTGTGAGGACAATTGTGGAGGTACCCCCGATGGGCGTCCCAGCGTCCCATCACGATCTGGGTAATCCGACTACTCTAGGCGCACGGAGTGGGTGCTTGGAGTGGGTGCTTGTATGCTTCCCCGTGGTCAACTCGTGCAAACATGCAGAATGCGAGACGGGATGGTAGGCAGGACTGAAGGCTACATCGTGTTCCTCTGGGATATAGCTACCCCAGCTGCAGATGTTTTGATCTCTGCCAAATACCGTGCCTTGTATCCAGAATGCTAGAATCGTCTGATCCCACCTTCCGTCTGCTAACGCGACTCTTCGTTAGACAACCCGACCCGCTGTCGGAGATCTCGCGCATCCGCCAATCTCTCGTACAGCTCGAATCCTACATCAAGGTAGACAGCTCAAATATCCGACCCATTATCGGATATGCGCATCTACCGCCGAGTGCCCGGTCAGGAGCACATCCACTAGCCCCGCTAGCGGCCCGGCTGGACTCACTCACCCGCGGAAATGGCGGAGTTCCTGCGTCGCCAGCCGATCGAACGAAGACTGAAAGCTCGCCAATGGTCGGCACGCCTGGTATGTTTGGAGGGCGCATGGGCGGCATCTACCTTGGTCCTACCGCTACGGGGTCGCTCATGATGGGGGTACGCTCTTCCCGTTCCTTACCATGGCACACCACTTAACCAGCTACAGAACCACGACCGGGATGAACAAGACCCACAGAGTCCTACCGCACACATAGAAGATCCCACCGAGCACTATGCAGAGTATGACAACGACTTCCTCAGCGAACTGCCTAACTTCGACACCATGGACGCGCTGATCGCGTATTACTTCGACTACTGCAACTGGATATACCGGCATATTAACGAGAAGGCGTTTATGGAGGGCTGGCAGCGGTTCAAGGAGTGGAAGTCCGGCGACCGGGTGGTGCTCGCGACGGCGTGCATCATCATGTGCCTCGCCCTGCGCTACCTGCCGGTTGGGCACCCGTTGCTCGAGCGGATGGGGTCCGCGTCGGTCGAGGAGCACAGCAACAAGTACCACACGCTCATGCGCAACGTCCTGAAGCGCCACCGCGAGTCGGCAGAGAGCCTGACGCGCACGTACACGCTCCCGCTGGTAGAGCTCCTCCTTGCGCAGTCGCAATACCTGACGTTCGCGAAGGAGGACCCGGAGGAGGTGTGGAAGCTCGCGGGCGAGCTGATCGGCATCGCGACCGCGATGGGCCTCCACCGCGACCCGTGCAAACACAAGTTCGACCGGCTCGTCGCGGAGCGTCGCCGCTGGGCGTGGTGGCACATAATCCTGTTCGAGCGGTGGCAGGCATTCATGTTCGGCCGCCCGCTGCACGTCTCGTCGCATCACTTTGAGACGGACCTGCCCACGGTGCGCGACCCCGACGTCGAGAAGACCGTCGGGCGGCTGTACCTCCCGAACGTCGCCCTCTTCAAGCTCGCGTTCATCCTCGGCCATATCATGGACGACGCGGTGTCGTTCAAGTCGATACAGTATACCTCCGTCCAGGAGAAGGACAAGATGCTGATAGACTGGTACGATAACCTCCCGGCGGAGCTGAAGCTCGACGAGTACGCGCTGCGGGCGGGCCTCCTGAGCCAGGAGAAGGCGACGCGGCGGCTAGCGGTGCAGAGCCTCATCGACCGGTGCGCGTACCTGCACATCCGATTTACGCTGCACCGGCCGTACATTAAGGTGCAGGCGAGCCTCGACGCAGCGGTCGACGCGGCGTCGGAGCTGATCACCCTCTCCACGCACGCGTACAGCGTGCAGAGCGTACCAGGGCACCTGAGCTGGTTCCCGTTCCACGTCTTCTCCGCGGCGATGTTCTTCTCGTTCCAGCTGATTACGAACCCGGACGTGCCGGGGAAAGACACGTTCCGCGAGCAGGTCCGCAAGACGATGACGCTGCTGGAGCGCTGCCGCTGGCTACCCGTCGCGGAGAAGGCGCTGTCGATCTTGCAGGCGCTCCAGCCGCTATACTCGGAGGAGCTCGTGAAGCAGTCCGCGGAGCAGCGCGCGCAGAAGAAGGCGGAGGTGCTCAAGGTCGTGAAGACGCTCGCGTTCCCGTACCAGGACCCGCCCACGGCACGCGAGACGGACTTGCTGCGGGGACAGGCGTACCCGCTGACCTCGCACCTTGGGAACAGCCTGGCGTCTGCGGGGGTTCCGCAGCAGAGGATGGAGGGGTGGCTTGCTCAGTCACAACGACAGGTCACGGCGATGTCGACGTATTCGCAACCCTCTATGGCTGCGCGCCCCATGCAGCAGCAGCTCGGGATGCAAGCTGGGCCGTCTGCGGACCCACTCCCGTACTCGCATGCTCAGGCGATGCAGTCATCACAGGGTCAGCCGAGCAATGCGCTGCTCCAGACGGCGAGCATGCTCGCGATGCAGAGCGGGCAGATGTCCGCACCGTCGTATGCGCAGATGAACATGAACGGGTACGGGATGGCGCCGCTGCCCTCGATGGTGCCCCAACGCCCCATGCAGCAGCAACATCACACGCAGCCGCTGAATTACGCGACGGGGACGATGGACGGACAGAATGGCCAGCTGTCGTATACGCCGCCGGCGGACGAGAGCTCGATGTGGGGCGCGTCTGTTGGGATTGGGATGACGGAGTGGGCGCAGTTCCTCGACGTGGTTGCGCGGCCGGAGGGGGAGCAGCAGGGCCATTGAGGCTTGCCGTGGCTGATTTCGTCTTCTGAGACATGTGCGTTCTTACTTTGATTTAACGTCGTTTTCTTTTCCGTTCCTGTGTATCTTATGGCCCTCGCGCTAGTCCCCTCGTGTTGTTCGCTATGTATTGGTGTATCCTTCTACATACGTGTATATCGTGCTATAATTAGACTTTGGATTTCGGATTCAGTTTGCTATTGCTGGACCAGTCTTAGTGACTTGCGCTTCGACGGCTGCGCTCCCGAAGTTAGAAGTATTCGAAGCCTGTCACAACGAGACAAGACAGATGCAGCTCCAACCCACTAGGACCACCAATGGCACGATGGAACTCGAGGCTCAGGGGAACTGTTGTCAGTGTTGATACGAGCGCAGATCTGCGACAAGGCCCAAGGCCATTAGTACTAACACACTCAGACCCACTACCCGTAGCACACGCCGGTCGACCGCCGTACAGTACATAGTACGTACAATCCCGTCAAGAGCGTTGTGTCCTCCGGTGCGTACGGCATGGCTGTTGTCAAACCCATTAATGGTCATCTCGGATGCTGAGCGGTCTTGCGCTACATTAAGAGACTATGACCGCAGTGGTCACGATCATCAAGAACAGGTCAACCTGCATTCGAGTCTATAGATGCGTTGACGGTCTAGATGCGAGGTCATGCACCGCTGTGTAGAAGACAACCGTTCGCACTTTGACGTATTTCAGCGGCTTGGTTTTGCTCGGAAGATGGTGCGGATGATGTGCCCGCCGGAATCACTGACAGCTATGTAAGGTAACTTATTTGGGTCAGTTTAGGTACGAGTATGTCGGATGTCTAACACACTTCACTAGTTCATGCAATGTTCGGCGAGTATCGTGTGCAACAAGTATCGGCGGACGACAATTCCACTCGCAGTGGAAGTACTCGTTCGTCTGACCCAGAGCGGGCCAACGACTCCCAACCTGCTGGATCAATGCGAGGACCTCGAGAATCACCACTTACGACCCTTTTGCCGTAGAACGTGCAAGGCCGATTTCGCTTCTCTTCGGTTCAACAATGCGTGTGCATAACACTGACATGCATTTGATTCACCTGCACTCCTGTTGAGACTAGTACCCGATAGCATCACGGCACATTTTGTCACCTGTCAATTCGGGATGGTAGCGTCAGCGTCACAGACGAGTTCGCGTTTCACCGTATTCACGTTGAGTTGATAGGCACTCGAGTAGATCCGAGTGTGCGGCCCGTGGGGGTATGCATTTGCTTTGACTGCCAGCATGTATGGGTGCTGTGCGGACTTGCCTTCTGAGGCTATCCGAGCAGAACTGCACTGCGCCTGGCGGTGCCGTAGCGGTAGAGGTGCCTCGACAACAATGCATAACCAAATGAGAGAATCTGTACGTGGAATGAGCGAGAGTTCGCGTCCTTGCGCGCGTCGAACTAAGTTGTGGGTGGGTGGCATGAGGGCGTCCTGACGCGACGCGACGCGACGGGGAACGGGGGCGGCCCACGTGTCATTCATAAAGATCGGGAGATGCCGCGGGGGCGACGCTATTTGTGTTGGTTGGATTTGGGCGACTCTCTCCAGGCCGCCATCTGCTCGCCATCTTCATCCCTCTCCGTCTGTACTACGGCGTCCTAGCCACTCGGTCCTGTCTTTCTTTTCTCGTTACGTTCGTTCAAGAACAGCCACTCCTTTTACGCCCCCGACGCTCTACGTGAATACCATGGACCACCCCGCAGTCGCCAGCAACACAGCCAGAGAGGAGGCTCATTTCCTCGCCGATAAGATGAGGGTGTGTGTTCATTTCATTTGTTGTGTCGAACTCCATCATCTAGGATTGCTGGTGTCTCGAAGTCGAGGGGGTTGCCTGACCCCTTTTCACTGGGTATCAGCCATGTTCTCATGTTCTCGTTCCATTACTACGGTGGCGCAGTGATACGAAAGCTCGTGCGTAGCCCCTCTTCCAAGCTGTTCCTCTGTTCATCCACAGTGAAAAGTCTTTCGTGACTTTTCGGAGAACAGGGGAGGAAGCCTTGCTAGGGTCGGGTTGGGCGGGTCGGGTCGAGCTTGATGTGGGTTGAACTTGGGGCGCGTGGGCGCGCAGTGCGCAGGCGCCAGCACGCCGCACACTCGCTACAGGTCGCCATCTCTTCCTCTGAAAGACGTCGGGTCTTGCGAACTTGCTTCGAGTCCAGGATATCTGAACGTTGATCGAATGTTCGAGCGACCCGTGTCCGTCACCACATATAACCAATTGGGCTCAGGCCTGAAACGTGTCTCGAAATGCTCGAAATGCCCTTCTAGCATTGTCTGCTGCCGTGTGGCACGCCTACCCGTTGCATTGCGGTCCATTACACAATATTATACATGTGTCATGATCGGCGAATATGCTTCTCGGTTCGACAGGATGTTCTTTGCGTTGCGCGGCCATTGAATGTATCAGCTGACCTCAATGTATAGATGAATTCGTTCAGACTAGGCGGAGCACCCCCTCCCACGCAGAACAGCGGTCCGAAACCACGTCACGCACGTTCTCACTCTCGTAATGGGTCGGTTTCTGTCCCCCTTTCTTTCCCTACGCCATCTGTGGCGACAACCGATGAGCCTCCTTCCCCCACTCGCACATCGGTGTCCTCCAAACGCAGCTCCCATCATCGCCGCCGCTCTTCGGTGTCGACTCGTAGGGAATCTGCCGACATGATGGGTGTCTCGCTACCCCATATCCCGCAATCTGTTTCAGACGACAACATCAACCTCGGCGACAAAGACTCTGTTCGTCGACGGGCACTGTGGGCATTGGAAGGCAAGACCGATGTAGGGTCCTTCTCGAAGGTCGAGATCCCCGAGTTCGATGCAAAGGAGCCCAGCATGCGTGCGTTCGAGTTTCGTAAGTGTTGTTTTGATCAGTCATTCACTTCATGCTGACGTTCTATGAAGCCAGCAAGCCATCATTTCCGCCTGGCACCGGCAACAAGCGCGAGTCATTTGGCAAGCTCATGGCCTCGGCCTCGGCCAAGGAACAGTTGGGCACGCTGGTAGAGGAAGAGGAGGAGGAGGAAGAGCAAGCACCTATATCGGCATCCTCAGTGGAGGTTACCGTGACCTCGCCGTCGCCTGCACCTGTGAGGCACCGGCCAGCAAGCCTCAATTTGCGTCCTCTCTCCCTTGCGATTGGCAGCGTCGTGACTGGTGATCTCCCCACCCCCACCCCGACGCCCTCGCCGAGCCCCGGCGCACGTTCTGGCCTCCGTTCACTGACCTTGGCTTCCAAGCGCCAGTCGCTGAACCTCCCGTCGGCGCCTTCGCCGTTGTCGGGCGCCCCTGCACGCCGGCCGTCTCTCAACCTGGACCTCAACATGGAGCACCATCAGTCCTTTCGGAACTCGCAGTTATCGCGACGTTCTAGTGTCTCCTACGTGTGCTCGACGGACACAGCCCCGCAAACCATGATTGGCCTGCCGACGCCCGAGATGACGCCTACGAGCGCATCCTCGCGCACAAAGGAAGACATGGAGTCCTTTCTTGCGAGCCGGTCGACCCGGCCCCTCTCCACGAGTGAACAGCATTTTCTCTTTCAGGCCCATACAACGCTTGTGCAGCGTATCTCGGATTTGGAGCGAGCACTGTCCTCTCGCAGCAGCCGGTCCTATTCACGGCCCGTGTCCTATGCCTCCGACTCGTCCGCCGTGTCTACAGTGAGCAGCGAGCCGAGCGACGAGATGCTGTCGCTGATCGCGGACCTGAAAGCGGAGCGCGACGAGCTCAAGAGGGACGTCGATGGTTGGCGGATGCGCGTGAGTGACCTCGAGAAGCAGATTAGCCTGTACGCGAAGCGCATCGATGCCGAGCGTCGGGACGCGTGGGTCGCTCGCCAGCGTGTTGGTCTCCTGGAGGTGGAAAGGGCCGGTCTTGAAGAGGCCCTCCAAGCCAAGACTGCTGAAGCCAAGGGCGCGGTCGAAGAGCTAGAGCAGGTCAAGACGGAGAAGACCGTTGTGGAGCAGGAGGTCGAGCGCTTGAAGGCGGAGCTAGAGCGCATGTCCACCGCGCAGAACGAGTGTGTGCGTCTGCAGGGCGAGCTGGACGAGGAGAGGAAGAAGCGGGAGGAGATTGAGAGGGAGCTGGAGCATGCTGGCCTTATGAACACTCCCCGGGCGTTTGAGGTCCCTGCGGCTATGTCGCGGACGATGATGTTTGCTAGGAGCCGCGGCCTCGGTTTCCAGTCGATCGATTCGGAGGGCTCATTCACCGACGTCGAGTCTGTGGACAGCCCGAGGGACAAGCTCGATTTTGGGTTGAAGGCTGTTGCGGAGGAGGATGAGGAGACGCTGTCTAACATGTCGGAGGAGGACGAGCTCGCGAGGTTCGAAGACGAAGAAGAGGGCGATGATGATGTGTTCCCCCATTCCTTGACCACGTCCTCCTTCGGTTCCGTGGCGGATGACAACGAGCCAGCGCCTCAGCTAGATGAGGTCCCTGAGTTGACGCGTTCTGCGTCAGCGACGCCCTCGCCCCTGCCAACCCCGAGTGCCACGCAGCAAGTACACTCCCGCCATGTATCGCTCTCGACCACTTGGACTTTCCCGACGTCTGGGGCCGTCGTCACGGTTTCCCGTGTCGACGAGATTGACCGTTTCTTCGGATGCCTGGAGGATGTCGACAACTCTCCTCCCATGGATTCCCGCTTGCGCTCGCTCGAGAGTGGCAAGACGCTCTTCTCGCAGGCTCTGGCGCAGGCGGACGACGATTTCCCGCCTTTCTTCATCCCTGCTGATGTAGGTGTTGAGGTTACCCCAGAGTCGCCGAAGCGCGAGCTGGACATTGTCATGGAGGAAGAGGAGGAAGAGGAGGAGGAAGAGGCTGTGCAGCCTGATGCTGATGAGGAGTTTGTCGGCGAAGTTGACGAGGGTGGGATCAAGTTCACCTTCGAGATCCCGCCTGAGTTCCAGGTTGTCCAAGAGCCGGAACCCACCCCTGCGCCATCGACTCCTGCGCAGAAATCTTCGCCTGCCGTGCAGACGCCTGTCGCCGAGGAAGCTGACAGCTCTTTCAGGTTCCCTCAGACGCGGGCGGCGAACGCATACCCCTCGCCCTCATCAATCCCGCGCCTTGCGTCGGCCAAGACGACTGGTACTCCGAAGTCGCCTGTGCTCCCTGCGCGCAACACCAACATTCCGAGCCCGTTCCAGACTCCCCCAGCGAAATGTGGCGGGGCGTCGCCGACGTTTATTCCCCAGCCTCGTATCAAGAGCCCGCCTCTTTCCGCAAGCAAGACTACGTCTTTCATTCCGCAGCCGCACCGCCCCTCTCCGGCGTCTGTCAAGCCCTCCGGCATTCCCGTTATGAGCCCTTCCAGTACGCGCCTCCCCAGCCTGATGTCAGTCATTGTTTCTGACGGAGTTCGCGTCGCGTAGACACTGCCGCAGGATCAGCCCGCACTGTCACGACTAAGGCTCCTTCCGCATCTCCAGTCATGAACGGTCATGCCCTCCCCGACTCTGAGGATCCCTTTAATTCCGCGCCGTCCTCCACACCTTCCTCTCAGTCCTCAACTTCCCCCTCCTCCATTATATCCATGTCTCCCACGCTTGCTTCACGACTTTCATTCCAGACCTTGACGAATTTCATACCCATGCCCTCTCTCCCCTGGTCACCACGTTCAAGAGCATCCGCCACTGCAGCTGCGGCCGCCGCACTGTGTTTCATTCCGGAGAGCACGAGTCATTCGAGTTCTCCGAGCGATGCTTCTGTGAGCTCGGCCTTCGTGAATGCACCTCAGCCCGTTCAGCCCGAGGTCGCAAAGCCGCCAAGAGACAAGGCCTACGTCCAGAGGGAGAAGCAATTGGAAAAGTTGAGGCTCCGGATGGAAGATGAGGGTCGCATGCGGCAGCAAAGTGTCTCCACTGTCGCTCGTGGGAAGACGCAAGGTGCAATGACACGCCCTTGAGGTGTGTATTGTGTTGAACTCTCGGTGGTTACGGGATGCTAATTTTCTTGATATGCAGTTCTGATTCCTGCCCCGGACATCCACGGACTAGTTTGATTCTTGCTGATCATGGTCTCGCATCACCTGGCTTTCTATTGATCGTCACGTCTCGCATCTCCATCCCACCCCCATTCCCCCGATCATCCCATTACCTTTATGAAAGTCCTCATTGTGTCATATAACCATCGTTCCCCCCCTCCCCCCCTCCCCCCGTCATTCAATGTCTTTCCCCTCGCCTGTCATTTATTGGAGCTTGACGCTCCCTCGGTGGCGCGAACCCCGGTCGACATGGACCTTTCTGTATCTGATGCGTGGCCTTCCGCCCTGTACCACTATGTTCGATGTTTTGCAAGCTGGCACTGTCTTGAAGTTTTATGCCTTGGTTATGATGTCCATGCAAGTTTTCCTCTTAGCTATCTGAATGTTTTCGCTGTGTGGTTTTGGTGCGCAGGCGATCAAGCTGTTGCGAGTTGCGGCGTTACAGGACTGCTGATTCTTCGAGCGGGTGGACCTTGCGTGGGTCACGAGTCTGGGATATACGGCGTCAGCTTGAGACGGGTCTCTCGGAAGGTGCGTGCCAAGACGGATGCCCGACAAGGCTTGTGCGAACCGGAATCGCTACATCGCGCGGACGTCCGAGTCCGAGTCGTTCAAGACCTCGTGTACAGCACTTCCCCTTCATATATGAAGTCGACGATTGACACGCACCACTTTCCCCTTCCCTAAAACCTCAGCTCCTAGCACTAAGCCTACATACGCCAGGTCAAATGTCCGTCGCCCGAGTGGTCAAAGTCATTCCTGGTCGTACAGTGTTTTTCGTATGCGACTTGCAAGCTAAGTTCAGTATGTGCTGCTATCTCCTCGATTCCGCATTGTCAATGTTCTGATTGTACTCTAGGACCTGCTATTCATGGCTTCGACAGTGTCGTGGCTACTGCCAACAAAATGCTAAAGATGGCGAAAGTCAGTTCTGTCTCAGTTAAATAGCTTCAGTTGTTCATGAAACGATGATTTATTTGTAGGTCCTCGATGTTCCGGTCCTCGTCACAGAACAGAACCCGCGGTGTATGTATCCACTTGCACTATGGTTATCCCCGTCACCTGACTGTCTAGCACAGCGCTTGGGCCCACTGTTCCTGAGCTCGCATTCGCAGCACTCGGGCAGCTACACTTGGGGACCATCGCGAAGTCTCTCTTCACCATGCTCACGCCAGAAGTCCGCGATGTTTTGAGCGATCGTCAATCCAAGTCCATCGCGATTTTCGGTATAGAAGTAGGGTCATGTGTCTGTCAGCGTTCTACCGTCACGTCGAGATTGACCACGTTTGCAGTCTCACGTTTGCGTACTGCAGACAACACTCGACCTTCTGGAAGCCGGCTACGACGTGCATGTCATAGCAGATGGCGTATCCAGCTGCAATGCGGAAGAGGTCCCTATCGCGCTTGAAAGGATGCGACAAGCGGGTGCTCAAATCACCACGAGCGAGAGCATTGCGTTCCAGCTACAAGGTGAGTTTGCTGTGCTGAGCATCGCCGTATGCCTCGAGATGGCAGAGACATGACATCCACTTATTCTCGCGCTCAGCCGATGCGTCCCGTCCAAACTTCAAGGCATTCTCATCGGTTATCAAGGATGAGAAGGACAGTACTAAGGCTTCCCTGCAATCTTTGCTGCGTTCAAATATGAAACAGAGCATGTTATAAGGAGTGACCCGGTACGTCGCTGCTCCCAGTGCAGCTGCTGAGCACCAATAGTGAAATATAGGGTTTGGAGAAGTATCCATGTTTATGCAGCGCGATCCACGCGTATGTTGTCAGAACCTCTGCTTTGCAACATTGTTCCGTTCTACGGCGCTCGCCGTGCATTCGATGTACCGCACGGACACCTTAGAGGCGATATAGGGGACACCTTAGAGGCGATATAGGCCGTGTATCTCGCGTTCCACATGGCTCCGTCGCCGTCGAGCGAGCTCCATGTCAGCAAGTGAGTGTTCACCGGTCTGCATGAATCTATTGTACTTCAAGTTGATCTTGCAGAGCCATACAAGGCCATCGCAGGCCCAATTTAACACACGCCCAGTTTTGGCGGAGGCCTCGGTCGCCCGAGACCGACCTGAGGCCTTATGCATATATGTCTCGCCCCGGTCAGATATTTCGAAATTCGCACGTCGCGGCGAAATGGGCGTGTCATACAACAAGATCACGCCAATCTGAGTGGATACATAGCGTCCGTGCTGTTCCGACTTTTAACGGCGTGGGCCCGGTGGCGTTTGCCTCGGGGTCACGGTCGTGGTGACTGCGAACGGGGAGTGGTGGTCGTAGATACTTGGAATGGTGCAAGGTGACGCCAGTGGATCGTTGGGTACGAGACACGCTGCCGACCTCGTCGCCGCGTGGGTTTCACTTGTCGGTCGTCGTCCGTTGAATGGCGCATGCTGTCGTGGCTAGCGAACTGTACCCCGGCTGCTCGAGATTAAGGTCCGGGCGCTTTACAGGCTCACCGTCCTCGTCACCTTTCTCATCACTGCCTATATTTGATTTTGTCCGCTATATGAGACGAGATAACCGTTGGTGTTTTCAGTACATCGAGCTCGTTCTCGCGGAGATCATATAGTGGCTCCTGACGGGATGTCAGTAGCTAGATACATAGCGGCAAATAAGGCTTGTCATCAACGGTCTAAAACTTGAATATCGTGCCTGACCTTGCAGATCCATACGAGGCTATCGCAGGTCCGATCTGGAAGTCAGGGCCACAAGGAGTCAGGTACTAGTTGGTCGATCACCGTCTCCATCGTCCTCACCCTCGCCCCGGCATCGCTGATGTTTTCTTTTCCTTTGATAGTCACACCGTGACCGCTCCTACCCGACTTTTCGCCCAGCCAACATGGGACAGAGACACTAGGCTTTCCTCATCGCCCGAGTCATACCTCACGGCGCCAAGGACGGTCGACCCAGGTACCGTTGTATCGCTGCATATCATCACCAAGACTGCTACGAAGACCTTCCAGCGGCCGCTATAAGCCGCTTCGTCACTCTGCTCAAGCAGAGGGAGAACGCGGAGGTCGTAAGAGCCGAGATCCAGAAATTACAAGGCAAGCACGGTCGGTGGACCCAGGAGCCCAAGCTTCCCAAATACCCGTGTCCTTTCACGGCATCGTTGCTGGGCATGGCGTGGTGTGTAGACAATGGTGAAATGGACCCAGCGGGAAACCCCTACACGAGCGGCATGGCATTCGCTTGGGACGTGTTAACAGCTGATTGCTCACCTTGGGACGAGCGCAGTGAGTCGTCCCAGTCCAGCATAGTTCATACATGACGAGATTGAACGCAATGCACTACAGATACTGATGGTAGTCAAACCGTCATAGACGTAACAGAGCCCGAGTCCCCTGCCTATTGTCATATTCAGCCAGATGGGTGTATGGTCGACGCGGAACGCTATATGCGCTACTACGGTTATGTTCCCAGCGATCAGAAAACGAGACGCCTTCTGCATGCCTTGGACGGCATTCCACTGGTAACACTAGATATGATCGACGAGGCGTGGCTACAGCAGGGTAGGGAGGAACTTGAAGGCGAAGAGGGCCTCGTCACGGTCGTAAGTACCTGCGGACGCCCGAGAGCCTCAAGGGATGTCAGATGCTCTTATTCCCTCCCTGGCCCAGCTATCGTTGGTACCCGCACTGGAGCAGGCTATATCTAGTGGCGACACGAGCGACATCGAGAGACTGTTGTCGCAGTCGGAGAAGGCTCACCAGGTCCATTCATACCTTCGACGCCAAAATCCTTTCCCGGACAACGCAGTCTCCTTGTTCGAAGCCCTGTCGCTCGATAAACTGCAAGGCGAAGCCGTGGATCATCTATCTGGCTTCCACCTGTCCACCGATGGGCTTCTCCAGATTCTGTCCTCCCGCAAGGAGCCGGCGGTGCGCGCCCTGAACCTTTCATTCAATGAGTGCATCACATCGGAGACCATATCGCAGCTACTCACGATCTTGCCAACCCTGCGCCGACTCGTCCTCATCGGCTGTACGTCAATCAAGGAGGCCGAACTCTTCGATCTGCTACGGAATGAACCCAAGCTATTCTACAATCTCGACACCCTCCTGCACCCTTCCCTGCTCGAAGTGGCCGAGCCGCCGCGCTGGCCCGTTGCATTCACCTTCGCAACCGCGCGGCACCGCGCCACTGACAGGTGGACACCCGATATGCACGGCTGCTGCTTGCCTGTCTTCACTCCGACAAGAATAGTCCAGTCTCTCCTCGACTTCGCCAGGATCGTCGCGCACAATCCCGCGAACTTCTTCACGTCTCATGGTGACGTGATACCTCAGGCGGTATTGAGCGCGACGCGAGAACGGGGGAAGGCGTTCTCCGCGAGATCCCTCGCAGCTGCGCCTCTGTTCGGCTTGGACGCCTTCGCCCCGGGCTCGCATCAGAGCTGGGTATGCATGTACCAATGGGGAGAAACGTTGGCCCCGACTGAGTGCCAGTACGCCTTCAAGAGATACAGAGCCATTGGTAATGACGCGGAACACGGAGATACAAAGGAAGGGGAGCAAACCGATGAAGACCGCTCGCCCGTCGAAGTTTTCGACCTGCCAGGCTTTCTGGCTGCACTCAAGAGCGAAGGCCGGCCACCCGTGCCCGACAACCTGGTCGCTGAACTTTCGCAGTTCTTCCTGTCCAAGGAGGAGTCCGAGAGACGGATTGTTCAAGCGTCACAAGCGAAGCCGATGCGTGCATTTTACACAAGATCTCTCACAAGCACGGGATGTATCTCTCGGGAGGAGATGTACAAAGCGGCGCAAGAGAGGGAACGACACATGGGGTGGCCAGTCAAGGCGGCTACGTTCATGCCTAGCGATCAGGTTCAGTGGTTCATGCAGAGCGCACCTGCTTGCGACGCGAAGTATACTGAGTGGCACATGCACAGATGGAGAAATTCGAAGAAATGAAGGCATTGTGTATGCCACATGCACGTACTTTTGCCCATGGCGATTGCGTTGTACCATGGACCTCGATAGTAGATCACAGTGTTTGCTCCTGAAAATGAAGTATGATATGACTCACCGAAGCATGATGCATGCACTGCGAATTACACTCCACACTTCGTCAACGCCGCCATCCGCCATGACCCTCATCCTGCCAACAGGATGATCATCATTGGCCTCCGGGCTCGCTCGCGCGTACAGCATGTATATGTTCCACATGTTTGCTCGGAGCATCCTGCATCAAGGCATCGATATCTGCTTAGCGTCTCGTCTTAATGTTTTGTTTGCGAAGGACGATCTTACTGCGCGTCCTACCACACATTCCTCGTTGAACGCGTATGCTCGCGCGCTCGACGCTTGTGTGTAAGACTCGGAAGACACATGCGATGTTCCTCCTCCCCTTCTGTCGTCGATTGCGTCGTAGCCACCTGCGAATGCATCCATCTCCCCGGATTGGGACAATGCTAGACGACAATGTTGCCGACATGAGTGAGTGAAACGATCGAAGCTCAGGTTGACTGTGATGCCAGCTGATCAGCACTGTAAACTATGCTCATACTGTGAAGCTCTCTTCATGGGCGTAATGAGACAGACACGACGACACGACGGGAGCGTCAAGACTCACAAATCTAACGGCGGCACTTGGAGACGAGTGTCATAGCATCGAGTCGAGGAACAATGGAGCCGCGAGACTGACTCGATTGGCAATGCGACGTAGAGACACAGGTAGCCAATCTACGTAACGTCGCTCCGTCTACCTGGATGAGGATCAATGGTGCTGGCCTGAGTCTACAACGCGCAGTCGAACATCTTGACTCGGAGAGGAGTGGACCTGAGTGAACATGGGTCTATATGACCGGTAGAACTGCTTGTCACAGAGTGTTGCTACAAAATGCAATCAGTCTACCAGTCTGCCAAAGATGAAAGTGTGGGTTTCCGAAGCGTTCGCACGTACTCGTGAACATAACGTGCGGGCTTGTGAAGCTTACCACCGCGATGCGATCAGCTCAGTCTAAATCGAGCTCTCGAAGTACTTCAAGTCGTCGGACAGCAAGTGATTCACATGTTAGGCGCTGTAAACCCTGCACAGTCCATCCTCGCAGTGACGCACAGCACATGCTCACCACGGATCTACTGTATACATCACATCAACTCATAGAGACGTCTCCATCGGCATCCGGCCGTAGATCTCCTCTCGCAACCGAGTTCACCAGCTCTCTGCGGATCTCGGGGCTGATTTGTGGGTGAGAGGTCACCCGCGCGACGTCGAGCAACGCATCCTTCTGGTCAGGCGTCAGATCCGACGCGTATCTGCCCGTCACAACCAAGCATTCAGTACTTCAGTACCCTCCCGGAACTGGAGCTAAATGAAGTCTCACCGCTGACAAAACACGAGCAGCGACTGGTGCCACAGCACGGGGAGCGTCTCCACATCGCCCCCGCGCCGCGCCTTGTACGTGTTCGAAAGGCGGATGAAGTGGAAGACAAGCGCGTCGACGACCTTGAACGGCAGCGCGTGCTTCTTGTCGAGCAGCACGCGTATGAACAGCGAGTTTGGCCCGGAGTAGTCCATGTTTGCGAGCCGAATGAGCGCCGCGGCCGAGTGCATGAGCGGCACCTTGACCTTGGCGAGCACGGAGGCGACGATCGCGGCTTCTTGGAGGGTGCACCCTGACTGTGAGTGATGCGTTCAGTCATCGTCTCGGATATGGTACTGATGCTGAGGCTTGCTTACACCCAGAAGAGGGAACACAATTCCCTTGAAGAACGCCGCGGGCTTGTACAGCGCCCGCCTCATGGCTTCATAATAATGCACGTTCAGCTTCCGGTGATTTTTGTTCTTCCGCGCGCCCTCGCGCGTCAAGCGGATGTCTTCCCGTATCGCGTCGAGGAGCACTCCCTCGAGGAAGACGCGGGCCTGTGGCGGCTTCATCTGCGAGACAAAGATCCGCGTCGCGGCGTGGCATGCCTGGGGCGTCCACTCCTCTGGCTTCGTGAGCGCAAGCATGCGCGCCCAGGCGGGGAGGGAGGGTATAATTTTGAAGGGCTTGGGGAGGGGCCCCGATTTATATCGCGATAGTACGACGCCGACTCTGTTGAGAACGGTTAGCGGAGAGACGGATTTACGACGAATGGTGTAAGTACTTTGAGTATAATTCGACAACTTTCGGGTTGAGCCCGGCGGCAGGATCTGGCGCCCGGTCAGGGTCTAACGAGAATGCAAGTCAGTACTGAGGCAAGGTACGCGAGAGGAATCGGTTCGACCTTGTGCGACTTTCCGGATGACGGTTGTCTTCCCAGATTCCATATCATCCAGTTTTGCGAAGATGATGTCAGCTAATGTTCTGCGCTCGCCGGCGTTCGCGGGCAGAAGTGCGTCAAGTGTTTTCAGGTCACCCTCATCTACCTCCTACTTATGGTGAGCGGTGCTCTCCGGGCGCAGCAGGATACACTCACAATCTCCTCGACTTCCTCTTCGTATTCGTCTTGCTCATATCGATCCAGGTCGTCCTCCTCATCCTCATCGACGTCTTGAGTCCGGGGAGTAGTGAAGCTTGGCCGTTCTGCCTCTGCCTCCTCGTCCTCGTCGTCCTCCCAAGTGCCAACCTCTTCCTGTTGGTCCTTCGCAAGTTCAAAGATCTTCCTAGAGGTCTTGGGGTCCAGGATCACCTAAAACTGTGTGAGTCGAGACGAGTCGTAACATCGCATGGGAACAAGCATAAGCAGCTTACCCCTCTGTCGTCCTCATCCTCGTCCGCTGCCCCCTTTGATGTTGTCCGCTTCCCTGGGCGAGACAGCCGTCCGTACTTTGCGTAAACCTCATCCTCGTCGAGCTGTACGTGCAGAGGATCGTGTCTCGACTTTCCGGTCGGTTTTGCTGCTCGCGGCATCGTGCTAAGAGAATGTCTACGCCGCGTGTGAGGTTTTATAAGTGCTTTTGCACGTTTTGAGCACTCCTGACAGGCTTGTGATGCGATGTAGAGCGATAGCGGCGATGAAAGGCCTGCAGGCAGAGCGGCGAGGGACGAGAAAGACGCTCGGCGCCGCTGCAAAAGATGCTGAGGGAGGCTGCTGATTGGCCCGGCGATCGCCGCCCAATGTCCGTCTGTATCTACATAGTGCCACCCGCTGCTCCTCTTGATCGCCTCCTGTTCTCTCTTGCCAACACTCACCGTCGCCGGCTGCAACATGGCCTCCAACACCTGGTGCGCGAGTATCTATCGTGCAGTCTCGACTCGACTAGTGGTGTGGTGCGAGGTGGTCCACTTGTGCCTGTCGCGTGTAGAATTCGTTGGTGTACTTGACGGAAGACCTAGTGCGATATACTCGCAGGCCCTGTCTGGGCTCCAAGTATCAGGTTCTAGGCGACTTCATTACTGCCGGCTTCGCCGACGCCGACGTCACTATGCAGCAATTCACCGCGATTGGAGAATATGAGAGCACGGCTCCACGCGTCTGTCTATACATCCAACTGTCATGACGGCCTTCTTCATAAAACACCCTAAAGTCTCTCGGTGCGAATGCTGTCTTTGGTCGCAGCCTTGACTTTCCAAGCGCGCTGACCGATGTCGCTACTAAGGCGCCCGCCGTCGCACAGTTGAAACCGTTGGACTCGCTGCATACCTCGGAGCCAACAACCTCATCACAGGACGTACAATCTTCATTTTACTGCCTCGATCCCGACAGGAAGGTTTGACATCAGACGGTCCTCAATCTTGTCGACCACGCGACGTTCATCCCCCAGGCATTCGACATTGGAACGCCAAACGAAGTACTAGTCATCGCGCGCGATTTCATCTCTGGTTGCGACACTGGCATCAACGCGACCACTCCACACCTGACTTTGCCTGCTGTACGGCGGGACTGCGTCTTAGCACGTCTGCTTGTTGCGGTGATATAAATGCATTCATCATCATCATCAGTAGCATCATAGGTCCGTGTTTCATGTTATATCCTTCGTAAGGATGCTATGGCGACCCGCGTTGACGATACATGTTTGGCCAGCACCGCACTTCCGTCTCAAACACTCGCTCTATCACGCCCGGCACCACGCTCACCTTCACGTCTGCCCTGAACGGCAACTAGGCGACACGTCGCAAGGTATTGCAAGGGCAACAACGGGGACAACGACGGAGGCAGCACCGGTACCAGCTCGAGTGCGGACGCGAGCGCAAGCAGCTGCGATGCTTCTCCAAAGAGCTCGGCTACCTCCAAACTGACTTAGTACGAGTCCTCCAGCAGCACAAGAGCTCCAAGTCGGCAAAGGATGAGAGCAAGAACGACAACTCTGGATCAACTCGAACAACACGTCCAGTCCGAACAGCACCTGCTCTGCGTCGTAGGTAACCTTACCGACTCTGTGCCTTACCATATGTGCGTCACTGACAGTGGCAGTGACACATTTTGCCATGGTCGGTGGCTTTACCAATTCTGTGTCGATGGCCATCGAAACGACCCTCCAACGATCCTCACGGCTCCAAAGTGGTGTTCGTTGCCTGTGGCGAGAATGCTCCCGAACGCTCCCGAACGATATCGTCGACCGTGCCGCCAGCTCGGGGACCCTCCTCGCCGGCCCCGCCATGATCTTCATTGACTCCAAGTCGGACATTCTCGCGGGCCTCTCGACGACCGGTGCGGCTTGCGAGGGCGCCAACTCGACATCAGACACGTCGCCGATGGAGGATTTGCAGAGACGATGGTGACGGCGAAGACGGGCAGCTCTGTGTCTGCGACGTCGACGAGCATGACCGACAACATCAATGCCGCCGTGACATTCACCAGCGCGGCGGACAGCGCCTCTGCCATACCCATTGACGCGGCGAACACGACAAGCATTACGTCCTCGTAGGTGACGACGGCGACGGTCAACTCGTCCTTGGCCACGTCTGTCCTCTCTGAGACCGAGCAGTGTCGGCGACGATAACTGCTGCCACTGATGCTGAGGCTGCTGCCACATCGGGGTCGACGATCGTGACCTTCACGTACGGCTCCGTCCTTGCGCGGATGTAAATCACTTCCTTACAGTGGTGGCGGTACAACTGCAGCTTACTGTCTCAGTGTGTATGTTGTTGAAACTGCACATGATGCTACTAGCTGCTTCTTGCCTCTGATCACTTAAAGATGGTGTCAACAGGGACAATCTCTCTGGTATGCCCCCAGAAACTCGGTATGGTGTGCGGTAGCATTGCATGTGCTACATTGGGTTGTAGCTAAATATTGCCTATGTGCTTATACATTCATCTCTGAACCCCTTGCTCTGTTGGGCTTGCTCAGCTGGCCTTGGAGTGTGATACAGCTTTGCCTTTATGTGGTTGAGGTGATAGCCTGCTGTATAGAGTGCTAAAAATCTTACTAAGCAACCATAGATTGGATGATAATAATAAATGATGTAGTACCTTGGTGTAATACCTGATGCTGTGATAGCTATCAGCTCCTCCTCTTTCCATTTGACCACTGGGTCAGGAAGCTTGAGATCAGCAAGACCATATGCCACTGCAAACCAACAGTACACAGCATACAAGGGGCATCTGTCCTTTGTGTATGGTGGTGACAGATAGAGTGTGTCTTGATTCTCCCCTTTGCCTCGGGCAAAAAAAATGGTAATGTCCTCTGAGGAGAGAACAGCAAGATGGCACTCTTCAACCACCATCTGTGTCCACACCTGTGCAGACATGGTCAATACTAAATTTGTGATCATCATTGTGCCCCTTACCTGAATAAGTATTCTAGTCTGTGGATCTGCCTCCTTCTCATCACCTATTAATGCCGCTGTGGATTCATCTGGTGTTGGCCAGAGAAATCGCATTGCTTGTCCATAGTCTATCTTGACATTTGTTGGTATGTATTGCAATTCCCAAAGAAGGCTCAGTTTAGCCTCTCTTGCTGTATCATCATCCTTGCAAAGCATTGCAAATGGAGTCTTGTACTCAATGGTGAGTATACACTTCTCTTTACCAGCTTGGTCCCGCAAACACAATCGCCCATCAGGTATGACCTTTGAGGATGGGGCAGACCCAAGATCTGGCCAATGTTCTTCAGATGTCTGTGCTCTCTTGAGGGCTTCACAAATTGCAAGCAGAGCTGGCCGGAATAATGTGTTGTAGGCCCGCATCTCTGTCTCTCCTTCACAATGAATGATCTTGCTATGTCCAGCAGCCATGACAGATGGGTGGATCCTGGCAAGTAGATAAAGGAGATCTTCAGTTGTGTCCTTGATGTCCAATAATTGCAACTTCTCATAGAGAGCAGTGTGGGCTTGTGTGACTAGGTCTTTCAGGAACACAACCTTTGTCATCTTGGTGGTTTCATTGTATAGCATCCTCTCCTCCTGGTTCATCTGCTTGGTTCCTTCAAGCCTCCCAGTCTCATATGCTGGCCTTGTTGGTGGCAAGGACACAGCAAGGAGCTCTTGCATAGTTTTGATCTTGGTGGCACTTGGGTCATTCTCTACAAAAGCCAGTGGTTTGGGCCATAAAGGGATCCGGACTTGTTCTGATGTGAACACAATAGTACACTTCAAGAGCATCAGTGAGATAGACTCACTATGCTTGACTGATTGGGATCTTGTTTCTCTGACAGCTCCTGCAGAAGACTGCTGTGGTTTCTTCTGTTTCTTTGCCATGAAAGAAGTTGGAGTATGGTGTAGTGATGAAAGTGAGATGATGTGGGAATGAATGTTGATTGACAGTGCAAGGCATATCTCCCCTATATATATGTGCATGAAGGCTGTCTCTGATGTCCACAAACAGACAATTGTTAATTGTACTCCTTAGTGCTAGCCATGATGTATGATCTGAGAGGCCTCAGAGACAATAAACACAATTACTGAGCAATTGTTTCAAGCATATCAAGCATATCTTGTACATTTTACAAAGACTGCTGTTTCCAGAAGATAATAGACAGATAGACAATAAGCACATTTTATAGAACATGCCATCAATCAACCTCTGCATTTGTCTTGTACAGGTGTGCAAGGAATGAATAGAGGCATGCTAGCCTGAAAGCTGAGAGGTTGGGGGAGTCTGGCATCATGCATCATGAGAAGGGTTAACCGTGGGACATGGATGTGGAGCAAGAGAGCCAAAACATCCGAGTCGGAAAGAAGCAACATAAACATCACTCAGCAAGATGTTCTTCGAGTAACTGGTGCTAAGATATGTAAGTAAGCGAAGAGATACACTGCCTGACAAACGCATGAGCTCGAGACTTCCCACGCTTGCGAGGGCAGTCGGTTGTCCGTCGGAGCGCAGCAATTTTGCAGTGGGCTGTGCGTGAGCGGCTCCAGCGCCAGACTCGAGGACGAGGGCAGGCACCCGTCCATCACCGATTGCTGTGTTTGCGCGCGCCGGGACCTTACAAGTCCCACATACAGCAATAACAATAGTGCACTATTGTTCTCTACTATACTGAACCGGCCAGTGCCACTTCAACTCGTCGTTTGATGCCGCGATTGAAACATGTTTCAGACTGAGTCAACAGCAGATGCATGCGTGTTTGCTGATTTGTTTCGTCCTTTTGTTGTCACTGAGAGCGAAGCCCTAGCAGTACATGCTCTATATCCCTTTTGTCTCCTCCTGTTCGTTGTCGCGTAGCATACCAGAGATGTGTGGGCACGGAGGCCGCCTTCATAATGATGTTTATGGAACTGTCGGTTGTATTGTTGTAGTCCGAGGTATATAACTTGTGCTACTTGACGGCTGCAGGGAGCAACCACTCAGACCCAGACGCACTGCCTTACACCGCACACAACACATCGAGATGACCAGCGACTTCCAGGCTCGGAATGACTCGACTGAGCGTTTGGACCGACTATCAGCATCAGAATACTTCGCACATTTCACTCGGGTGGACAAGCCGAATGATCATATACTCGATATACTCGCCCGCGACGTCTGGCTGGAGGAAGTGTACCGTTCCAATAGGACAGTCGTCCTGAGAGCATGGCTTGCAGAAGTGGCCAAGGACGAGGAAACGGCGAACACCGTTATTTGCAAAATCGCTCGCGGGGATGGTGCATTGATGCGTCTCGAGCACGAATACCACATCTATCAATATCTTGAGGAGTTACAAGGCAGCCTGATACCAAAGTGTTTTGGAATCTTCCGAGCGGAGCCAACTGGTGCCCAAGGATTCGATGAGGCCTGTTTGCTCCTGGAGGACTGTGGTAGACGGATGGACAAGCCAATCAAGGATATGTCTTGGCAATTCAGGTTCGTGAAGCATCAAACGGTACTCCATGCATCGCTATGAGTTGCTTACCTCAACGCCTCCCGCCTGTTGTCTAGGAGAGAAGTTGTTGCGATTGTTCAACGTATGCACAAGATTGGCGTCGAGCACGGAGACATCTTCGACTACTCCGAGAACAATGGGAACATCCTGATTCGGCACATCAAATTTGAAGGCGATGGTGACTCGGAGCATGTAGTGCCCTGCATCATAGATTTCGACAACGCTAAAGAACATCAGTGTCGCGTCCCAATGGACATTTCTCGGAGAGTTTGGGGTGTTCACTCTCAGAGAGGTAGACAGTTCGTCTGTCAAGAGTTCATCAAGATCGCGAACGACCTTGATTGGGTTTACCGTGAGTGTCTCGTCCACCACCGCCGGAGGATGAAACGGTTGACCATCTGAACAGCCATACGCCAAATTCGCGAATCCATTATCGACATCTGGGAATGGGTACATCTATCGCTAGAAGAGATGCTGGCGAAGGTCACTGGGATTGACCTCTCCCAATACCGTGCGGCGGGCCCAGAAGCGGAAGCAGAGCTCGAAGCAGAGCTCAACGAGTTACAGAAAGAGAGGGATAAGCATATGCAAGAGCTTGAACGCATGTATGACTGGTCGAACCGCTGGCCACAGATAAAGAAGAGCCATGACGAGGATGTCGACCTTGCCGAGAATGAGATATGGGCCGCAGCGGCATAGGGAGCGGTCAGTGGGTTACAATATGTACGCTTCAGTTGATATGTACCCATGCTAAGTTAGCAGCATACGATAGCATGTTGGTCATGGGGGCGCTATATATTGCTCAGAGATAAATGATACATGCCTATGCACGGCCTACAACGCCTGCGGTCCGGGCTCGTACATTCTGAATAACCAACTACTAATCTACCGATACAGTGCACTGGCTCATAAGACTCGGCAGCATGCAGCGCGGCGTCTCCCCTCGCAACCAAGTTCAACGAATAGGATGGCTAGCGCCATAGGACAAGGAGCTTCGCGTCGCCCGCGCAATGTGGCAGTTGTCAGTGTTCAAAAGGCAGATGAGGGCGATAGGATACACTCACAATCTCCTCGACTTCCTCTTCGTATTCGTCTTGCTCATATCGATCCAGGTCGTCCTCCTCATCCTCATCGACGTCTTGAGTCCGGGGAGTAGTGAAGCTTGGCCGTTCTGCCTCTGCCTCCTCGTCCTCGTCGTCCTCCCAAGTGCCAACCTCTTCCTGTTGGTCCTTCGCAAGTTCAAAGATCTTCCTAGAGGTCTTGGGGTCCAGGATCACCTAAAACTGTGTGAGTCGAGACGAGTCGTAACATCGCATGGGAACAAGCATAAGTAGCTTACCCCTCTGTCGTCCTCATCCTCGTCCGCTGCCCCCTTTGATGTTGTCCGCTTCCCTGGCGAGACAACCGTCCGTCTTTGCGTAAACCTCATCCTCGTCGAGCTGTACGTGCAGAGGATCGTGTCTCGACTTTCCGGTCGGTTTTGTGCTCGCGGCATCGTGCTAAGAGGATGTCTACGCCGCGTGTGAGGTTTTAAGTGCCTTGCACGTTTTAGCACTCCTGACAGGCTTGTGATGCGATGTAGAGCGATAGCGGCGATGAAAGGCCTGCAGGCAAGCGGCGAGGACGAGAAGGACCGCTGGCGCCGCTGCAAAAGATGCTGAGGGAGGCTGCTGATTGGCCCGGCGATCGCCGTCCAATGTCCGTCTCGACTCTGGCCTGCGTTTATTGCTGCACGTTGGCCGCCCGCTACTCCTCTTAATCGCCTCTTGCCAGCACTCACCGTCGCCAGCTGCAACATGGCCTCCAGTACCTCGCAAGTATGTATCGTACAGTCTCGACTCGAGTAACGCTGTGGCGCGAGGTGGTCGACGACATGGCGGCGGGACGATGGGACGGATGCTACCTATTCAGGAGTACCGCGCATCTCACTTTGACTGGCTAGAAACACCCTTTGTCGGAGAAATGCTAACGCCTCTCTCCATTGTAGTTCACGACCGTCGATCGTTACGGTAAGCCGATGACCACCGTCGGTTCCGAGCGGTTTGGCTTCGACAGCGAGGTCTCCCTCGACGTGCTGCGCTCCATCTACCTGCGCCTCCACCATGTCCGCAGTGCGAACGCCACGAGCCCCAAGCCTGGCGAGAAGACCAAGGAGGAGCTCGAGCCCGACGCGATCTACTACCCGGACTCGCAGTCCATCTCGTACAGCACCCTCACTCGCTTCCCGCCGGTCAAGCTCCTCTCTACAGAGAAGCGCAAGCGCGTCCTTGTCACTGGTGGTGCTGGCTTCGTAGGCTCGCACCTGGTCGATCGATTGATGCTGCTCGGCCATGAGGTCACCGTCCTTGACAACTTCTTCACGGGCTCGAAGACCACCGTGGGCCATTGGGTTGGCCATCCGAACTTCGAGATGGTCCGTCACGATGTCGTGGAACCCTACATGACAGAATGCGATCGTGAGTACGACGGTGCCTCGGTGTGTCCGATTTAACACAATGATTACCTCAGAAATCTACCACCTCGCATGCCCCGCGTCCCCGCCGCATTACCAGTTCAACTCCGTGAAGACGGTCAAGACGTCCTTTATGGGCACGCTCAACATGCTCGGCCTCGCTAAGCGCACGAAGGCCCGCTTCCTGATCACCAGCACGTCCGGTATGGGAAAGTCGCGCCGATCGCAGATGGCCGCTGACGTTTTGTGTACAGAGGTGTACGGCGACCCTGAGGTGCACCCGCAGCACGAAGAATAGTGCGTGTTGGCCGCGCTGTGTGTCGTAAGCAATCTGACTGAGCTTTGTGTGTCCACAGCTGGGGCAACGTCAACCCCATTGGCCCTCGCGCATGTTACGATGAGGGCAAGCGCGTCGCGGAGACGCTCACGTACGGCTACCACCGTCAGGATGGTGTCGACGTCCGCGTGGCGCGTATCTTCAACACATACGGTACGTACATCTCACCGTCGGTGCGGGAGAAGCATTGCTCAGATCCTCGTGTTGAACAGGCCCACGAAGTACGTACCTGGCGCTCGCTTCGAAGCCTCCCATTACTGACGCGGCTCCGTAGTGAACCCCTTCGACGGCCGAGTCGTGTCCAACTTCATCATGCAGGCCCTCCGCGGCGAGGACATGACCGTCTACGGCGACGGTTCGCAGACGCGCTCCTTCCAGTACATCCACGACCTCGTCGACGGACTCATCGCGCTCATGAACTCCGATGAGACGCGCCCCGTCAACATCGGCTCCTCCGACGAGTTCACGATCGGCGAATTCGCGCTCCTCGTGCGCGAGATCGTCGAGAAGGTGCAGAAGGAGGACGGCGCGCTCCCCGCGCGCCGCGTGCAGGTCATCTACAAGCCCCTCCCCACGAACGACCCGCAGAAGCGCCGCGCGGACACGACCCGTGCGAAGCAGGTGCTCGACTGGCAGCCCCGCTGGACAGTGCGCATGGGCGTCGAGGAGATGGTGCGCTACTACAAGGCGAAGATGACCGAGGGCAGCATCTGAGGGGGGTCCTTACGTGATATCCATGCTTGAACGAAATGAACGCTTTGCATCTTGGGTCTCTCGCTACACTGGGCAAAAGAAATGGGTGTTCTAAGTTGGTTAATGCTGCTAGATGTGACGTGCTAGATACAAGCGTGCGCCGGAGGGCCACGATTAGTCGAAGGCCTGTACAACCACTATATACCTGATACAACCAAGGATACTTTTCCAACCAAACACGCTCCGTCCTACGCTCCACCGTACACCCGCTACGTAAGTATGAAACGATGACCTAAGTAAATGAGGATATACGAGGTTGAGAGTATGTAAAACTGACGGGCTCCCTCAGTAGGCCGAAAGACAGTCTGGCTGACCATTCAGCTCCAGTCGGGGGAAGTCCCAGCGATACTGTACACATGAGCAGACATAGGTTGCAGTGACCGACACCAAGCCTTGCCCTACGACATGACCAGAGAACGACGGCTATAAGCGGAAATAAGCATATAGGGGGGAGGACGGCGGCGGCGATGACTACCGCAGCAACCGGGGCAAGCTCGGGACGACGGTCTGGCTGGTCGAGACGACTTTTGCCATCGAGCCCTTGATGACCTGCTTGTCGACGGCGCTGGGGTTGATCGTCGCGCGGCGGAGGCGCGAGACCTGCTGGGCCTCCTCCGAGACGGGCTCCGACGGCGGGAGGACGATGCCCACCTCGTGCGCCTCGCGCCGGCGCGGCGGCTTCTGCTTCGTAGTCTTCTTCCGGAAGTTCTTCGCACCTGGGAAACGGACACACACCGAGAGTCAATCAGCGAGAAGCTCGGAAGCAGTACTCGATGGCGCAAGAAGGAAAGGGGATGCGTACTGGAGTAGGAGAACCCGTCCGCGCCGCCGTCGAGCCAGTGATCTTTCCTTTCTGAGAACCTACAAAGGTGTCGGTTAAGCTCGGAGTCGATGCGCGGAACGCGTGGCAGACGTACTTGCGCAGGGGTCGCCCGTCGAGTCCCAGAGGCGAGAACGCGGTGCGCTGGCCTTTCTCGTATGTCGCGCGCGTTTCCTCCTGACTCTTGATCACCTCCGCCGACGCGCACGAGAAGGACAAAGGCGAGAGCGGGTCTCGATCGACCATTGATGGGTCGCTGCGCACCTTGCCCAGCGTAGCCAGCGCAGTCCGCATGCGGTCCGCTAGCGGACCTTCTAGTCGCAGCGGATCGGAGCGTGCCGGTGGTTGGCGAGAGAGGAACTTAATGAAGACCTGGTTCACGATCGACGCGCTCATCAGAGACAGGTAGCCTTGCGAGGCTGGCGAGGATCGCGCGCGTCGAGTCAGGAGCGATCGCAAGTGGATACGACTAGGCGCACTTACCCTTCACCGGGAAGATGGATGCTGAGCCGCCAGGAACGTTGGTGAGGTGCTGCGATATCTGCTCCGCATACGCCACGGGGTGTGTCTGGCTGCTCTCCGCCTGGAATGCACCGATCAGCCCATATCACATCGTCAGAGTCTCAAGCGAGGGCGCACCTGGATAACGAACACCGGACAGGTGATCCGCGCGAGTTCCTCCGGAGTTAGCGGTGTTCGCTGGATCGACAATTAATTTAGTGCTACGTAAGAAAGCGGACAGTCATCTCACATTCATTAACAAGTTCACGTTGGTTATGACATGTGTTCTTCGGAACGGCGGGTAGTGCACCTCCCAATACGCGACGAGCTGGTTCACAGATGTTGCTATATATATGCCATTGTATATCAAACAGCAAGACTCACCTCGTCCTGTAAATCCGGGTGTGCATCCTGCGCGAAGAAATCCAGAATTCTTTACAGGAATACTCGAAGGACTCCATATCTTCCGAGAATGACCATAGCTGAGTAAGTTCCTCTAGCGCCTCGAAAACCGAGCGGATTCTGTGTAGCTGCTCAGCCGATCAGACGCTACCCGCGCGCAGTGATTGTACGTACTCGGTCTGCGCGGGGACGTTACAGAGCGTGAGGCTGAGAACGAGTTCGGGGAAGCTGTGGATTTGAGGCGTCAATTACGCATACAAACCGAACGATCACCTGGGCAACTGACAGGACCGAAAAACGCAAGGCACTGTATGCGTTGAGTTCCGGGGCGAAGATGTGTGCGGGTGATATGCGGAGGTGCTGGCACTCCCTTCAGCATGTGGTGGCGGAGTCATATGGGCAGAAACGCACGTAGAAGCAAAACGCGAGGTCTGCGGCAGCCACCCAGAGGTCGAACTTGCCTGTTGGCCTCGACATAGACTTGCCAGTCATGCGGGTGTCGAACACGATGATGTTGAACTGCGAGTGGAGACGGTGGTCGTCCATCTGCGGGAACATCCAGCTCGAGTCCAGAAAAAGCGGGTGCAGCAAGACGACGGTCGGTTTCGCTGGGTCGAAGCCGCCGACGTTTCCATTGGGTGCGTTGGTGTCATACCAGATGGAGGCGTAGTCGTCGCCGGAGACGAGGTCGACGAAGGGCATGGTGACGGGATAAAGGAGTGACGATAGCGGTGTGCAGAGGTTCACGACATACGGATAGGTAGGGAAGAGATTACAGTCAGGGAGGACGCTGGGCCCTGGCGGTGGCGGATACGGACAAGCGCGAAGGCGGGCCATGTCATTCGACTTTAGGCAGATCGCAATCTCGCTAGCAGCGTAGCCATTCGCAGCCACGCGAGCTCCTATAGCTCTCCCACGTGACCGTGCTCCCCGCGTCTACCCAGCCCTCCTATCCGCCGTCCCGCTGCTGCACTGCACGTCCGAGTCTTCTGCCCCATCGCAGCGCTTCTACCTCCAGACACGCCGGGCGAGGGCATGTATCCTCCGCGCAAACCGGGACAGCACGACAAAAGAAAAATTCAGCCATCAATTCGAGCGCCGGCAGGCTGGGCCCATCACGCGATTAGCGTTTTGGCGATCCCCGTTAGCCTCTCATGGCCGTCTCCGCTTTTCTCATCATGAAAATTCATTACCACATCATGATCGCCCTGCAGTTCTGCACAAACCAGTCACCGAAGTGACACCTGCCGGGACCTGTCTCTCCTTCAATTGCATCGAAGCCAGGGGCCCATCGCCAAATTGACGAAGGCCACTGTCCAGTGTTTGTCTCGCATCGCCTGGCCGCGGTCTTTTGAGACTACTCAGAAGATCGCGTCGGCTGGCGCATAAGTATCCGCGAGGGGGTCCACCCCCGGACCTTTAGCCTGAATCAGGAACGTAACACGTACCGCGCGGCACCGTTCACTTCAATGCATCCCGCGAATTACCCCGGTAACCTGGAAAGCCCGAGAACTGATCGTCGTGGGAATGAGGTGGGAGGCACGGACAATGACCCATTCAGTGGAGACAGGCGCATCCGCACAGTCGCGGGACCAATCGCAACGTTACGTATGTACGGCCTGCAAAGCATATTGGTCCATTACACCGCGGCGCTGCTCTGTGGCCTCCACGCATGCCAGGTGTCGCCGACACTGGCGGTTCTCGCAGTCTGGTGCAAGCGGTCCTGCCAAAGCCCCGCAACAATCACAAGCATCCTTACCCCATGATTGCCATTCCTTAACTAGAAAGTGATTACACCAACCAAGTTTGCACACGGCGGTGTACATGCCCTACGCGCAGCTACTGATGGAAGTGAGGCATGAGGGCTGTCTTCGGACAGCTCACAAACCTAACAGAGACAATTGAATGGATATAAGAGGTGCCCTGACTTACGGCAGCGCCATAGGGAGTATCGGGCGAAAGGAGACGAGGCCCCTCACAGGGTCATGAGTCCTCGTTACCAGCGATACCTACGAGAACCTGGATAACCCTTTGCTGACGCTGGGATATGATAAGACGACATAGCACCCCCTTTGCGATGGTTGAGGCCATCATGCTCACCTGTCTGTCTGCGCCTGACGTAGTAGAAAACATGGCTGGAACACCGAGGGCTTCCAACTTCGCTTGCTGCTTTGCGACTAAGCCGTCCCACGCGGGAAGGACACGTTGCGCATCGAACTTCCTCAGCTCTTGACGGAACGCATCTGACATCACCTGTTCCATAGAAAAGCACCAGACGCAGTCGTTAGCCATCCGGCGGCATGTGCAAGCGAGCACATGGGGCGCTTGATGAACGCACATCAGCTTCGTACTGCGTGAGGCCCGTGCCCCCAACCAAAGTCGCCCTGGGGTCGGGGGAAAGCAAGGACACCATCAGCCGGTGAACAAATGTCGGATAACGGGGTCGCGGGACGCTCACTTGGTACGCGCCACCTTCACTTTCTCCTCGTGCTTGCGCAGGATCGCGGCGCGTTCGTCCCAGAGCCGGCGCTCGAGATCCGCCTGCTCCTTCCGAATCTACATCAAATGAGCGAGCGTTGGTAGTCATGCAGGGAGGAAGTGCGGTCCGCGTCGCTGAGGATTTTGTCCGATAGCCGCATGGCACGCGAGATAGACTCACCGTCGAGATCGCATCGACGAACCCAGCATCTTCGGCGAGCTGTGCGAGATGCGGCAGCGCCTGCTGGAACGTCAGGTTGCGCAGATCTTCGTTCTGAGTGAAGGACGACCGCGGTCCGGGGACAGGACGGCCAGGCGGAACCGCGTGCGCTTCGGGTAGCACTGATGAATGATTCGAGGTTGCCGGGGCTGGAGGGAGAGAGGAGCCGACGGAAGAGACCGGCGGGGCAAGTACGAGTGGAGGAGGGAGCAGAGCGGACGTAGCCGGCGCAGAAGAGTACTGCAGCTGCGACAACAGGGACGCTACTGAGGGCGATGGAGTGTCCGTTGGATTTCCCGGGGCGTCTGCAAGCAGGTCTGAGCCGGGTGCACGGATGGGCGGTACAGCTGGATCGTGGACGAGGTTCGCGGCAGTGGATGAATGCACTGCCTGGGCGGACGGAGCCGAGACGATTGGGCGGTCGCGCCAGACGTGCTGCTGCCACGAAGCCCACTAGGCGCAGATTGAGAAGTGTTCTCAGGTGGACTTGTCACCGCATCTTGCCATGCCTGTGAGGCCCTGAGCTGCTCGAGGAGGGCTTTTACACCAGCAGGGTCCTGCTAGGGCGTAAGCAAACGCGCGGCGAACGAGAAATCGAGACTCACGTTGATGTTCGTGAAGTTCATCCTTGAGTTTGAACAGGGAGTGTGGGAGTTTCGTGTCGATCGCGCTGTGCTTGCCTAAATGAGCTCGTGACCGTCACAGGGATCACGCCGGAGGCAATTTCGCCGTGATCTTGGGACCGATCGACCGGGTCGCCACAGGCACCGATGCGCGCACTGCGGCAATATGGCGCCCGGCAGCCGAACTTATCCCAAGTCCATGAACACTTGACCCAGAGGTAGAAGCAGCTTGCATCCTGACTGGAAGCGTCTCGGAAGCACAGCGCGTTCGCTAAGTGGGGCAGGGTCTCCTGAGCGGCGGAACATGTCAAACTCAGCGTGTCTGTCAAAGAACGGATGGTCCACAGCAGAAGGTGGGACCGTGAGCACAAGTAACGGACGGGAGCCGAGTCGAAGTTGACCAATGTACGACCATGATGAAGCTGCACTGCGCAGGTTAACATCGAACGTCGGATAGATGGGATAGATGTGGACAAACATTATCGCAGCTGGTCTGCTATACGTAGACTCGACGAGCGCATGAAACCCGTTCATGGAGGTGTCTCCAAACAGAGCTTGCGGATGGTAGTAGTCCCGCATTTGACGATACAGCCATAGCATCGCAACCTAAAGGTAGCTCCTTTGAGTGGTCATCCATCAAAGGGAATATCGTCTGCTGCGGAGTTCGCTCACCCATTGGTCCTCGGACATGATATAGAGACCGACCAGCTTGACATGTGTGAGACGATGTTGCTTGACGCGCCAGCTGTGTCGTAAAGTTACCACGAAAATAGTGTTCTACGCAACGAGAGGGTCTGGAGTTGTACCAGGGTGGTCGGTGAACCCTAGTTCAGCGAGGATACCGGCTACAGAGCGTCCCATGTGGACACTTCGGGGAAGGTTACTACGGGGGCGCTTTGAATTGCGAAATGCTCACCCAAATTGAATAGTTGTGAGCGTTCCGTTGGTGTCGTCGGAGCCGCAGAGGAAAGGGCGTGATCTTGAAATGCACCCACTGGCATAGGTGGCTTTGTCACTTCACGCTACTTACAGACCGCCGCAAATGTTATTCAATGCGTAACAAGCGCGACGAAGGATCAACAAACGTGCGAACGCTGTCAGCAAGTAGGAGGATCCTATTACGTGGGCCATATGAGTAACGAGGGGGTGACGTGAAATCAACATACCGTATACGAGGAAACCATGACGATGCGTGGTCCGGAGTGACGCCCCCCACGCTGTCCTGACTCTTATGTATGTACGTACGTGGCTCCGGTTAACCATGCTGGAGGTCTTGAAACTCGCCGCAACGCGCATGATTTGACTTTGAGATCACGGAAACACGGCTTGCGCTGCCGCCGGGTGAATTGTCTCAGTAGTCGCCGCGTCCGGGGCATGCGCATGGCAGGATCTTCGCGACTACCGAGCACAGCGAGCAAATTCGCGTCTTAGAAGAGTCAGAAGGAGAGCGCTAGAGCAGCTACGGGACCACAAAGGCCCACAGAGTGCGCTGTAAAGCTGCTTGATAATTGCTGAGTATGTGTCGCGCTAGAAGCCTTGGCCGGGTATACCATACTGAATCGTTCATGTCCCGCCGTCCGCCAGGATCGGAAGCTGAGATTACGATCCAACAAACTTGCCAAATTAGTGTGATGGGTGTGGAGCCCAGCGACAGATGGTCACCGGCCCAGCCGTCTCATCAAAGCGCTCGGGATCGTCAAGCCGCTCTGGCCCTGCTGCAGGCAAGCTGCAGGCCTTACAAAACTCAGACGTAAATCCAGTGTAAGTCCTCGTCGCAAGGAGACGGGCGAGGCCTCGCCTACGTGTCGACGGCCGCGCCTGCAGCGACGGCGTGCCGCCCTCGATGCGTTTCAGGAATCGGTCTTTGAGTACAATGTCACGCAGACATAACACGACGTGCTCGGGATTGGAGTCGGCTCCGAACTAGCCGGAAAGAGGACAAGGCGTGTTCGGTGAGGCTCTTGCAGATATTCGATCGATAGGGCAGCCGGGCAACGCACGCACCGGCAGGGGCACGGAGCACGAGTGATAAGTTGCACAGCGCGGCGGCTAAGAGGACCCGCCGACCGCGCCGCGGCCGCTGTTGCGACTCGTGTTCGGGGGCGAGTGATGGCGCGACGACGGCCAGACGCGCGCTCACAGGGCGGCGCCGGCGCTGGCGCTGAGAGGGTCCCGCCGCTGGGAGAGACGCTGACGGGCCCTCCACGATGCGCGGCGGTTGTTCGGCGGGGGAGGACGACAACGCAGCGCGCCTGCCGCGTGGAACAATGCATGGCAACGGCGGCCGACGCAGAGAAATGCGCACAAACGTACGTAAGCGACAACGCACCCGAAAAGGCACGGCTATGTCCAGTTCAGGCTAAATGAGCTGATGGTCCCTGTTTCGGGTGTCCCGATGCAGGCGCCGCACGTGGCAATTTGCAGCAAATGGGGGCTTGTCAACCGAATTCCCACGGCGCGCCTCGTCTTCTGCTGTCGCCTCGGGCCAATCTTCTGTCGACTTCCCCTGCCCAGGCTTCTTATCCCTCTCCTCGTCCCCAACGCCCTCCTCCTACCTCTCCTCCTTCGTCTTCCTTGTTTTTCTTTCTTTTCTTGAACCGCAGCGACCATGCCTGCCGAATCTGTGATGCCATTGGGGTCGTCTCATATGATGAAGACGACCAAGCGTGGCAGGCCATTCCTGAAGGTGGGCGACCCACCGGCCACACATGTCGCGTCCTGCTGACCTCCCGTTTCCCTTCCTAGGACACGCTGGACCTCTTCGCAACCCTCATCGTGTCGTTGGAACTCACGTCGAACAAGCAGTTCTTCAGGACCTTCCACAATTCGTTCACGACGTGCGTAGATCCCCAGCCCGGATATATCCCGCGAAGTCGCTCACATCCTCTCCCACAGTGATGACGCAGCGAGGAACCTCGCGTCGCTCAAGTTCTCGCAGTCAAATCGTGGGCCGGATCCGCGCGAACCGTCCCGGATAGTGACGACGACTACGACCACCACCTTTTCCATGACGAGAGAAATGGCCAAGGCGATGTGCCAACAGTTCATGGACGCCCGTCTCATCGAAAACGCAGCAGATCCCGGCTCGAACTTGTTCAAGGACCGCGGTGTCTACGTTCTGACACCAAAGGGCCTTCATGTGCTGGAGCGGTTCATGAGCAAGAACGGCATCAACGGCGACCACCTCGCGCCTGTCTTTGCTGGCCAACCAATCTGCATGAAGCTGCTACACCTCGAGCGGCGGTCTGTCGACGACGAGATCATCGTCTCACATTCCGTCATCACTGCGCTGTTCCGTCGGTTTGTTGGTCGCAAGCCCAACTACCCTCCCGATAACGTTGATTCGTTGGACGCGTTCCAGAAATACCACGAGCGGTCGAAGGGCATCGCGTTGACGGACGTCAACGAGCGACCGACGGGAACGAAGGTGTACGCTTCACACAAGAACTGTTTTGCAGCGGTGACAGCGCTCGAATGGCTTTGTGACTTCACGTCTGTCATCGGCCGTGAAGAAGCAGCGGAGATGGCAGCGCAGTTTGTTCGCTTTGGTCTGATCCAGCTCGTCAGCGATAAGAGGAAGAACAACGACTCTGCGATCATCTTCACTGTTCGGGGCGCTGCAGGAGGCGGGAACTCCTCGATTGCCGTATGTCGCTGCCCTTCACATCTTGCTTGCAGCCTGACCTTGTTCTTTCAGGCAATCGGTGAATTCCGTTGCACGGCGAAGGCGATCTACAAAGTAACCGAGGAGGGCTGTCGCCTTGCTCGATGGGACGGGCCGGACGGTGCTCGGGGATCACCCAATGCGTCGTCATCCAACGTCGCGGGGCGTTCATCGGACGACCACAGCCTCGACGCCATTGCGAACGACCCCAACCTCAGCAGCGAGACGAAGCTTCACCGTCGCATCTCTATGACGGAGAAGCTGAACCAAAGCTACGACGCGGACAAGAAGGGGAATCAGAAAGAAAGCAATACGGATCGCCTCAAGTACATCATCGAGGAGCCACAGCTTCGTTCGTTGTTCCGTGAGTTCCTGCGGAACAACTTCTGCGAGGAGAACTTGTCGTTCTACCTCGACGTCCTCGATTTCAAGCGGAAGTTCAACATCACCTCGAGTGCGATCGCCGCGGCGCCCCCGGTACGGCCTAGTAACCGGGGCACAACGCCGGGTCAGGTCGCGATGGAGCGCCACCACGAGGCTCTCATCCAAAAGGCCTTCGAGATCTACAACACGTATCTGGCGCCCTCGAGTCAGAACGAGTTGAACATCGACCACGGCCTCCGGAACGAGCTCTCGGGCTACCTGAGCGACGTCATCACGAACCTGACAGGCAAGAGCTTCCAGGGGCGGGTCGAGGCTGAGCAGGCGAACGCGTTCAACGCGACGCAGCTCCAGACCATGATCAAGCTGTACGAACGCATCCAAATGCATGTGTTCCGTCTGATGGCCACCGATTCGGTGCCGAAGGTATGTCCTTTTGTCGTGGCTAGAGTGCGTCGTGGCTAACAATTTTGGTCAGTTCATCAAGACGCCTCGTTTCCTTGCGCTTCGGATTAAGCTTGACAACGAGGACGATGGCCCTCTTGCGGACTTCCCAATGATGCCGTCGAGCACGTCGACACCGTCGGTGCCACCAGGGCTAAGTGAGGAGGAGGTGGGCGGCGCATACGTGACAGTATCGCAGCGGGCGGCTGCACAAGAACGAGCGGACCGTGCGGCGGCGTCATGAGGTGGCGACAGCGTCGCGCCTCATTGACTCTATCTATGCCAACCGATGCCGCTGTACATCTCCATATGCTCATGTTAGTCTCGTTCGCACTCGCCATGCCACCTCGTCCTCACATGCTCACATACCTCGCCCTATGATCTCGGTCGACGCTATGGTCCTATCAGTTCCCGCTCGCTCTCATCTTCGACTTGCATCTGCACACTTCGTTCGGTCGCAACTGGCATTGGGTCCTCCAGGAAATATTTGTGCTTGTCTCCACTAATCGCATCTCTCCCATCATTTTCCTCGATCTGTCCGTCTCAACACCGCATCTTCCTTTTCTCCTTTGACTAAAGACGATTTGGCTGCACGGCGTGCTGTACGAGCTCATCGTCCACATTTGGTATTCCAACCCCCTCTATACATCTGTACTCTATACTATATTACGTGCCTCTTATTTACATCGCTAGGGGTTGTTACTCGCTAATACGAATCCTATCACGATGTTTTGTACCATGTTGGGTTCCGCGGTGCGGGCGCGGGCTCCCGCCGACGTGTGTGTCAGTGTGCGCCGGGTGTCCTGATTGTTGCGGCGTGATCACGATCGACCGCGTCGCTGGCGTCGGGTTATTGAAATGGCTTCTAGTTCGATTTTAGCTCGCCCGCTGTCGTTGCGAGAGCCTTCGTATGTTTGCAGCAGCTGTCTCCCTACAGGTCCGTCTTCAAATTCATGTCCAATTCATTGACGGTCGACCATTTAGTTCCGCCAATCACATGACAGCTATTGTCGCGCGTTGTGGCGGAAGCATGGCAGGAGCGCACTCTTCTCATCAACTGCAACCGCTTTCAATTGCGGGTATGGTTCAGGACACTAGTGAGTACATAATGGCTAAAGGAACCTCGCGTCGTACGACAAGGAAGGGCGACCGTGTAGAGCTTCCCGCGCAGCACGACCCCCGGACGTCAGGCGAACCGGATCCGGACGTGCCTCCCTCTCCCATGCCAGACTTTCCGAGGCGTGATGACTATCCCAAGGTTCCAGACCCTGCTTTCCCGGACAGGATGGTGTCGACGAAGCAGGCGAACCGCCCATTCCTGAAGTACGTTCTCTTCGCTTTCGCAGTAGACCCTCGCTCACGGTGCAGCGTGCTGGTGCCCCCAGTTACACCGAGTATCGCACGAAACGCGAGGCGGAGCATGCGGCCTGGCTCGAACGCAAGAAGGAGCGGGGGGAGAGGCTCGCGAAGGGAGAGGAGGTAGGCCCGGAGGAGCCAGATCCGACTGAAGAGCCGGAGGTGGGGTGTCTGGGCCTGCTGAAGTTCATCCTCTACGCGACCGTGTTCGCCCTCCTTGCCGGCAAGTTCATCACGGGCAGCTTCCTCTGGGAGCAGCAACTGCCAAATTTCAGAAGTGGATCCCGGTCAGTGCGCACGGACGAAGCCATCCTGTTCCTTCCCTTCTTCCTCCCTTCGCTCGCTCCCCTTCCTGTCCTGCCATGTGTATCGCGTATGCCGTTTGCTCACCGGAGGCTCGACCTCCCCACAGACCAATCAACGGCTCTTCTCCGAACGCATGCTCGCGACGTTTGATGGGTCGGACAATGCGAAGCCTATCTATCTTGCCGTACGTTCAATTAAGCCCTGAGTCCTTGAGCGCAGTGAATCGCTTACACTGGCACGCAGATCGATGGTGATGTATACGATGTAAGCCCGGGTCGCCTAACCTACGGCCCAGGCGGCCCCTACCATATGTTGTGAGCCTACGTTCCGGCTATGCCGCCGACGGAGCCCACTGATAAGACGCACGGCAGCGCTGGGAAGGACGCTGCGCGGGCCTATGGGACCGGTTGCTTCAGCACGCATATTACACATGACCTTCGTGGGCTAAGCGAGGACGAGCTGAAGGTGAGGTTAACGTCGTAGCGCTGGCCGGTCCTGCTGCGGACTACCCCCGAGCGGACGTTTTGACTCGACTACTGAACATCTGCGCACGCAGGGCGTCGAGAAGTGGAAGCGGTTCTACGCGAATGGTAAGAAGTACGTCAAAGTTGGGCGAGTCTCGCATCCCCCGATCGACCCAGCCAGCCCGATTCCGGAGCACTGTGATCCGAAGAAGGCGAAGGCACGGCGGTCACCTGAACAGGTTGAGGATATGAAGCACGAGCAGGACCTGCGCTCGAAGCCAGGGCGAAATGAGCTATAGTCACAGGTGTATATTAACTGCAGGATCCAAGTACGAATATTATAGCTAATCTGTCCTCGTGTATCTACAGATCATAGTAATTATAGTATGTTGCTCCGCGGGAACGATCTGCATACGCAATGTCGATCTGAAAGTCCGTACGCATAGCAAACATGCGATGCGAGTGCAGACTACCATGAATGATTGGAAGATCAAAGCGAGAGCCACAGACGGATGTCGCTTAGGCCGGAAGCATCATAGCGAAATGAAGCCTGGTCCGGGCCTGCGCGCTGTCAATCACTGCAGGTTGCGTGAGCAGGTGTGTTGACGATCTCACGATGACGGTGTGCGTACCTTTATGGGGCAAGCTTCTTGGAGAGCCAGTTCTTGACGATGGGAAAGTCAGCCATCGAGGCGTCCATCATGCTGGCGTATTCCTGGTCGCGGAATTTGGCTACTATGAGGTTCCCACGCCAGGCTTTGGACTCTTGGTAGATGTCGCCCTGGATCTCGCGGATGCACTTGTTCACGGGGAACGGCATGCCGTCGCGCGAGACGGTGGGGTAGAAGACGACGTAGGGTGTCGAGAAACTCTTGGTCATGCCCTCGAGCAGTTCAATGACCTAGTGCAGATGCGAGTCAAGCGTTAGTGTGAGTGAGACAGAAAGCGCGCCCGAGGATCGCGTACCTGAAAGCGCCAGGAACGGGGTCCGAGGCCCTCCGCGATGTAGTCCATGTACATCTCGGGATGGGGCATACGGCCGCAGCGGAACGGCTCGGCGGGTTGTTGATGGGCGTAGCGAGCGGACTGGTCATGAGCGACACAAGGTGCGGGGGCCGCTCGTCTGCGGGAAAGAGAATGGCGTCGAAAGCGAGCATCTGGTCCATGGCTGGGCTGAAGCGAAGGCGAAGTAAAAGACGAATTGAAAGGCGAGCTGAAAGGCGAACTATGTACACGAAGAAGACGAGGCTGCTTGGGTTGGCCAGCCCCGGAAGAGGCCATGGGCGTTATATAGGGAGAGGCGCATCAGGGTTGTGGGATGTGCGCCCACAGAGGAAGTCCTGGGATGGCCCTAGGGAGAATGCGCTGTACAGCCTGAGCATGCTCGGGGGACGTGGGGGGACGACTCTGCACAGTGCCAGATCGAGATCGATGCATGCGTCTCCAGCATGAAGTCGCGTATAGGCGCCCGTCTGCATTTGTGGCACGCGTCTGCGCGAACACTTGCAGCTGCCCCCGCCGTCGCCTCCTCCCCCTGCCTGCACTCTGCCTCGCTCTCCCCACCCTCTCCCATCAGACGCGTAAACCGGTCTAGGCTCTCTCCCCACCCCCCGGCTCGCGCCCCGCCATGGCCGCAGCAAACGACCGCGTCCTCGTCGCGTCGCAGCTCTCGTCGCTCTTCGCAGCCACCCAGCCCGTCCCCGTCCCCTCCACCCGCCGCGACCTCACCGACGCTTACGGAAAGACCCCCGCAAACTGTCCCCCGGAGCACGCCACCCATGTCGCGCTCGCCACCCCGCAGGACACCGGCCCCGTCCTCCTCCGTCTCACCCACGGCCGTCGCGTCCTCGAAGTGGTTTGTCTCCACTCCGACATGCCTCCGCTCAGATTCGACTTCCCTGCCCCCATCTTGCCCTACCCTTCCGTCACGCACGCCTTCGGGTGCATCTTTCTCATTGCCGTAACATCCTCAGCGTCCCTCTACCACATCGCCCTCCCGATCCGTGACCGCAACCCGTCATGGCAACCCCAGGCCACAAACCTGTGGTGCCGCGAATACGAAATCCAGGCCATGCCCCGCGACACCGAAGCCCTTGTCCATGTGCATGACATCCATTGTACTGTTATCGCCCTACCAGACGGATCTTTGCTTCGTGTCGAAAGTAATCTGATTGGGCGAGCCCCCTCAAAAGGTGAGAGGCGTGTTTTTCTTGTGCGTGCGCCTGGCTAATCCGGAGGGCCAGCGGATGACTGGACTGAAACGAGACAGACGGCCAGTCGCACGCTGGCCGGGCTCTCGTTCTTGCTACCAGCCAAGGGCTTCGGCGCCTCAGAAAGCAGCCAATTTGTGGCCGTGACGTCCTATCCCCTCCGAACGATGTCGGAGAGTTGTGGACGCTCTCCAGAGACAGGACACTTCGTGTCTGGACCCCTACCGGCGGCGTTAGCTACCAGACGACATTACCAGCGGTTCCTCCTGGCAAATTCGTCACGGCTGATACAGGATCGACCCAGGCCTCGACCAAACCCTCTGTATTACTCCCGCCCGACCCTCAAAAGCTGATCCGCGCGTTTTCAGAACCCAGCGCCAGCACGCATTGCGTTCTAGTGTTCATTCCAACAGAGTCTTCGGCTTCGTCTGGAGGATTCTTCCAGCTCTTCCGCAGCGCTGGTACTGCCCTGAAGCTCGTAGCTACCTTCGAAGCCCCGAAAAACACGGGGCATGCCCATCTCACAGATTTCATCGTCGAAGGCACGACGCTGTACGCACTGTGGGACAAAGAAGGCCAGTCGATGCTCCAAGAGATCGAGCTCGCCTTCGATGAATCAAGCATGGCAGGGCAGCAGTGGCAAACTGCGAACTACCACTCAGAGGCCGAACTCACGCCGGCGTATCTCGATGAATTGCTCTTGGCCTCTGGGTCCCTGACCGACAAGTTCTTCGAAGCGATCATGCGGCCCGGCGTGTTCTCACCATTGACGTTACAGATCGCCATCGACCAGTACACCGACGCGTGTCGTTCATTACCGGGGCCGGCTCCTCCCCAGCTGCTAGCCGCATACACGAACGTGGCGGAGCAGATTGCTGCGGTTGTGGGTTGCACGGTCAGAGTCACACGAGATCCCCATACCGGGGCCCCGCAGCACACGAAGTACTGGAACGCCCTCAAGCGGGACTGGGAAGGCTTCATAGCACGGTGCCGCGAGGTCGAAAGGAGTGCACGTTGGCCGCTCGCCCTTGGACTGGGCGGTGCAAAAGATGGCCTGCTCGTAATCGAACGGGAGCGCGTGGCCGCCCTTGTCCCAGGCGATTTCGCGTTGCAGCTTCACAAGGACCTCGAAGGGGAGTCCGAAATTAACAGCCAGTACGAACTACTCGATCTCATTTGGAAATTGCGGGAGAAGCTGGGACCTCGTACGATGCGCAAGCTGGAGGACCAGCTCGTCATGATGCTGCAACAGGAGCTGTCGTTCTCGTCCGCAGACGTGGTAAGCGATTCCGCCGACAGGATGCACTACCGGGATTACGTGGACGAAGGCCTGGAGAATTGGGTGACTATGCGCCTGTCTGCAATCGAGAATTTCGACGCAGGCATCCGTGCTGTTATGGACTCAATCGGCGGATACGACCAGACGATCGTGAAGCCCGAACAGACAGAACCAGACCTGGCGGACCCCGAACATCCAGGCTCAGCGATGTCGGCGTGGCGGAGGGCACTGATCGCGTCCTACGTTACGGCCAGTGTTCAAGCCCGATATGAATTGGCACTGTCGCTCGCTGGCCTACTCTACTATGTTGCGGGCGATCTGCACAACTGGGATCCGACCTTGCTTGGCGAAATACTGGTCGTTTTCAGAGGCGCAGCGATGTTACGTTACGTCACGCGACAACCCGCAGGTGACATCGTCTCTCCGTCTCTTCTAGCGGACGGAGCGGGCAATGATGACGATGTGGTGTCGAGAATGCGCAATATGCATGTCTCGGCGCGCCGCTTTGGCTTCAAACCGACGTACTCGCTCGTCCACAGATTACTCGCGCAGGACAACGGTTCGATATACGAGCTACCTCAGGCCGCTCATGTCTTCCTTGACAACACGGGACTGCTGCAGTCCGTCATTCCGGCTCACGCGACCAAGCTGGAGGTGCGAATCTGTGAGAACCTGCGGGTCCTTGGATATCATGAGGTCGCCAGGGAAATGCTAGCTTGGCTCCCGAGGACACCTGGGGTCACCTACGTGCAGGGGCGCCTTTGGCTCGAAGAAGGCCGCCTCGATGACGCTGCGACTATCATGGAGGCCTTGGCGGGCAGCTTTGGTGGGTCACATCGTTTTCTCCGGTCAATACATAATGTGACCTAAACCTCCGTGCAGGACCTAGAGGCGCGTTATCGGACGAAGACCAGGAGGCGCTGGCTGCCGTCTTACCCGGGGCGGAGCCCTTGGGTCTGAATTCGATTATTATCTTCACGCCGCCGGACTCTTCAAAACTGCGTCGGATACCCTGCACGAAGTCTCCTTCACGCAGCTGGCGATCTCAGTCGCGCCGCCTGGAACGGACGCCGCGTCCTTGTGGCACGGAGTCATTCGGGGCCTCACGGACTTGGGGCTATATGAGGATGCGTACGCCTCGCTTGTCTCTACCCCCTATGAGAAGCTGTAGGTCCCCGCATTCATATCCTCATCCCGTGTGCTGATCGTGTGTCAGGAAACGGGAGTGCATCAGTCAGCTCATTTATCGGATGTGTGAAGAGGATGCTGTGAAGCGGCTAATGTCGTTCAATTTCGCTGGTCTGGCGGATGAGGTGGAGGATGCGCTGGCGTTCAAGGTCCGGAATGCTGACCCGCGGATCCGGCCGTTCTATTCCCGCATCCTCTACACATGGTACGTGTCGAGAGGCGACTATCGGAACGGTGAGTCGACGAGTAACATCCCTATGAAGCTCTGTGCGGCACTGGTGCTCATCGAGATTCGTGTTCCGCGTTGCAGCTGCACTTACTATGTACCAGCGGGCCCGGAAGCTAGGCGCTCTGATCGGGGACCTGTCAGACTTCGACGGCCTCACTGAGCTGCAGCTTGAAGCTTATGTTGTCTGCATGAATGCTCTCGCCCTAATCGATCAGAAGAACGCATGGATTGTCCTTCCTGTGACGAGAGAAACCGAACATGAGGTGAGCAGACGTCCTGCCTGGAATGCAGGCTTGCTAACCGCAGGCGACCTCAGCCGCGCAAGCGACGGAAACTGTCGAGGCATATACCGGAGAGCCGGTACTCCCCTGGCAAACGAGACGCTGAGATCGTGCATCTGTCGGATATGCAGTACGAGTATACTCTGCTGTCCGCTCGTCTAGAGTTGATCCGAAGGGACCCCACGTTGTTGTCTGCCGGAGGTCGGTAGATACATCCCCTGGCGCCTTGGACGTCCTCACTGACCGCACGGGCCGCAGGATTGACACTGTCTCCGCCGTCCATTATCATGAGATTGGCCCAGAACAACCGGTTCAGCGTAGCGATGGCTACTGCTCGCTGCCTCAGGAAGACATGACCGACCTATTCGGACAGCTGACTCGACAATGCCTGCGGCTCTCCCGCAACCCAGATGCTGTGGTGTGGGTACAACTTGACCTCCTGCGCGTGCGGTGCTAATGCCTGGCGAGCAGTGCAGAGGACACTTCTGACTGGCTACTGACCGATAAAGTTTCCTCGTGGCCAGGTACCCCTGCCGATCGGGGCTGGCGGTATCTGCGCCAGGCGTTGGAGCGTCATGACGGACCAGAGACAGACTTCAGGTACAGTAAGGTAACGTTGGAGACCATACTGGAGTACGATAGGTCATCGCCACCGCCTCCTTGGCTGGTTCACACACTCGAGGTCGGTCATCTGCAGTCTCGGCCCAATGGCAACCCTGACTATTCCTAGACTCAGCACCCCGAGTACTTGATCAGGACGTGCCTTCGGTATGACAACCTCGACTCTGCCCTGGATCATGTTCTGGCTCTCATGCGAAGGGTGGGTATTCCCGGACTTCTATTCGCTCGACTGACTGAACTCTCCGCAGAGCGACGCGCGGCTGGCCGAGGAGCAGCCGAAGACATCTGCTGCAACATGGCTGCCGTATACCCTCATTGACCAGGTCCTCCTCGCTGCAGACTCTCAAGAAGACCTGTCTGCTCGCGGAAAACTCCTGCAGAAGCAGCTGCGCAGCGAAATAACCAATCGTATCATGAGGGTCCAAAAGTTCTCGCAAGCCGCGAGATGATCGGTAGAAGGACAGATACCGTGGATACAGTACGTTAATCAGTTTTCCCTCGGTGCTGCAACGGAACGTGTACAGGCTTCGTACTTCCTCAAAACCCACGCTATTGTAGCAGTAACATACCGCGATCTTGTATTTTCTTTTAGCTCTACCTACGAACGCTCTGAATCAATGCTGTCGAGGCGTCGCCGCATCACCCGCGCACGAAGGCGATGTGCGAGTACGCCGGTCCAGAGGGCGGTACTGCCACTGCGACCGACCGAGAAGCGACTGGACGCGTCGGGGCACGTGCGGGTGACCGAACGCGCCGTCACCCGTGGGAATATGTCGACGGCCGCGATACGGTGGGTTTCGGACGTGCAGACCGCTACTTACGCCCTCTACCACCACTGCAACACCACTGCATCTTGCTTCTGCCTAACATGCCTCAGAACGTGCGGAAGTCGTTTATGAAGAACTGGTTTGCCGTCGAGGTACGTCCATGCTCACATCGTGGGGGTGCGAAGGGCTTACGGACACGGACTGCGCTTGCAGGCAACACCCATGTAAGTCGGTCTTCTTGGCCGCGGATGGCGGAGGGCTGACTCGCAGCTAGTTTTGCTGTTATGGGATTGGCGGTGTTGGGTGGGGCATGGTACCTCTCACGGCTGGCTCGAGGCCCGACGGGTGAGTTTGACACGATTGAGGGTGGGACTTGAGATTGACGCAGCGGATGCCTTTCCAGTCGTATGGACGAAGGAGAACCCGACTCCTTGGAACGACATCAAGCCGAATGAGGGCACCAAGATGCTCACAGTCAACCAGCACTTTGAGAAGGGGTATGTGTCTCGCTGCACGCCCTGTCTCCGGCACGCCTACTGAACCGCGTCATTTGCTGCAGTTGGGAAAGGAAGAAGCTTTGAGAGTGGGTCCATTGCCTCGTCCGCTTGCGCAGGCTCGGGCCTCGAGTTCATTCATTGATGTGTACGAAATTGTTGCGAATCTGAGCAGCTCTGGCATTACTTGTACCTACCGTGCGCGTGACGTGTGATGGTGCGATTTGTGACCGCGCCTCTGACGACATGTCAGTCTGCAAGCGAGTACCGTTCTACTTTGTCTCATTCCAGACTCGCCCTCCTCTCATCTCCGCACTCGCTCCTCTCTTCCCCCGCCCTCTATAGCACCATGGTCGTCAAACTCGACTCCCCTCAACCCGACATCTCGCTGCCTGGCGGCGACATCCCAGACGAAGACGAGGATCGCCCGACGACGGCCCTTCGCTTGTAAGGTGATGTGACCGGATGCAGTGAACGTACTTTGACGAAATCTCACGGAAGAGCACTGTCGGCCCCCTTGGCCTCTCGGAGATTGTCTTCGGTGCGGCCGCACTATCCACGATCTACAACAAGGACGAGCACATCAGCAGCTTCACGCCCGTGCGCACGGTTCGGCTGGCCCTGCGGTGCGTCCGAATTCTATCGCGGTGCATCTCGACCCTGACTTTGGCTCAGCTACGGCGTGAACGCGTTCGACACGTCCGCCTACTACGGCGAGTCCGAGATTGTGCTGGGCACCGCGCTCAAGGCGCTCGAGCCCGACTTCCCGCGCTCCTCGTACAAGCTGGTGCGGACGACCCAGCCCCGTTTCCCGAGATTGTCGGACACGACGTCATTCACGCTTCTTTCTACCCGTCTAGATGACCAAATGCGGCCGCTACGGCACCCCCGCGCAGACTTTGACTACTCGCCCGCCACCCTCCGCGCCAGCGTCCAGCGCAGCCTCAAGCGGCTCAACACCACCTACCTCGACGCCGTCTACCTCCACGACACCGAGTTCGTCGCCACCCAGGTCGGCCCCCACGAGGACGGGCACCCCACGGACGCGTTGAAGCCGGAGAACCTCGAGAAGTATGGGCTCGCGGACGGCCAGGAGAGCAAGGTCTGGGGAGAGGGCGACCAGCTCATCCTCGACGGCCTCGCGGAACTGCAGAAGATGAAGGACGAGGGGATCGTCAAGGCCATCGGCATCACCGGTTCGTGCTACCCTCATTCGCCCTCACATCCTCTGACACGCCGCTTCACAGGCTATCCGCTTCCGACCCTCCTCCGTCTGGCACTGCTCGTACTGCACACCGCGCCGTACAAACCGCTCGACGTGCTCCTCTCCTACTCGCAGCTCACCCTCCAGAACAGCGCGTTCGCCGACTTCGCGCCGCACCTCCTCGAGCGCGCCCGCGTCGGGCAGCTGCTCACCGCGTCTCCGCTCAACATGGGCCTCCTCACGCCGACACCGCCCAAGTGGCACCCCGCGCCCACAGAGCTGAAGGACGCGGTGAAGAAAGTCGCGGAGGCGTGCTCGGGTTGGGACGGCGGGTTGGTGAACGTCGCGGTGGGCTATGGGTACCGGAAGGCAGCCGAACTGGACGTGCCGATGGTCGCTGGTCTGAGCTACCCGCGTGAGGTGCATGAGAGCATGCACGCGTGGCGCGACTTGAAGGGGAGCCAGGAGAAGCGGATAGCGCAGGAGGACAAGGCCTTCGAAATATTCGATGGATACCTGGGATGGTCGTGGGCTTCCCCTCCCGATAACTTGTTGTAACTGCTACTGAGGACGAACGACATTCGCGCTCTCGTCGTCGGGTCAGAATAGAAGTGTAGAGATGACTATAGATACAGGATATTGTACGGGTACGGTAAAACAGACATTGTGAATATCTTCAATACCAACATGCAGAGTACAGTCCGTGCCACTCGATTATCGTGTCTTGATGATCCCCGCGTTGATCAGCTTCATGATGTTGTTGCGGACGGCGGGGTTCTTCATGTGGTCCTGTAGTGCTGCAGGGTCGCCTTGTGCCTGCTGGAGTATGGACTGCATGATAGGGTCGCCCATGATGCTCTATCCCCCGTTGATCAGTCAGTCTGCGGATCCGCGAACACAGCAAACAGAAGAGACACATACCGCAATTTCCGGGTCGCGCATCGCGCGCTGGAGTGTCTCCTCCTCGCTCTCGCCCGCGCGCTGGTTGTACATCTCCATCTCGCACCTCGTCATCTGCTCGCGGATCTCCCTGTCGTGCTTCTTCTCCGTGTCCACGTCCGCCGCGCGCTGGATCGCCTCGATCGCCTTCGTGAAGTCTTTCATCGCGAACAGGACGTGGCTCTTGCGGACGTACGCCTTCACGAACGTCGGGTCGACCTTGATCGCCTCGTCCGTGTCCTTGAGCGCCTCGGGGAGCGCGACGAGCTTCGTGTACGCGTTCGCGCGGTTGTTGTACCCGCGCGGGTCGGTCGGCGCGCGCTTGATCGCCTCCGTGTACGCCTTCACCGCGCCCGCGAAGTCGCCCTTGTGGAAGAGCGCGTTGCCCTCCTCGCGCGCCTGCGCGGCCTTCTCCGGGTCGATGTACTCGAGCCGCGCCGCCTCCGCCTGCGTGCGCTCCGCCTCGCGCAGCTTCGCGAGGACGTCCGGCGTGCGGTGCTCCGTGAGCGACTTGTTGTAGAACTTGATCGCGGTCGGCAGGTCGCCCTTTTTGGCGTACGCGTTGCCCGTGCGCCCGAGTGCTTTCGCGACGAGCTTGTAGTCAGCGCGGAGCGAGCGGCCCTCGTCGACCGCCTTGTCGCACGCCTCGATACACTTGTCATACTCGCCCTGCTCGAAGTACGCGGCTGGATGTGCCGGTCAGTCATGTCGTGGACGCGTGCAGAACGCAGGAAACGTACCTGCGAGGTTCGTGAGGAAGGTGATGTCTTGTGGCCAGATGTCCCAAGCCTTCTGGAAGTGCACAGCCGCCTCGTCCAGCTTCTTGGCCTTGTACGCCTCAGCACCGAGCTTCTTCTCTGCCTCCGCCTCTTTCCGCGTCTTCGCGTCCTCATCGTCCTCCTCAGGGTCCGCCATCTTCACGTCCTCCGATTTTGGTGGCTCTCGCGCCTTGCTCGACGACGCAGCGGGCTGCGGCGGGGGAGACGTAGGCTTGGGCGCGGGGGTGGGCTCGGGCTCCGCCTTCTGGTAGCCGGGCGGGAGCTCGTCGGAGCCCTCCTCGCGCGAAAAGCCCTGCATGTCGATGCCCATGAGCGCGCCGAGCACGTCGATCATGCGGGGATCGTTGAGGGCGCCCTGCGCGAGGCTCGGGTTCCTCTGGAGCATCCGGAGCTGCTCCACGAACCCCGGGTCTACGAGGTGCTTCGCGGTGCGCGGGTTTGCAGCGAGCTTGCCGATCAGGTTGGGGTCGCCGAACATCTTGCCCAGGCCGAGCGCGTCTGCGCCGTCGCCGCGCTCGTCGGACGCTAGACGATGGATGTCAGAGGGCGGTGGAGGGGACGTGGTGATTGCGCGCACCCTTCGCGTCCTTCACCTCCTGCAGACCCTTTCTTAGTGCGGGGCTGTCCTCAAGCTTCAGGCCAGTCTCGTACGCTGCGACGGCATCGTCGTAGCGGCGTTGTCCATGGAGGGCTGCACCCTTGCGCGCGTAGCCCTTCGACCATGCGGGATTGATCTTGATGCACTGCGGACCCGACGCGTTAGTGGCTGGTCGGCCGCACACGAGCTTGACCCACCTGCTCAGCATCCACGAGTGCGGCGGAGTACTGACGCTTTCCCGCCTTCGCCGCACTCCGGTTCGAGAAGAGCACGAAATTATTTGGGTCGAGCGCGATCGCCTGGGAGAAGAGGTCGATCGCCTTGTCGTAGTCCTTGGCCTGGAAGGCCTTGTTGCCCTGGTCTTTGAGCGCGTTGGCCATGCAGTGAGTTTTTCGGGAGTAAAGGTTGGGTATGTGGGGGAAGATACACACTGTCTGCAGGTCGTAGACGCAGCGGGCGACTTTATGGCTGCAGGGCGCGTTTCAAGCGCTTTCCAATCCTAGAACTTTCCAGAACGATTGCCTGATTCGGCACCCTCGATCGTCGTCGACCGTCCCAAATCTTATCAGATAATTCTGACCATCGAAGTACCTCCTCCGCGACTGTCGTTTGAATTTGTAGGGTTGAGCTTCGTCCGAGCACTGACGCAGACAGTGGTACTCTCGGGCAGCTTCGTACACATGTTTACATTTTCGCAAAGGGATGATCAGACACCTAAAGATCGTGTGATGCACGAGTCAAGCAGCAGCAGCAATCCTCGTCACACGAGATCCACAGCCATCGAACGTCGAACGGTGTATGCATATCCATTAGCATGTAATGCCCTTCGCCAGCCCTGGCGCGATTTGTTCCCTGACAACATTAAAGCCGTAGGACCTGGATGCAGTTTTGTACTGTCGTGGCGCACAGAAACCTCCTCAAGATCAGTGGTCAAGCGTGACACAGGTGGAGCGTATGGCACGTTGTGTAGAGTCCTATGAACCTGAGGATTGAACTTCCTTTTGCACTGAAACATCGTATCACGACTACATTGAGTGACAGACATGGCAATGAAGAAGAGCATACTCACCGGTTTCCATGTCTCGTCTATCCCATTCCTCCGCCCGCTTCCTCCTCGCCTCCTCAACCTCCTCGCGCACATCCTTCTTCCGACCCAGCATCACCTCTCGCCACGAGATCTCCTCTCCACTCGCCACCTCCTGCTCCGACACAGGTGTGCGATGACTCCGCACAAGCTTCATGATCCTGTCAAGCTCCTGCGAAGGTATCCGCTCTCCCTCCGGAGGCGTGCGGCGGTAGGCTCCAAAGGGACAGCTGCGCTGTGAGCTGTAGTCGTTCCGCCTCGGCACTCTTCCGCTGAGAAAGGATGTGCATGCCTAGTGATGTGATGGCCAGCGAGTAGAGGAGATGCGGGACATAATGCGTGGTGAAGGCAGGCATGATTTCGTGAACTTCAGGCTAGATGTGCCGCTCAGTTCAGTAAACGAGCAGTGTTCTTATTGAGATACCATTAGGCAAAGGTGGCGATATGGGGACCGGCAGGATGGAAGAAGTACTCACTCGATCGTTCCGAAGTGGTTAAGCGGACTCTATGTACGGTGTGTGGCTGGCACGTGGGTTTGTTAGGATCAGAAGGTCTTGCCAAACAACCCGTCCGCATTCGGCAATCGCGTCGTCACACTTGATCTTGCAAGTCACTTGCTACGCGCTGGCAGACGCCGGCAGACGCCACGACGCTCGGTATATTCCATACAGTCAGTCCAAAGCGATGCCCGCCGCGCGGCGGCGGTCGATCAAGACTTCCTCTTCCTCCGGGTCTCAACCAGATCGCGTCTTCACAGACGTCGTCCTGACCATCAAGTCGGAATACGTGGTACTTATCCGAGAGCGAAGGAAGAACCACGAATTCAGGTCTTACAAGCTACGTCCTTCAGTGCAAAGACTGTGGCTGTATGAGTCTGCACCACGCTGTGCCATTCAGTACGTCTCCACAGGTTGACTCGACCTGTATCGACCATGATTCTTAACGAGCATCATCTTCAGGTATGTCCTTGAGACCGCGGCCCCAAAGTTCCCGGGGAGCTACGCGATCCTAGTGGCGTCAAAAACGACGACTTCGACGCGGGGCTCATGACGGCTTACGCATACCCTGTCCGAGCACTGTACAAGCTCGACGCGCCCGTGACGCGAGAGGAACTCAACAATCGGTTTGCTGTAAAGTCGCCACAGGGATTTTGCTACGCGACAAGGCCTATGGTGGAATCCATGCCGCTGGAAGGGATGGAACAGGTTTTTTAGGCCAGTTCAGTTGGTGCCGTTTCAGCGTTTCGTCTTAGGGTTACTTTGGACGGTGGTGTGCATGCTGTACTGATGCTGCTATGGTAGCGTCTTCATTACCAATTGACGACCTAGGAGGTCAGATTCAGAGTATTTTGCTCTAGGGCCATTCATGAAGAAAACGTTAAGAAGCGGATCTCTGTCCCCCCAAGATCTTCCCTACGGTGTACGACGTGTTAATTTCGACTGCATCTGACCGTGGCGAAGACCTATCTCCTCACTGATGTGTAGCATTGAGCCTAAGCGGCCCAGTCGAAGACTCCTATCGAGTGGTCGCGATGCTGCGCGCAGCAACCCCTACAGGAAGGTCAAGACATGATATTTTGCAAAGTCGGCGCGTGCAACTCGGCGAGGTCTGTGCCAAAAATGGACGTGTATCCCGTCCAGTAACGTGGACAAAACCGAAGGTGGCAGTAGTTGAGGGTGACGATCACGGAGGGGTAAGTGGCTTGCGCTTTCGCTCGGGCGATGTTACGACCCGTCTCGGCTCACGATTTCAGGTGATTCTTGTTCCTAAGACTCTCGGGGGATACTAATACCTTGCGAAGGACCAACAGGATGACGGCTTGGGAGGACAATAAAGAAGCTTTGAACAGGCGGAAGGACAAAGCATTACTGTGTCCCGGATATAAGACATGGACGAGAATACTCGGAACGTTATGAGCAAGACCCCGCGGCCAGGCTGAACCCGGAAGTTATCGAATTATACACAAAGTACTAACACTCGTTGTCGTAAACCTACCTCTGCTAAACGTTCTCAACAGAGTCGGTGTCGTATTATCACAATATAAATCGGGGCCCTCCCACACTCCTACAAATCATACCCTCCCTCCCGGCCTGAGCCGCATGCTTGCGCTCACGAAGCCAGAGGAGTGGACGCCCCAGGCATGCCACGCCGCGACGCGGATCTTCGTCTCGCAGATGAATCCGCCGCAGGCCCGCGTCTTCATCGAGGGAGTGCTCCTCGATGCGATACGGGAAGACATTCGCTTAACGCGCGAGGGCGCGCGGAAGAACGAGAATCACAGGAAGCTGAACGTGCATTGTCATGGAGCCATGAGGCGGGCGCTGCGGCGTTTTTCAAGGGGACTGTGTTTCCTCTCCTGGGTGTAAGCAACCCTCGGCACCGGTACCATTTCCGAGACGATGACTGGATAAATCCCACAGTCAGAGTGCACCCTCCAGGAAGCCGCCATCATCGCCTCCGTGCTCGCCAAGGTCAAGGTGTCGCTCATGCACTCAGCTGTGGCACTCATCCGGCTTGCGAATATGGACTACTCCGGGCCGAACTCGCTCTTCATCCGCGTGCTGCTCGACAAGAAGCACGCGCTGTCTTTCAAGGCCGTCGGCGCGTTCGTCTTCCACTTCATCCGCCTCTCAAACACGTACAAGGCGCGGCACGCGTGGAGAAGCTCCCCGTGCTGTGGCACCAGTCGCTGTTCGTGTTGTGTCAGCGGTGAGACTTCATTTGGCTCCAGCTCCGCGAGGGTACTGAGTGCTTGGCTGTGACTCTGACAACCTCTTCGGGTCCTCCCCTTTCTCCTTATCCTGTTGTGGCCACGCTTCTTCGATCATATCAGTGTTACCAGTGGAATGCCGTCCAAGGCATGCAGAAGGCGTCTCGTTTTCTGATCGCGGTTGGGAACATAACCGTAGTGGCGCATATAGCCTTCTGCGTCAACTTTTAACATAGCACACCCGTCTGACTGAATATGACAATAGGCAGGGGACTCTGGCTCCGTTACGTCTATGACGGTATAACCATCGTTATTATCTGCAGCGCATCGTGCTCAGTCTCGTCATGTATGAACTATGCTGGACTGGAACGACTTACCGCAGTCCCACGGCGCGTAATCGGCTGACAACACGTCCTTAGCGAATGTCGTTCCGCTCCTGTAGGGTTCCCTTCACCGTTGTCTACACACCACGCCATGCTCAGCAACGATGCCGTGAACGGACATGGGTGTTCGGGAAGCTTGGGTTCCTGGGTCCACCGACCGTACTTGCCATGGATATTCTGGATCTCGGCTCTTACGACTTCTGCATTCTCCTTCTGCTTGAGCAGGGTGACGAAACGGATTATAGCGGCCGCTGGAATGTCTCCGTAGCACTCTTGGTGATGATATGCGGCGATACAACGGTACCTGGGTCGACCATCCGGGGCGCCGTGAGGTACGACTCGGGCGATGAGGAAAGCCTGGTGCCTCCGTCCCATGTTGGCTGGGTGGAAGTCACACGAGTGGTGGGACTTTCAAAGGAAACAGATCTGAGTATCAACGGTGCCAGGGCGATGGTGAGGACGACGGAGGTGGTCGACCAGTAAAAATGCCTTGGTGTTTGTTTATTCCCTTTTGTGTCACTGAGGGCGGAGCCCTATGTAGACAGTACGTACACTAATCTAAACGCGTGTCTCTCGAACTGTGGTCGCTTAGCATCGCCGTCCGCCGAAGCTTCAGGCATGTATAGTAAGGTGTGGTAGGGGAATGTGAAGATGGTTGTTCAAATCTGGGAGTTTCCGCCGTTTCCGAGTCATGGCCCATCTCCTGCTGTCTCGACGTGACCGTCGTATCCGTCGTATTGTGCCTATGCTCAACGCCGCTTTCGCCTCGCTCCGTTCCTCGCGTCCCCTTCAGCGTCCTTCAGCTTCAAGTCTCCGTAAACGGCCGCGAAGCGGCCGGTATCATGTATGTATCGGAACAGCGGCTTCAGGGTGCTCGCCGCATTAAGGAGGTCCTTGATCGAACGCGCAGCGGGTCCTGCGTCGCGCGCCAGCTTGTCTCGCATCTCGTTGTAGGCTGGGCACTCCATGAGGTAGTGGTACACCGTTTCGCGCGTCATCCCACAGGACGGGCAGAGAGGCGAGTCCGCCTTCTGTATTCTGAAAAGGTATTTTTGCAGCGGGACATGCTCGGTTCGGAGTTGGATCAAGAGACTTGCCTGGCGTCGGGGGAGCTTTTCAGCGAGCTTCCCATATGTCTTAGACGGCATCTCCGGAATGCCTTGGTGGTGGCCTCTAATAAATCGGACCCGGCCCCCGCGACAGCCTCGTATGATGGATCTGCAAGGTCGGGCACGATATTCTCAGACCGTCGAGGATAAGCTTCATTCGCCGCTGCCAGCCAGTACCAGTGCGTATCTGGACACTTACATCCCATCATACATCAGGACTCGCTACCGCGAGAACGGGATGTACGGAAAACGTCTCATAAAGCGGACAAAATCAACGAGCGGCACAGTAGACGAGGTATAGCAACCAAGCTTCACCTTTCTAGAACACAAGATTTCGACACACTTTGGCAGGTCGAGTAAAATATAGTCTCCTTTAGCCCCTAAATATGACCTCTCCGCCGGGGGAGAGTGGTCATATATAACAAGGAGTGAGATGAGACTAGGTGACGAGCGTCGTCTGGACACTCAAACAAGGTCAATTCGCTCTTCGAGCCCAGTACCATCTACTTACCAGTTCGTTAGACCCTAACCAATACGAGACCTCCGCCAGGCTGAACTCAAGAGTTGACGAACTATGATTCGGCCGCTGCTTGGGTGATCCCAGGGCGAATCAACGGCTCGCCAAGGACCTTCCCCGGCTCGTCCCTCTGTTCATAGGTCATTCCGCCATCTGTCCAACTCGCCTCAGAAGTGACTCTTGACGTGCAACAGCACCTACTTGGAGTCGCTATCCTATCTGCGATAAAGCCTTACCTGTGTGCCACGGTTCGACAAGGTCTTCGTGGCCCGGAAGGTGTTCGCAGATGCGAAACCCGTATTAGACCGTACGCTCTAGGGCATCGTCGGGACGATGGTAAGCAAATTTGCAGACCATAGAGTGAGCCGCCCTTCTTGCCTCGCCAGTCGGAGGCGTTCTCAACTCGGTACATATTGAGCGTCGACGCCCTGTGAACGACACTCTCGTCGGAACACTAAAGTCTCCTCCAGTCCCGACCGGGTCCCGACGCCCTTATGAGGGAGCACGCCGATCAGGCAACGATTCAGGTTGTTTGATGCGATAAAGAAGGCTAGTTCGCTCAGCATCGTTACAGGCTCAATCGGGTTTAGCACCTTTGGTCGCCGTGGATCATACGCTAAGCTCATATCGGAAAGTTAGCCATTGTCACCTATCCGCCCCAGCCCATATCCACATTACGCCCGAAAGGATGTCCAAGCTGCATAGCATCCAGGTCAGCGTACCAAAGCAAGCGCATCACAATACCGGCATCACCGCGATTACGGTCACCCCACACCCCCGAGCTCAAGTCCGCCCGAGGCCTGGCCGTACCGTATTAGTCACTGAAGTACCGGGGGCAAACCGGAGAGACACTTCATTCCTGTTAACACCAGTGTATACACAAGTAATCAGAGGCAGCGAGCAACTAGTAGTGCCATATGCAGTCTCACACACGGGGAACAGTAGGCGGTAAAACGTACACGTAGCACACAATCAGGCGGCAGCAGTCCTTGGGAGAGCAAATGAAACAGTGTCCGTATCCAGTCCGAGCGTACCGAGGGAGGGATAGAGGTAAGAATGAGACCAGAGAAACAACCACCGGCAGGCGCGCACCCCGCGTCACCTACCGAGAACCACAGTCCGTCGACGTCGTCGAGTCATCATCGCTGGAAGCGAGTAGCTTACCTCCGCGCGGGGACGGACCGTACATGACGTTCGCGACGGCCGAGCTGGTGGCAGCGGCGGCGTTATTGGCAGCGGGCGTCCCCGACGCGTCCGCACTCGCCTCGGAGATGATGGACGCGGCCATAGACGAGTTAATCGTCGCCGTCGTGACGTCCGCGGACGCGCCGCCGGCGGTGGTGCCGGCCGCCATTGCCGTGGACATTGCGGCCGCGGAGCTGGCTGCCATTGCCGTGGATGTCGCGGCCGCAGAGCTAGCCGCCATCGCCGTGGTTGTTGCTGCAGCGGAGGTCATCTCGGCAGCGCTGGTTGACGACGCGGCCGTTGTGGTTTCCGCCATCGAGGACGATGCCACGGAGGACGACGACGTGTAGCTGTTACTCGAGCTACTCGACGACCGATCGAGATGGAGCCGGAGCCTCGCACGCCGCGCCGGTCCGAGAGGCCGCAGGATGTCCACCTCAGGTCGATAAAATGATGGCGGGGCCGGCGAGGATGGACCGAGTGGCGCGCGGCTGACGACGTCGTTGGCAGCGTGTTCTCGTCGCAGGTGATGAACACCACCGCGGGGCCGTTCAGGCCATCCGGGATGGCGCAAGCCTCGAGGCCAGCGACAGGGAGGTAGTCGCGCCGCCGACGATGATCTGGCAGAACAGTTGCTATGGGACTATATCAGCGCCGCACGTGATGAGGCTGCTGAAGTGGCAGGCTTACCGAGGACGCAGAGCACCTGCCGTTCGCGTTGGAGTTCTTGGAGCTCATGCCACTGCTGCTGGAAGACATCCCATGGACGACGACTTGAGCTCTTCGACGAAGCATCCGAGCTCATCGCGCTGGCGGCCGAGCTGCTCGGGCTATAGCTGCTCTTGTAAGACCTGAGGCGATGTTTGCCTTGTTGCCGTTCATGGCAGGCGACGCGAAGCGAGCTTGGTCCCGGGCACAATGGCGCCAGTGTTCGTGATGGAGAGCGCGGCGTTCGCTAAGAATAGATCAGCAACGCGGATCGCCATAGCGCTATCAGAAATACAGACATGCAATGCCAGTGCTGCAGCCAGAGATGAAACTGCCCGCTATGGCGAGCACTTCGTTAGGCGTCAGCGCAATGTCGAATGCCTGGGGATGGACGTCGCGTCGTTGACGAGGTTCAGGATCGTCTGATGGCGTGCCTCGACGGTCAGGATAGTCGCAGCCGCGGTAAGATCGCAGGGTCTGAAATGAGGTTGGCAGCCCGAGGTATGCACCGACTCCGACGAGCTCGACTGTGCGAGCGATGGGTGCCATGGTTGCAACGTCGGTCAGCGCGCTCGAAAAGTCGAATTGGCAGTAGGAACAGCCTGCGAGCCGAGCGACTTGAGGGTTTCCTATAGAAAAGACCGTCATGAGAGTTGGCATACAGCCAGACGCGTGGGCACATACCTCAAGGAACGTAAGGTGCGTGCCTCATCTTGCCCAATCGCCAAGAATTGCTGGATGGGGACGTTCGGATCCGAGAAACCAGCGGCAGTGAAGTCGGACGCCTGAACTTGGAAAGGGCCTGCGCATAAACTCGGTCTCGAGCGCTTCAAGAACACCAGCGAATTCTGCGCGCCGAGGACAAGTGAGCATGGTTGCTACGAGAAGATTATAGGACCACGCACGGAGCACTAATACATCGACCGCATTCGCCCTCCTGGCGGCGGGTGCGGCAAAGGCCAAAAGAGGGAGTGCAAGGGAAAGGATGGACGTTGAAGGACGCATTTGGACTGGATGTTGCTGCCGCCGGATTAAGTGAAAGCTTGCTGGATACTCAGAATGTTAAAGGAATGAAGAATGTCCAGGGGCGCGACCGGGCAACCCAGAAAGTGACTGGAGGGGAGAAGAGACGGTCAGACGTTGCGGACGGGGACAAGAGGGGGGCCTACCTGAGCACTGAGAGAATGGGAAGAAGGCGAAAGGAGGGACGGAATGGGGAAGATGGCGCGGGGCGGGCCTTATAAGTAGGGCGCGCCGAAGCAGCGTAGCTAGCCTGGATATCAGATCGCGGTGTCCGCCTCCAGATCCCGGTCGCCTCGATCGGCGGAGCCTGAGGTCCCCATGGCGACTCCAATCGACGCGCCCTGGCACACGCCTGTACCGACCCGGGCGAACGCCTGAGCCTCCCTCCCCGCGATGGCCGGGCGACGTACGCGGGAGGCCATCGACGGGAGCACGAAGACAGGCGCATCCCCGACATGCCCGGGCTCACTTCGCGCGCGAGTCGTGCCAAGGCTCGAGAACCGTGATGGGCCGCCCCAAGGCCGCCAGGCTCTGTCGACGCACCCGCTTCCGTCGTTTAGCAACTTCTCACTCGGCTGCGAGCCTGCTCTTGCCTAACTGCATAGGACCTCCGCTTGTACGCGGAGTTGAGCCTGATCCTCAAATCCCGCATGTCTGCGCGTGCTGTTATTCGGACATGGTCGAGGCGGACTTTCACCCGGATGCGAAGTGCCAGGGCACGACTTGTGCCGTTTTGTCTATCAGTTGGTAGGGTGCGCGGGCTGCTGTTGCTTTGGGTACGTAGGTGTCTCAGAGACAGGTCAGACCCGCTGCGAAGCTACCCGTCGGGCATGCGTTGATACACCTAGTGGCCGGTAAACTGTGTATGCTTGGTATACGTACAATGACATCCTCGGTACCACTGACTTTGAGTACGTGCGGGTCAGGCTTTCCTAAACACACCCATACGTGTTCGGACGCCTCTTCCGGCACGAACGAGGTTTTGTCCGGATAAAATCAAGCATCACCCGCACCGAGAGCCCAATCTCGTCTGGATGGGTATAAGGCTTTTCCGTCAATAGCCGGGGGTCCTAACTGCATGCGCGTTGAGGAACCTTCTTAAAACGGCTGTCGAGGAAAGCAATGTCACGCGAAACCATAACGTCTTCGGACAGGTACTGCCCCTGGACCTCATTCTATCATGATACCGTGGTTGGATACCGAGACGTAGAGATGGCGACCGCATCCAAGATTCCATGCTAAGGACTCCGAGTCCGATTGGACTCCGAGGGAGCACCTCATACCTCGTTCTCGTTGGTCTCGTACCCATCCGTGTGGACGCACCCCACCACCGCTCCGACACGTCTGGGGCATCCTGAGCGGGCGACCCCCCTCAACTTTGACGCCCGTGAGGCGCCCAAAGTAACGGTCACATCAGAGATCCTCATCTGATGCACCTGCCTAAAGAAGACGGTGGCTCCGTCCAAGCGGCAGGCACCCAAGCAAGCGCGTTTTTGGCCTTGATGAGAGTACATAGCACTCGAGCCATGCCAGACTAGTACTGGTAGAGTGCTGGGATTGTCTGTGATAGTTGTTTTTCTAGATTCTCAATGCCACTGCGTCGTTCAAGTTGAATCCCCAAAAATGCAAAAATGAAATTATGAGAGACTCGAACCTGCGCACCGGTGAAGGCGATAACCGCTGCACCAAAGCAGTAACATGTGTTGCCCGACGGCGTTATAAGAGTACCAAACGACTTGTGGACCTCTTAAGTACTTTATGAACTGCGAGATGAAAATGTCAGTGGCCCCTGTAGCAGATCCCCCATCTGGCACATCATCGAAGCATACAGCGACTGCGATGTTCATGTCGTGGTATGCTAGCAGTATTGCTTGGCTTCCACGAGCTGTCTGATAGTCTTATGCAACGCCGTCGGGCAACACATGTTACTGCTTTGGTGCAGCGGTTATCGCCTTCACCGGTGCGCAGGTTCGAGTCTCTCATAATTTCATTTTTGCATTTTTGGGGATTCAACTTGAACGACGCAGTGGCATTGAGAATCTAGAAAAACAACTATCACAGACAATCCCAGCACTCTACCAGTACTAGTCTGGCATGGCTCGAGTGCTATGTACTCTCATCAAGGCCAAAAACGCGCTTGCTTGGGTGCCTGCCGCTTGGACGGAGCCACCGTCTTCTTTAGGCAGGTGCATCAGATGAGGATCTCTGATGTGACCGTTACTTTGGGCGCCTCACGGGCGTCAAAGTTGAGGGGGGGTCGCCCGCTCAGGATGCCCCAGACGTGTCGGAGCGGTGGTGGGGTGCGTCCACACGGATGGGTACGAGACCAGTTCTCGTAGCGTGTGTGCGGCCTGCACGAAGGCGGCCGCACGGGCATTGTCCAGGATAACAACTGATGCACCCCGCTGCCGGCTAGCAACGTATTATGAAGTCCGAGCCTTGACAGCGAGCGGCATCACACTGATTATCACCGGTCTCTAAAGACGATGAATGCGCCAGTGAGATTCAGAAAAGCTCATCCTGTGTCGAAAGGCTCAGACGTTACACAGCGATGAGCGATGAGCGTCTTCAGCTCACTTACCGGTCACAGAAATCAGTCCACCGACCTCAAGGACACGGCACAAACAGTCACTTTGGGACGGCGCTGGTGGCGTTATGATAATGAAAAGTAGGATCGCTGCGATCACAGAGATAATGCATGAACGAAGCCTCGACCAGACGTACTTGCCTGGCGACCACTCAATGCAGACAACTGTTGACAAGGGGAGAGATCTTGCAGCCTCCACCTGACCTTCGGTATGTATAAACCCCGTAAGTAGCGGTGTGCGGAGCAGGAGGCGTACCTATGGCGATTTGGACGTGGCTTCAGCATAAGCACCGACAACGGTAGAGCCATGTCCGATGACAGTGAGATGACTGACGAATCATGTTTTGACCGAGCATTCATAGCCTAAGCCAGCGCATGTCGAATCGGTCGTCGTGGGCGTAGCATCCAAGAGGCAGTGTGTATGCACGTATGTGGATGCAGTGGTTCAAGTTGTGTCGGGACCGAGTCGATGATCGAGGCGATCGTAAGTAGTATCTGTCACGTGGGCCTCGGACTCTGCGAGCGTCTACATTGTGGCGAAAAAGTTTCGAGCGTCGAGTCTCGACGGTCTGCAACACATACGGACCGCACCGTCCGATCGCCTCGCGAATTCTCTGGGAGTCCTCTCGCCCGCCGCCCAAAATGTTGTACTATACGAGACGGCGCTTGGTACTGCCTGTTCAAGCTCACGGACTCGGCAAAAATCGAGAGCGCGGACTTATGGGAGGACTTTGAGACACCAGAGAGGGCAAACAAGCTGTGAGTGGTCGAGATGCATACTTGAGTTGGGATTTTTATTGACACATAATCTCGCGGGATATGCCCTTCATGTCCATGTGATGAAGTCTGAAGCTCAAGTCGCTTCACCGCTTCACGACTACTGCAATAGCAGTTGAGGAAATCACCGCTCTTCAGGAAGGCAAGCTCGGCAAGGGCCTGAAGAAGTTCTTGTCGGACGAGGTCGTTGGGAAGGGCAAGGGGAAGGAGACGTTGGCTGTATTCGACGCGAAACTCGGTGCGTAGAGTGTGTCTGATTGCTCGTGGTGCTGCAGGTACTCAAGTGAGCCTTTCTTCAGGTAATTCGATCAGCAAAAAGCTTGGGATTAACGTCGTCGGAAATGACTCTATGGACCTGTTCCGTGGTATCAGGGGCCAGTTGGCTTCGCTCCTGGACGGGCTGGACCCGAAGGATCTTGCGACTATGAGCTTGGGTCTGAGCCACTCATTATCCGGTGAGTTTGCAGTGGTCTGTTCTCACTTCGCAGCCTGTCACTCACTCACGGATTCATAGCTTCAAGCTCAAGTTCTCGCCAGACAAGGTTGACACGATGGTGGTTCAGGCTATCGCGCTGCTCGATGACCTAGACAAGGAAATCAATATCTACGCCATGCGTGTCAAGGTAGCGCTCTCTGTGTGATTGGGATTATGTCTTGTGCTTACGCTCTTCAGGAATGGTACGGCTGGCACTTCCCCGAACTTGCAAAAATCATCGTAGACAACCAGGCGTACGCCAAGGTCGTGAAAACGATGGGTACGTCTTCGCGTCGTCTCCTCGTCTCCCATGCTAATATCTAGGGCCTCTAGGCTTCCGGACAAACGCCGCGACGACCGACTTCTCCGCCGTTCTTCCGAGGACCTCGAAGCGACCGTGAAAGCCGCCGCCGAGATCTCCATGGGCACCGAAATCTCTGACTCCGACATCGCCCACATACACTCCCTCTGCGACCAGGTCGTCGCCATCACCGTGTACCGCACGCAGCTCGCGGAGTACCTCCGCAACCGCATGAACGCGATCGCGCCCAACCTGACGGCGCTCGTCGGCGAGCTGGTGGGCGCGCGGCTGATCAGCCATGCGGGGAGCTTGTTGAGCTTGGCGAAGCATCCCGCGAGCACGGTGCAGATTCTGGGGGCGGAGAAGGCGCTGTTCCGTGCGCTGAAGACGAAGCATGATACGCCGAAGTACGGGCTAATCTATCATGTCGTGCCATCGTCATGTCTTGTCGCCCCATGTTGACCTGATCACTGCAGGCATCTCTCATCGGTCAAGCACCGCCAAAACTGAAGGGAAAGGTGAGTTGCCGTTCTGGTATTCATGAGCTCGTGCTCACCCGGAGCTCGCAGATGGCCCGCATGGTGCCACCAAAGCCGCCCTCTCAATTCGTGTCGACGCCCTCTCCGACGTCGACACCAAGTCCGAGCCCCAAGCACCCTCAATAGGCATCGAGAACCGCGCCAAGCTCGAGGCGCGGCTGCGCTCGCTGGAGGGGCAGGGCGACGCCGCGGTGGTGCGCTCCGCCTTCTCGGGGCGCACGCAGCAGAGTTCCAGATGGGGGCGAGACGAAGACGTACAACGACAAGGCGGACTTCGTGTCGACGCAGCGCGAGCCGGTCGAGAGCGCGGTGCAGGCGGCGCTCGACGTGAAGGCGGAGAAGAGGAAGGCGAAGGAGGAGAGGCGGGCGAAGAGGCGTGCGGAGAAGGAGGCGAAGGCGACCAGCGAGAATGGTGTGGAGGAGGACGCGATGGAGGTGATGGGGAAGAGACGAAGGAGAGCAAGAAGGAGAAGAAGCGGAAGCGGAGAGACAGCGAGGCGGAGGAGATGGTCGAGAAGCTGAAGGTATGCCTGAGTCTCTTTTGCGCCGTTAGTGTGCTGATCGGTTTTGCGCAGAATCTGGAAACAGAGGCAGAGACGGAGGCGGAGCGGAAGGCGAAGAAGAAGGCGCGTAAGGCGGAGAAAGCGGCAGCGCAGCAGCGGCTGCGGCAGCGAGGCAAATGGGTCAGAGTCTACAAAAAAGAAGCGAAGAAATCTGAGGCATAGCCCTTTCTTTCACTTCGTTTCGTCGTTGTATCTGTCGTCCGTGTTTTGTGTTGATATCTGCACTCCATCTTGTTTCGTGACGTACGTCGCGCTGCTAGTCGATCCCGCATCTGCAGGCATCCATGGAATGTGGAGAACTGTTGTCTTCGTACGTGATGATGACCTTCGCTCGTGTTCAAGCGTAGTCAATTTTCCTACCGCTGACCCACGGAAACATGTATGCAGTCGTATGCATGCAAGTCAGTCTTCTGTCACTCTGTGCTCAATCACTCTCAAATGACGGTCCAGGGCCGTGGAACGTGCTGCTCAGGGAGCCATGCATTATATAACTGGCTTTCATTGCGAAAGAGACGTTACAGATACAGTTTCATGGCAAGGCAACTGCGTGTTGAACGCGGTTCGGTCGAGTATTCTCATCATGACAGTCTGAGCAGGAGTTCCACCATACGCTCTGGTGCATCCCAATGAGGCTGCCGAAATCGGCCAGTGAGTCAGTCACATTGAATTTGCAAATGCCGAAGAGGTCGTTCGGTTTACTCACGAAGTGGTTCACGCCTTCAAACCGCACAGCCTCGATCTTCCTCGCTCCGTGCGGCCATTTTCTTGGACTTGCTGCATGAAGTGCCAGGCAGCGAACACTGTCTCCGGAACAGACATGTCGCACCAGATAAGAGGCACCCGAAGGTTCGGCCAGACCAACGAACTCCACAAGGCGTCGTGCATGATGTCCCTGTAGACCGACCTATCGACGGCCATGTAGCCAAGTGAGAGCGAGCTGTCACCAAAGGATCGACGACAGCGGCATATTGCTCGGCGATATGCGATCTATGGTTGCTACGTGCTCTGCAGGCGGGTCGTCGATCGGCTGTTGCGCGAGCCTCGCCTTCAGCTCGTCGAGCGTGAAGGACTGCAGCGCCGCGGCTGTGGGGATCGAGTGCGCGTAAAACTGGAGACCCAGCGCTCGAAAGCGCAGCCTTTCTGTTCCTCTGGTACCTGCGGGTCACGCAGTGGATTCATAATGAAGTCTGATACGTCGGAGGGTACACCCAGGGCGTGGCTACTGCTATCTGTGGTCATAGTATGTGATCACTTCGCTACTTGCCATGGTAATGAAGCGGCGGAGAGCACTCACCGAAGAGGACCAAAGATCGTAAGTAGGAACCCAGGGTCTCCTGATCATGCTTCGGGAGTTTTGCGGCTTGGGCCAGGAACGACATCGTAATCGTATTGCCCCAAGACCACGCGAGCAAGGCTAGTCCGCCTCCACCGGCGCCGCTGTCGCCTTGGCTACCCGCAATCTGCGGTATGCATTCCTTCCGAATGAACCACAGGAGGAACGCAGCGACCTCCTGACCGCGCTCATTGAGCATGGCCCGCTGCTCATTCAAGCTGCTGCTGTTCAGAGCCGCCAGCTCGGACGGGGAATACGGAGTCGATCCGGGGTAATCACGGACGTTGACCAAGACAAGACGCACATCGCGTGCGGCAGCGTAGGGGATCATGGGCCTGTATATCGCTATGCAATCCAGTAAGTAGAATCAGCATCCTTCAGCGCCATGCGCGGGCCCTTGTGAAAAGAGATCTGGAGAACTCACCACTGTGGAAGACACCACCATGTATGAGGATCAGTGTTGTGTAGGAGGGCTGCCCCGGAGGCGCGCCGGTATCCTCATAGTAGAATTGTGTTCCCTTCTCGTCTACCGATGCGAGAGGCATGTTGTATGGGCAGATATAGTCTCTGTCGCCCGCTCCTCACGACGGCTGGAGGACACCGGTACCGACCGACCAGTCTTATACTTATACCTTGTAGCCTTTGTCCGAGACGTCGACACCACTGTCGCTACATCGCTGCTTGCGATTGCGTGTGGGAAGGGAACACAGAGAGCGGATAATGTTATTTGTCGAGCAGGACGGCGGTGACATTGTCCGAAGCTTCCGAACCTATACTCATCGGGCTTCCGCGCACGGTAGCTAAAGTCTCCCGGTGCGCTTCGTGTAGCTGAGAAGACCAATGATTTTGTCAGCAGACGCGTATATGCCGTCACCATTGGATTGCCCTCAGAGCTTACAACAGGATATCACGCCCGATGCACATAGTATGGATCGCCATGACACAAGAGAGCTGTCAAACATCCACCCCTCAGGGTGGCGACTGTTCCTTCGATAAGCGGGGTACTGCCTTCTCCGTCGCGGATGACCACATTGTGTCGAAACCCTGTGGGCTACTGTATGCTTGCACGTTAGCCAGTCATCAAACGGTGATCAAACCTTTGTGCTAGGCCGACGGAGGCGGGTGCGGCGCAGAACTGTAACGTCAGCAATAGTTCACGGCTCACCTCATCGCTGACGTTGTAGGCATGTCGTAGTGCGCAGATGCAACATACTCGGGACTTCGCTGGACATCCGACAGACATGGTGATCATGATAGTCGTCAATGGTTGCCAAAACACGGCGCCGCAGAGTGGTTTTCAAGATTTCAGTAGCCCCAGAAAAGTAGGACAGTTGCGCACATGGGGACCCCGAGTAATTCGTTGCCCGTGCACGCCCTCAGCGGAGGTTCTTGAGTACATGTATCGTGCACCATAGACACCATGGAGGTTCTTCACAACGGAGCGGGAGCGAGCGCCGCATGCGCGCCACGGGTACGAGAACACAACTCGGGAGTCGGGACACACTCGATTCGGTTCGATTCTTTTTTTAAATTTATTCTCCGAGTTTATTCGGTTCGATTCAGGTCGTCGATCATAAGCCACACGCGACCTGACTCGGATACATCTCTTGACGAACTTGAATATTCAAGTTCACGTCGCACTCAACGTACTCAACTTTGCCAATGCAATGGCAGACTCAGCAGAACCGCCTTCAGTGCCTCTGACCGAACAGTCGTTCTTCAGCACACTCCTCACACCAGGGTCATCTCTCCATCCGACATTGCTACTGCTCCTCGATGCAGCCTTTCTGGCTCTCTTCCTCGTCTTTCTCTCCCTTGCAATCATTACTCGAGGAAACGTGCATCTCATAGTGCTCATGTCGATAGAAATAGCACTATGGGGAAGTGTCAAGTGGTGAGCGCCTCCTCCTTACTCTCTCGGGGCTGGTGTTTAAGGCTGGATGGAGGTTCGTACACGAATTGCAGAAGGTACAGGAAACAGAAAGCGCAAGCGGGGGTGCTTCGGAATCTGTGGAAACAGGTGGCGTGTCGAAGTCCAAGGAGGACTAGTCATTCTGAGCCCGTCGTCAAAATTGAGACTACGTACGAATGCGATTCGGACCCATTTACCCGGGTCATATCCTACACAATGGTATACAACACCACTTTCCGGTTCCCGCCAAGCACCTCGAATCATGACCGCCGTACCCTCTCACTCGTCTCGTACCACCGCTTTGCTCTTCGGGCGCTCTCTTGCGCGAACGTAAACACTGTCCCGAGTGTGAGTATGCGACTTCCTCCATGTGAGAGAGGTGTCCAGACTCACTTTCTCGCTCTGTCCCATCAAGACCCTCTCGGAATGCCATCGTGGCTTCATCGCTGGTGATAGTTCCACCGCCGGAACCGGACGCAGACACAGCTGCTGCGTGGATAGACGCGAAATGATGGGCTTGGTCTATGACCTCTGGCAGACGGGAGCGGAAAGTCTGTAGGCGGTCGCCAACGAATTAAGCAGCGTATCGAGTGACATCATATGACAGCGCGAGCGCAGGATGATAACTAGCATATGCGTACCTTGGTCAGAACGTCAGAAAGTTCTTGGGCGGGTAGGTCGTTCAATCTGTGTGGCCAAGTGAATGTTCATATGGCATGCTTTTGAGGTTGGCGTGGGTACCTACAGTCGCATAATCATCCTTCCGAAGCCGTACCACAGCCCACCTTGACCTACTAGACCCGAGAGTCTGACGCTACGAGCCTCTGCGTTCAACGCACTGCGCACGCGTGCTGAGAATGGCGGCGGGATCGTAAAGTCTGCATAGTCTCTGAGTGCGACGGACATAGTTGTTAACCAGAGAACTTGAGTACGAAAACATACGACTAACGAGTAAATGAGGATGTACGCCATCCACATTGGTACCTGGATCTTGCTCAGCGCTTTGATCTAGCGGGTCTGTCAGTATACTGTCATTCATTCGTTGGGAGTGGAACCGTCAAAGTGCGATCTATCGTGTGCAACACTTACGTCGCGTTCGTTTCCTCCGTCCAAGTGGCCCATGTCAGGGATTTCGATCTTGAACGTGCATTGGATCTTCTGGTTCTCCGCAAGTATGGATTCAACAGAGTAGTAGTCGTCTTCCATGGCGTTATCGCCAAATTACAGGCAAGTATGAGGAGGAGACTGTGTCGATTGAATAAAAGGAGGATGAACGAGGACGACGCGCCAGAAGTCTAGGACGCGTCGCGGACGCGTCGAGCGCGATGACACGCATCACGCGCTCTTCTCACGCCTGCGGCTGCTGCTCCTCTCGCTCGCGCGGCCCAACGGCAATGACGGTGGCGGCTGTACCTCCCCTCCACTATGTACCTCCCTTCCACCGTATCCACCATGTTCGCCCGCTCATTACATCGTGTCGCTCTCAGCCGGATAGCTGCTGCACGCACTCTGCATCTGAGCGCAGGCTCAGCACACTTCCCGCGACTCGCGAGCCATCCACGCCGAGACTGGCGACGAGCCGAGTTCTCCACGACGCCCAGGCGAGATGCGGCGGAGGACGAGTCGGTGAACGCCATGATGGAGACGCAGCAGAAGTTCGAGCGCATATTCCGGGAGAAGCCTGAGCTGAAGCAACACATGAAGGAGCTGTACGAGGTGCTGAAGGATGAAGGTGCGCTGGAACTCACCATGCGCGATGTTCGTCTGCTGACATTGCTTTTTGGTGACCGAAGGGATCGACTTCAATGGAGGTCGGCCACCGAACAAGATGCAGATGCTTGGACTTGTGTTCAAGCCCAAGGTCAGGGACGCCCTCATGAAGGTCTCCGCTAGCTTCCACGAAATGGGAATTAATCCGCAGGTATGTCCGTCGTTCTCCGTTGAGCACCTGTCCGAATGTCTCACTATCTTGACTGTGTAGGACATACAAGAGGACCTCATGAGGATAGCGAAACATTGGAACCCAGATTCAAAATAATGGACACAGCTTCTGTATGTCATTTATTGTTTGTCGCATTTGTGAGCGCTGGCTTGGGTATACTTGTGTGCGCTATGTGGACTCGGAATGTCAGTGCACAGGTAATGTATACAACAGAGAATGTCTGTTATCAGAGAACCCGTTGTAGTCTGCGCTTCTTACAGGTCGAGTACAGGCACCCGGCATGACATATCATATGCCGTGCATTGGGTCTGGATGCATGCTATTGTCCTTCGTCTCCGTGAGTCATTATCCGATCTTGTCAAGAACGTTTGAGAACAAAGACTGACAGAAGCGCGAGAAGTTACACGTTGCCATGGTGAGATTCTGTGAGCGCCCATTGAGACATGGGAAGTACTTTAGTATCCTCATCGACATCCCTCATACCCTCCCCATCTCATCCGCATCAGCAATGCCGCCCAGTGCTGTTGTTGCCACTGATACATCCGTAAGACCAACAGCGAACGCGGCTGGCGGACAACGAACGAGCTCAAATGATTCCGATTCGTTTTATTATGACCCAGAACGAAACCCGACTTCCTTTATCGCAACGGAATACTACTGGCGTGACCACTATATATGGCTCGAGGAACAGGGTTACTTGCTGCGCCCTCGCTACCACCCTGACTGGAAACCGTCATGGATCGGCACCGACAAGAAGTGGTACAAATGTGAAGACAGACTAGTCATCCCAGGGGTATGGGCAATGCTACCCATTTTGTCAAAATACTGACAACTCCGTAGCGTGCCCGTGTTTTGGATGCAACTCGGATCTCAGATGACATGCCCGTAGTCTTGAAGCAATATCCGCGGACAGTACACCCCCACGAAGCCGAGATTGGCCAACTGTTGTCATCCGAACCTCTTGCATCTGATCTTGCCAATCACTGCGTGCCCATCCTCGACGTCCTCCGTGATCCTCAAGACGATGATATCCAGCTGTTGGTTATGCCCATGCTACGACGATGCTATGATCCACCCTTTTCAACAGTCGGCGAAGTTGTTGATTTCTTTGGACAAGCATTTGAGGTATGTCAATCCAGGAGCGAGATCGCGTTCGAGCTTGTGTTGATTTAACTATGGAGGGCCTCCAATTTATGCATGTGCACAACATCGCCCATCGGTAGGAACCTGCCTCCCCGTGCGTTCCTCAACTGACGAGTTCTCTCAGGGATGCCATGATTCTGAATCTTATGATGGATCCTGCGCCGATGTATCCCGAGTTGTACCACTTCGCCTCCGACTGGTCCAATCGCGAATACACTGGACCCGCCAAGCATTACACGCGGACTGAACGTCCACCGAGATACCTTTGGACAGACTTCGGCTTATCACGCAGGTATGACTCGGAGGCCGGTCCCCGTCTGGAACTGCCTATCCTAGGTGGTGATAGGAGCGTTCCGGAGCATCAGGGAGCATCAGGTTATGTTCCCTGCGATCCCATGCCTACTGATGTGTATTACATCGGTAACTTGATTCGGGAGTATTTTTTGCGAGTCAGTATGCTTTCCCCACCTTCACCATTATTGGGGATAACCGTGACGCTCATACGGACCCCATAGAAGTACACAAACCTGGGTTTCATGCGGCTATCAGTCGACGACATGGTCCGCGATAATCCAACAGAGCGACCGACGATGGACGAAGTCGTTGTGCGCTTCGCAACGATCCGCAGAAAGCTGCATTGGTGAAACTCGCGCGCCAGGCTGGTGCGTCGTAGCGAGTGGTACATCGTTCGATTTGTGTTTTGCATCGGGCATGTCGTTCGCACCGCTCGTTATGTCTTCAATGGACTGCCCGCTGTTCCCGTTCAATCGTCGACATGATCATTATTTGCTTACTTGCATCGTGACTCCTCGATCCTCCCTGCTTTGCTGTCTTGCTATCGGCGCCCTGCTGTCGTCGGTCTGCTTAGTAACGATGCGCGTAGTTCATCGTGGAATCAATCCTGACGCCGGCTCGCATTCAAACTCTCTGCATATCGAATCATACCGCATTGTGGAACTAGCCCAAGGTATCTGGACTCCCTCGTACCTTTCTCCAATTTTGGCAAGAGAACAAACACTTCCATACGCTGTCACCTTGGCAACCGTTGTGCAGATAAGTCAAATGTGTACACCTTCGAGAATTAGAGTTGAAGACAAAGACTTACGGCAGCGAGCAATCACACAATAACTTACCAGGCAATTGTCTTGTTCCAAAGCTCCGAGTCGGAGCGTCTAACTAGATGCGGATAGCATGCTACTCAGGCCTCAGGCTGGCAGTGATGTCGATGGCCCCCGGCTATAAGCACAGCACGCGAAACCTTCCCTATCCTCCCAATCCCTTCTCAGGCTCATTCTCCCCATGACATCGATACCCGTACCAGAATCTTCACCGATCTCCACTCATGTCAAGGCTACACCTTCATCACCTACTGTGGCAAAAAGCCTGGTCAAGGGCAACACTGCGATCTCGGATTCCGACTGGGATGGGTTCCTTAGCAGGCCGAGGAAACCCCCAGGTTCATTTACCACGGCCGAATACTACTGGCGTGACCGCCAGAGATGGCTGAAGGAATGCGGCTTCCTGCTGCGTCCCCGCTATAATCCTGACTGGAAACCGTCATGGGTCGGCACCGACAAGGACTGGTACACATGTGAAGACAGCCTTATTCCACTAGGGGTGAGTGACCGTTACGGTATTACTCTTCATGTTCAGAAGGTTGAACGAGCTCCCAGAGGGGTCATGTCTTGGATGCGACTCGCATCTCGGACGGTAAACTGGTTGTCCTAAAGAAGATCTCACATGAAGCGCATCCGACCGAAGCGGAGATTGGCCAATTATTGTCATCGGAGCCTCTTGCGTCTGACCCTGCCAACAATTGCGTCCCTATTCTCGGCGTCCTCAGTGATCCTCAAGACAAAGATATACAGCTCATCATCATGCCAATGCTACGAAGGTGCTTCAGTCCGCAATTCCAGACAGTTGGCGAAGCGCTTGAATTTTTCCGACAAGCACTTGTGGTATGTTTTATCGCCGAGAGTGTGTGGTAATCGTAATAACCGCTATCACGCAGGGTCTGCGATTCATGCACAGACATAACATTGCTCATAGGTAACCAAGTTTAAGCTTCAGCTATTAAGCTATGCTAAGTGGATTGAGCTAGAGATGCGACGATCCTGAATATCATGATGGACCCTACACCAGTGTTTCCCGAAATGTTTCACTATGCATCTGAATTGTACAATCGCGACCGCACTGGCCCTGCCAAATGCTTCGCACGCACGGAACGTCCGCCAAAATACTTCTGGACAGACTTTGGTCTGTCGGTGAAGTATGATCTAGAGTCGGAGACAGCCCCTCGTCTGGAGCTACCTATTATGGGCGGCGATAAGAGTGCGCCAGAACACCAAGGAGAACTGTATCATGTCCCCTGTGACCCAATTCCTACGGACGTATACTACGTCGGCAATTTGATGCGAGAGTATTTCGTACAGGCAAGTACCACAGTGTCCTCGACTTGGAGGGTGTCTGACCCATGCTTCGTAGAAGTACACAAACCTTGAGATCATGCGGCCATTAGTCGACGACATGGTCCGTGATGTCCCCGCAGAGCGACCGACGATGGATGAGGTCGTGGAGCGTTTCGAGGTGATTTGCAAGAAGCTGCACTGGTGGAACTTACGCGCCCGGCTAGTGCGCCGTAGCGAATGGTACATCGTTCGATTCGTATTGGGCATCGGACATGTTGTTCGCACCGCTCGTTACGTAGTCAAAGGACTCCCAGCTGTGCCCGTCCCGCCGTCGACGTGATCATCAGTAAATTGCATTCCTTAGGATACTACATTTCTCTAGCTGTCTCGCTATCAGTCTTGCTATGCTTGTTGTCGTCGCAATTGTACTCATGAAATCCCTTCTTCTGAATGAGATCTAAGTTACAACCTACTGGCAGACTCGAATTATGATGCAGGACGGGCCGAGCCTCAATTTTGCTTCATGAACATCCGCATCACCCCAATTTCATATTTGTGGTACATACATATATCTCATTGCCCCTGCCGATCGGTGAGCGTCAGTCACAACCGACATGAACCCACCTGGACCCATCGCCGGACCGTCCGCTCTACAGGCTGATCCTCTCGGCGACGCAGCTCCGGAACGCGACCTACCTTCCGCGCACTTCTACTCCGTCGAGTACCCTGGCTATGTCAAGCCCACGTCTGTGTCTCTTGCCGTCGAACGCCTCGGCGGCCAGTTGAGAGTCGAGAACGCGTTCAAACGCGCGTCGTCCAAGACTGAGTCGCTCCTCGAGTTGTCTTTGCGCCCCGGAAACCCGTTCGCGCATCCTGTCCCTGGAGATGTTGTGTCAACGAGCAATATTTTGCTCAAGGTCGTCAAGCGGAAGCGGAAGCGGGGGGCGGCCACAGACGGGACTGTTGGAGAGTACACGGTAGAGGCTCTTGGGATGATACCGAAGACAGCACGATTTCGTAGTATGTCCAGCACGGTTCCTCACGTTCATGACATCGTTCATATGCGATCTTTGCAAGGCATGGTAGACTATCAATACAAGCCAGACATGGAGGACCCGATCGCCAAACTCCGTTCGGCAATGGACACTATGGACGGTGAGCAACAATGTGGCATTTCACTCATCGCATAGTCATGCCCTCGCAGTGGACGGCATCCTTCGCTACCGTGTTCCTGAGGAGAGGGAAGATTACATTGTGTCCGAAGACCCGGCTGCAATGGACATAGACCCGAAGCTTACGGGCACCGGCGCGTCTGCGGGGCCCAAGATGAAGAGCAACCTCAGGCTCTTTACACCACCTCTGTTCAGTCGCCAAGCAATTCCGCAAAATTACAAGTAAGTAGTGCCTCGTAGAATCCGTGCCCCAAGTTGAATGTATGCGCGTCAGCTACAAGTCAAATTCTGCGTCCGTTGTCACGACAGTTGTTGATGAAGAGACCGGAGAAGAGAAGAAACGCCTGATCAATCGGATGCGCTGGAAGGGATACGGACCCATTTCAATCTCATTCTCTGATACTGGAGTATGTCGTCACTGCGCCGCTGCCGCATGTTGGAATTGGCTCTTACGACACTTCAGGTCCCAGACAAGCCGTCTGCACCCGTCGAAGAGCAGCGTGCTAACGCCGACCGGAAGATATTGAAGCGACTGCAGGAGGTATGGTTGTCTATCAAAGGGCTGCGATCGATTTTTGAGATGGACATGCTGCCAGCTCTTTCAAGAACGAGCTATCTGGACACGCGCAGCGATCTTCAACCAGTTTATGCCCTTCGAGGTGCGCGAGATAATCAAGTGAGTGCACCTCTACTCCATCGACATCTCTGACCCAAGATCTGAAGTTCAAAGGTTCTCCTGCCGTTGGTATCGTATGTCTTCCAGGACGGCCCTTGGAGAGACACGCAGATTCGGCTAGGATACGATCCCCGTCAGGATAAACAAGCCCGCATGTGAGCCGCATGCTCTCCTTCTGTTACGGTACAGCTAAGGAAACGGTCTTGCAGCTACCAGCGTCTCTACTTCCGCAACACTAACCATCCCATCGTCCGACCTTCCGTCGTCAGCAAGCGGCAGGAGGGTAGGACCGAGCTCGCGCAGAACCGGACGGAAGCCAGTAGTCAGGATGACAAGCGGTAGGTTGCGAGCAACTCAGTGTTTCGTGATGCTGATTGTGCCATGCTACACGGTGGATAGGACGCATATATTCGACGGTGTCACCGTCACGAAGGAGACCGCTGCCTTCCAGCTCTGCGACATCACTGACCCCATGCTAAAGGAGATGATCGAAGACGAAGAGGATGTCCGCGACGAGTGCAACGTTCGTACAGCGCATCACCCGAGGTCGAACACTGTATTGATGGACTGCCCTTTGCAGGAACGCGATGGCTGGTACTCGACGGAGGCCTTTGAGCGGATCAAGACTGTGCTTCGCCACAAATTCTTCTCGCTGCTGGGCGGCCACGTAGCAACCCGTGAGGAGTGCGAAGCGCTTCTCGTTCCACAAGAAGGAACGAACAAGCTCCCGCCACGCCCAACGCAACGGCTCAGATTCGGGAAGCACAACATGGCGAAGGGCGCACTGCCGCCTGAAGACGCCGCGGTACGTCCTGGAGGTCGGAATGCACATGTATGCTGCCTAACGCTCACGGCAATCTTGCAGGCACATCGGCTCATGGCTACCCTGCAGCAAAAGACGAAAGATGGGCGCTTCTACGAGCACACTTGACACTGTAAACTACCTTCTTTCTGACACATCCTTGTATCGCTATTTCCCGTGTCCAGGCGATGGTTGCAACCCCTGTAGCTGTAGCGCGTGTTTAGTTTGCTTCCCACCAGATAGATGCATGTTTTTTCGGCTTTTGTTTTCTGCGTGCGTGGAGGTGCCTAAGCATACTGCAGTGCATACACATGGGGCTGCGACGATAGCGGAAGTGATAGGATACATGGTGACGCGCCGTGCCCAAGAGTGGGTGGATCCCCTCTCTCAACGTATGGCGCTCTCGACGGCGATTCGAATGGAGGGAACCGATGATCGGTGGGAAGGTCATGCCTCTGCCTCCAAACGCGCTTTTCGCTGCGGGTCAACATAACGTCAGGATGCCAGCTGGAGAAGAGAGTAGATTGTGACGCACTGAACCGACCAACGCATACTTCGCATTGCGGCGGAACTGGTGACACGAGTTAATCGTGCGTCGGCGCAAATCCTGGACTACAAAAGTATATTCAACGTACCTTGGCATCAACCTGCAGAATGATGAGTATCAGCTCCATAGTCTACGTGCAACGATTCGGTACGTACACCCTTCATCGACCTTGTCCTGTGGCTCGTGGGCGTCTTGATGCCATTGCGGTGCGCCTTGCGGCTCTGGTTGTGGTTGGTATGGCTGAATTCGGTGCGAGCCGCATAATCAGCACCTCGACAACAGCAAGACCTCGGAGGCCACGTACTTCTTGGACTTGGCCATGGCGTCGAGAGCGTGTCTTGAGGATGGGCTACTGGCGCTTAACGTCCGTGGCTACCCAGTAGGAGCCCTGGGAAAGTTCACTGGATTGGTGGCTGAGGAACTGTGCAGCTGCTCGGCATCGCCCGTCTCTCCTTGATTGGCCATTCGAACATGCTGCCTATAAACTTGCTATGTATAAACAAGTAATAATCCGAACCTTAGGCCAGAGTAGTGCGAAGAACAGCGAGGTAGATTGCAATACGTGTTCTGTCTTCTATGCGAGAACATCAAGACAGTAGAACAGTGTACTACTGTATGTAGAAGGCTGAGTATGTAGGGGCCATACATATCACTTGAACTTCAAGCCGACCGACTCGGAAGTCTCAACGTACTTAGGCCTTAGCTGCCTATCACTGGTATCATATGCCTATACCAAATGTAACGCAATTGGGGTGCGTGATATGCTCATTATGTTCACGCGTCACAAATCGCGCTCGGTCGAGGGGACAAACCGTCACAGGCGCTGCGTCGCAAGCGGGACCTGCGCCAGCCTTGGACACAACTTACGATTGACCCTGCGTAAACTGTTCCCCGCGCCCTTTCTGGTCCGTGTTCCCTGGGATTCTTTGAGCCCGAGATGTGGCAGTACAATACGGTCTCAGAATACTGGAACTGAAGGTCAGGATCAAGTCGAAGCAGTCAGTCCGTTCGAACGCCGTTGGCGGCTTGCCGCAGCGGGCCGCTGGCTTCCCGCGACTTCAACCACGGGCGCTTGTTCGATCGTACACGATCTGAGATGCCGTGGGGTCGGCCGAGCCATCCAGCCAAGCTCGAGTCATTTTGCCCCGCTGACTCAAAAGGCCACACGCCGTTGGCCGGCTGCTCTCACCTGGTCGCAAGGTCTCGACGCGATTATAACCGAATACTCACTTTGACCCACTCACTGCGTCAGTCATGCCCGCACCAGTAACGCAGCCTCGCACACTTTACGACAAAATCTGGGACGACCATGTTGTGTATGTTGTGCAGTCGTTCTTAGGAGAGGGGTATGGCTGACTTAATTGCAGCGATGTCAAGGAAGATGGTCTTGCTCTCATCTACATCGACAGGTGAGTCATTTTGCCAGTTCTTCAGAGCTGCACTCATAATTGCTCTGTAGGCATCTCGTCCACGAAGTGACTAGTCCTCAAGCCTTCGAGGGCCTGTATGTTCAGCACGTCGCACACGTTCGAATACTTGGACGCTAACTACTGGCACAGTCGTACTGCAGGTCGTCGGGTACGGCGAACCGACTGTACCCTGGCTACTGTCGATCACAACATTCCGTGAGCATCTCAGGTGCACGCAGCTATGTCATGTGCACTAAACACTTTACCAGTACTGCATCCCGCAAGAACCTCACCACTGTCGAGTCATTTATCGAACAACCCGACTCAAGAGCACAATGTCAGGCGCTAGAGGAAAACGTCAAGGACTTCGGCTTGACGTACTTCGGTATGAAGGACAGGCGGCAGGGTATTGTCCATATAATCGGACCTGAGCAAGGCTTCACTGTGCGTGCTGTCACTTCCTCTCACGCAGGATGTATTTAATTCGCCATAGCTCCCCGGTATTACCTGCGTCTGCGGAGACTCGCACACATCGACGCACGGCGCGTTCGGCTCCCTCGCGTTCGGTATCGGCACGTCGGAGGTCGAGCACGTCCTCGCCACGCAGACCCTCTTGCAGAAGAAGGGCAAGAACATGCGCATCAGCGTCGAAGGCGAGCTGCTAGAGGGCGTCAACTCCAAGGACGTGGTCCTGCACATCATCGGTGTGATCGGCACCGCAGGTGGTACAGGCTGCGTCGTCGAGTACGCCGGGAACGTCATCCGCAACTTCAGCATGGAGGCGCGCATGAGCATCTGCAACATGAGCATCGAGGGCGGCGCGCGTGCGGGCATGATCGCGCCCGACGAGATCACCTTCGAGTACCTCCGCAACCGGCCGCTCGTGCCGAAGGGTGAGACCTGGGAACGCGCGGAGCAGTACTGGCGCACGCTCAAGTCGGACGAGGGTGCGAAGTTCGACATTGAGGTCAACATCCGTGCGGAGGACATCCTCCCCACCGTCACCTGGGGCACGTCCCCGCAGGACGTCGTGGCCATCACCGGCAAGGTGCCCGACCCCGCTGCGATCACAGACCCGAAGAAGGCCACCGGCATTGAGCGCGCGTTGAAGTACATGGGCCTCACGCCGAACACGCCCATGGAGGAGATCACCGTCGACAAGGTCTTCATCGGCTCGTGTACAAATGCACGTATCGAGGATTTGCGCTCTGCTGCGCGGATCGTCCTCGCCGCGGGCCCTGATGCAAAGGTCGCGCCGAACGTGTCCGCGATGGTCGTCCCTGGCTCCGGCCTCGTCAAGCAGCACGCGGAGGCGGAAGGCCTCGACGTGATCTTCAAGCGTGCAGGCTTCGACTGGCGCGAAGCGGGCTGCTCGATGTGCCTGGGCATGAACCCCGACCAGCTGAAGCCGGAAGAGCGCTGCGCGAGCACGAGCAACCGTAACTTCGAGGGTCGGCAGGGCCCGCGCGGGCGCACGCACTTGCTGAGCCCCGCGATGGCGGCTGCCGCTGCGATCACAGGCAAGCTGACGGATGTACGGAAGTTCCTGGGCCTCGAGAAGGCGTCCGACCCCAAACTGAAGGTCACGAGCGCTATGGACCTGTTGTCCGACCCTGTGCTGCCGGCTCCTGAGCCTGGACGGGAGGCAACAAGCTCGTCCGCCGCGGGTGACAAGCCACTGCCGCCCGCGGAGACTGCGTCCAGTGTGCCGCCGTTCCGTGTTTTGAAGGGCATTGCGGCGCCGCTGCATATCGAGAACGTTGACACGGACATGATCATCCCTGCGGTGTATTTGAAGACGTTGAAGCGCACTGGCCTCGCGAACGCACTCTTCTTCGCTCTGCGCAATAACGCGCAGACGGGCGAGAAGACCGACTTCGTCCTTAACCGGGAACCGTATACACAGGCGAAGATCCTCGTCTCGGATGCACCCAACTTTGGCTGTGGCAGCTCGCGTGAGCACGCACCATGGGCCCTGTGAGTATCCTGGACTTGGCTGTGTGTCACTAGTACTTACGTGTCGTGGTTTACAGGAAGGACTTCGGCATCCTGTCCGTGATCGCGCCGAGTTTCGGAGACATCTTCCGTAACAACTGTATGCAGAACGGCATGGTCCCGATCGTCCTGCCACAGGCACAGTGTGCTGCCCTTGCGGAGGACGCCGCGGCACAAAAAGAGCTCGAAGTCGACCTGGAGAAGCAGGAGGTGCGCCGACCAAGCGGCGAGGCCTTCTCGTTCGACATCGACCCCTTCCGGAGACACTGCCTGCTGAACGGCCTCGATGACATCGCGCTGACGCTGCAGAGAGTGGACAGGATCGAGGAGTTTGAGCACAGGAGGAGCGAGATGTGGCCGTGGCTGGACGGGTTTGGCTACCAGGGTAGGAAGATCCCTGTGTCGCCGAAAAAGAGCACAAAGATGGAGTGGTAGGTCCGTCTGCAAGCTCAATGTAAGGATGTATGTGCATGCTCGATGTTATGTACATGTAATGTTAAGAGCCTCATGCTTCACTGCGTGGGATCCAAAGTTTCTAAGGTTGCGTGTGGAGACGTCGCAAATCTACAGGGGGTTCGATGTCTTGAATGACCAAATCTATGCACAGGCCGCTATCATGAACGTCGACACAATGCTGGATCCGCGCCGCCCGAACTCCATTGCAATGTAGGTTACAATGCATCCTATACATCGAGTCAATGCCAGACACCCTGATGCCCTCCGAGCAATTGTCGGCCAACATCACTTGCGGTGACCATCAACGAATATGCATCACAGACGACTTCTGTAAGTAGTGGGTCTGTGCGCGGCTTTAGTCTCCATCGTCGCGTCCAGAATGTCAAGCTATCACGGATGGACTGCCATTGTGCTAGCGCTTGCTGTGCACTTGGCCTTGACGCAGGATCAGGCTGTGTCATGGACTTCACCAGGGGGGTCAAGAAGTTGAAGTTCAGATACTTCTAGTGGCGACGTGTGAGCAAATCCCTTCCGAGTCGCCACATGAGACGCCGCTGCGACGTACTTTTTGGAATTCGTTGCGCAACATGTTTCCTATAATGAAGACGTCGACCTTGAACGGGTCATACGGGACATCCTCGGACAGCTCTGGCACCTCCTGGTCTCGGCCGACAACACCAACCACTACCCTCGATTCGGCGTCTGGAGGGAAGTAGGTAGACAGGCCGAAATCGACGTAGTAGTACTTCACTGTGACAGATCTTCGAGAGACGTAGGGTGCCCATCCTTGCCCACCAGGAAGACATATCTCCTTGATGGGATGAAAGCCTTGGGATACATCGCGCTCGCGTCCATCATGGTGTTCTTGTATTCGCAGTCCCTTGAAAGCCAATGCATGAGGCGGGAATCAATGCATGACATAGTTCCGCATACCTATGTGCGACACCGTGTTCGCGTAGAAACACAAGTCCCTATGTGAGCATTTAATATGAATGTGTTGTGCGCCACCGCGAGTACAAACCTCCAGAACCTGGTTTGCGAAGTCGACGAATTCCTCGCCCGTCTCCATTGGAGGTCTATCGATGAGGCGCAGAAATGGCATGACCATGTAGGAGATAGCAGCGTCGTCGTTGTCTTGGAACATATTAAGAATGGGTACACAGTGGTTTCGAGGCTCCGTCGAAAGAGGTTCGGAAGAGAGCATTGATGCTATCTGGGACTCTGTGTCTCCTGTCCTCACTCGCTTGATATACACGAGCTTTCCATCTGACATCCGCGTGGCATCTATGAGGTGCTCGCGATGCTGAACAATCCAGAATCGCTCAATACTGAGGCTAGCTCCATAGCATTGTTCGATGTACGTACGGGTAGTGGCCATATGTCTTCTGTTGATAATGGATGCTCCCCAGACGTGAATCACGACGGCACCCAACCCGGGCGGTACCTTGGTCGTAGCATGTAGCCGCGCGAGGCGAGGAAAGGTTGCCGATCCCTCCAACGTTCTTCGTCATATCTGAGTTGTGCGTGCACAGCTGCTGGTCTGTCTGGTACGCAGTGTGATTCGGCATGGCTGTTTGGAATGGCTGTAGGTGATGTAGACATACGGAGGGAACTGGGCGCGGGATAGTGATGGTCTGTTCAGACTGAGACGATCTGAGCATATCGTCCAATGTCTGGGCATTCAAGTTGTGCATACATAAACAAACATGGACCCACAATAACTGTGCACAAAGCTGTGTATGGTCGTCCTCGAGGCCTGCCAGTGCAACTAGAGGGTACAGCACTGTGGGCATCTGTATTGTTGTACTTCGCCTTGCGTTCTCACCGTGCGGTTGCATTCCGCGTACGGTTCGCTATATACAGCATATTGATTAAATGCCATGTCATCGACGACATAGCATCCTTGGGCTTGGCACGAAGCGATGCGGTTCAGTCATGCGTCACCTGCATAGACAGCATGAGGATCCTAGGTATGGTTGGATCTTCCCGCAGTTTGTAGACGTCACACTGTTAAAAACAGATCAATTGAATCTCCCATGGCGACGACGCCGATGTGAAGATCAGGATGTCTCGCTACTCCTCTGGACGAGAGGAGGGTAAAGCTGGGCTCCTTGACTGAAGTACTGACCTGCCAGTGCAGCCGGCGTTACGTTGTGAGTGCCTTGTTTAATGGAGCAGGCACGTGTGGTGGCGGAAGCAGTGGCGGGTGCGTCGGCCGTGGCATTGGCAGCGGGCGCCCCGCCAGACAGGGACAAGGCAGCTGGTGACGACTTCCGCTCCCCTCGCCCCCATGCTCTCCCTCCCTCCCCAGCACAGACCGTCCACCACCAGTCGCCCGCGATGAGTACCGCGTTGCAGCCAGCGCCGAGCGCCGGTTACGCGCTCGCTGCCGGCTCGGACCAGAGCGAGTACGGCGGGAACAAAAGCGCAGGCGAGTCTAGCTTCTTGCCGCTTTCCAGGGCCTTCCTCGTGCTCATCTAATGACCCCCCGCAGTGGTCCATCTCAGGCCACAGGTCATCAGACGCGACACAGACAACATCCTATCCTACTACCAGTCCGAACATGCTGGCCGGACGTACTTGGCCTCTGATGCAAGTACAGCTGATCTCGTCCCACCTCCATCAGCTATGAGAACAGGCTCTGGTTCTTCGTCTGAATACTCCTCGGATTCTCGAGAGCGCCCATCAGATGCGAGTTCTAGTCAATCGCACGAAGCACGACACGATTCCATTAGCACCATTAGCACGGAAGGTGGACATAGAAGAAGGCCGAGTGTGCCATCGGAGGGCGGTGCGGACAGGCGACGACTCGCGATCGTTGAGTTGGACGATTCTCTTCCCGCTTCTCTCACTCGCAAACGTAGCCAGGCCTCGAGAGACAATCACAATGCGGACCTGTCGGCGACGACGACCATTTCCTCGCGGCGCGGCATGTATGTCGAGGGCCTTGCGCTTGTTGCCCCACCCGACGCCTCGCCGCGAGCGTATACCGATCTCACGCCTCCCTCCACTGCTCCTTTGTCCACCGAGCGCCCCCCACCCTCTGCTCTCCGACCTCCTATTGTCCACCAACGCTCACAGTCCGACATTACCACCGCGACCCCAAGGTCTCGCCACCAGCATAAATCCTCTCGTGACATCGGCATTGTCGGTGCCGTCCCATCGACGGCGGAGTCCATCGAACGGCCGGTGACCGTCGGCAGCCAGCAATCGGCGCTCAAACTGCCCATTTTCCAGACGCCCACCGACTCGCGTTCGCCGACGCCGGGCAGCAGCGCCAGGACGCCCGACCCGTCCGAGTCGAGCATGCTCAGCCCACAGGGACCCTATAGCGCGGGATCAAGCGCGTTGACGACGCCGGACCACGACCGACACGATCAGGAGGCGCTGACGCCTGCCATCGGCGAGTCAAAGGAAATTGGGCAGCCCGTCGTGGGCCCTGTCATTGTCAACACGTCGGAGGCGCTGCGGCATGGGTTGCAGAACAGGCAAGTGCAGTCAAGCGTGTCTAGTCCGGGTGACGTGTTCGCATCGCGCCAGTCGCAGACGTCGCCGTTCTCGGTGGTGAGCACGTCGCGCTCTGCGTCTCCGTATGTCCACTATGACCCTGGCACACACTCGCGTGCTGGTCCTATGCCAGCACCACCACACCCTTTGTATGACGTCGACCCTCGATCAGGAGCGCTTAGTCCTGCGCCGCCCCCGCGACCACCACGCACGTATACGCCGCTCCCCCATCAGCTCAGCGTGACCCGCAGGCTCTACGGGATGCGTTGCAGCTGCCGCAGTCGGTATCGGCGGTGTTGGCGTCCAAGGTGCCCTCGCAATCCCCGAAGCGAAACGATTCCGAGTTGACGGAAGATTCGGTGTATTCTCAGGAGGAGAGGGAGCCGGGCGCTGGGTGAGTGACATGTTTCTGCATGTTTCAGCAATGTGTAACGCGTTGTATCCCCAGCCCGTCGCGATCACTGTCAAAACGGTCCATGCACGTCAGGGAAGGCGCACACCCGCCGTCGACCGTAACTAACACGCCACCGACGTCCGCTGAGGAAGTGCCAGAGACAAAGAGCGATGACGTCCGGCATGTGGAGGCTATCAAAGCACCGCCGGTCTCGTTCACCTTACATGACGACGCAAGGAGTGCAGAGTCCGTTTCATCCTCCTCGCAAGAACCCTCTCTCCACCCAGCCAGGTCTCGCAAGGACCTCCGAAGAGAGAGCAGCTGGGTAAGCATGGCCCAAGAGAGAGTCCAGCGTGCACTCTCCCCCGGCCGTGTCTCGAACATCTCGCGTTCGCCCTCTACCTCACCCTCCATGTTCTCGCCGACCCCGCCGCCGAAGAGCATCCACGGCTCGCTCGAGGACGTGTTGCACGCGCCCGGTGCCGGGCATAACCCGCTCAAGGGCGCGCTGACGAACTTGAAGCGCTTCTCTGCGCTGCCGCGCACGCCTTCATTGACTTCGGCGCGGGCAAAGAGCCCGACTCCAAGCCCACAAGCGAGTCCAAGACACTCAGAGTCGAGGGACGCGCCATTGCCTGTGCCTCCTGTCCCACTTCCGGTGAAGCCGAAGGTGGTGCGGCCGAGGATTAAGGCGGCGTGGCCGGAGGCGATGGCGTGTCGGGATGTGATGGCGAAGAGGAACCCGCTCGAGCGCTCAATTGGATACGCACATAAGATCAACGAGTTGGCGTTGTATGACTGCGGGTTGACGGAGTGGGTCCAACTGCGACAGTTCTCTGGTGAGCATGCACGTGCGCTGTCGTTCAGCGCTGTGACTGACGAGTCTGCAGCGACGGGCACCAGGGCGGGGTCCTCCAGCAAAGTGAGACTCATGGTGACACCGGCAACACCTGCGTCCCGAGCGTTCGTCCCACAGCCACGACATACGTCCCGGGGCTCTGAGGCATCTGGGATGACGTTCCCGACGCGGCCGGACGCATACAGTGCGACTGATCTGACAACACGCGCAATAGACATCCTCCCACCAACAGCCTCCCCCCTCCAGCCCTTCCCTATCCATCACTTGCACAAGCGCAACAAACGCGCAGCCCCATTCGTTCTTCTACCATGATGCCATCACCGTCTAGATCGCTTCTGCCTTTGCCGGGCAACAAGTCCTCTGGGGGGTTCTTCTCGTCTATCGGGCGCAAGGCGAGTGTGAGGAAAGACAGACCAGTCTTACCCCCCAATCCTCCTGGGCGCGTGCTATCTAAACGCAATACCGCCACACCCACACCCACACCTCTCGTACAGGTCGCTTCCTCGCCCAACGTACCAGGTGGTCCACGAGCCGCCCCAGGGCGCGTACGTCGGTCACAGACGTTCTCAGCGATATCGGGCCCACCTCCCCAACCGAATGCTTCGACTATGCCTACGAGTAACAGCCATCCGCAACGGCAGAGCACGATGCGGCGCCCGTCGCTCTTCGCTCGTGCGAAGAACCACGGGCAGAGCAATGCGCAGGCGGGCGCTGTGGTCGCCCAGCCTGCGCTGCCGGACCCAGAGTTCGACCACCAGGTGGACAAGCTGGCGGACTTGCTGCCGCACGCTGATAGAGGGGTTCTTGCTGGGTACTTGCGGCGAGCGGGCCAGGACATCCTCGCCATCGGGCAATACCTCGAAGATGAGAAGAACGGCACGCTGCGACGCGACTGACATAGATGCTTGCACGTTACATTTGATTGATCGCGGTGGTTTGCACACCACTTTATATGTGTTGGCCCGAGCGGCCGGTTGTACCGAGTATTATCTGGCGAACTGCTTTGCGATACGGGACATGGTTCGACGTATGAGGTTACATTACGCTATTGTGTATCTATACCCTTCGTACTTTGTACACGTACACTTCTCGTTGCTTGAACAGACCAATACGGATGCGCACATCACAGGGATGTGTTTACAGAATTTAAACGGTGCCTCATCATGTCGACTGGGCAGGCTTGAAACCCCCGGAGCGCCTTGCAGAAGACTGGCCGAAGACTTCTCGGACATTGGTTAGTCCTCCGACGTTCAGTACGACGGGCTTACCTCTTTGCATCGAGCGGGAGCTGCTGCGAGCTTGCGGAGCCTGCCAGGTGCGCAGGTTGTTCGCTGGGCGGCCAGAAGATCGACCGGCGCTTCCGAGCAAATTCTCAACGTCGGTCGTACTGTCCGGAGTGCCCGTCGATCTAAAGGAACGGTCTGCCGCCATCGCACCTGCGGCGAAGGGCTGCCGTTGAGGCTGATGGCGTTGCTGCGCTGCTCCTGGCTGTCGCCACGTCGAACCTGGCTGAATGCCCGATGCGCCCGTTGTGCGGTTGACGATGGGCGTGCGCTGGATCTGCATATAATAAGGGCTTGTGAAGGAACCCTCCAGACCGTAGAGTGGCTACTGACACCGTGCGCTTCCATATCTCCCACCACAGCACCGACGTCAACACCACCACGTCTGAGCTTGTTGGCCTGGTCGTTCAACACCTGACGTTCAGCGAGGTGACCGCCGTTGGCTGTACCGGGGACTGCGTTCTCTCCGCCGACGACGTTAGGGCCAAGCAGAGCCTTGCGCTTGATCTTGTCGTACTGGGCCTGGTGTCACACGGATATCAGCGACGGGTTGTATAGACTCAGGCTCTCAAGGCAGGGCTGTGTCACCTTGAGCTTCTGGTACTCCTTATCTCTTTCCTTCAGAGAATCTTGTATACCTGAGACCTTGCGCCGTTCCAGTTCCAGATCTCGCTCGAGCTCTGCGGATAGTCAGCCCGTCTTTCGCCCAAGGACACTTGTCGCACGTATTACCAGCGGTTTTGTTATTCAGCAGGTTGATCTCCCCATTTGCTATGTCATTTTCGTCGGCTCAGTTCGCGGAATGTAACATATACTCGAACTACCTTCTCTGACCACGTTATCCAGCTGTTTCTGTAACTGCGCGTTCTTCTCGTTGACATTACGATAGACGGCATGTTGAAATGATCTTTGCAGATTCGGGACCATTCAGTCAAAGATAGCACACAAGAGAAGCACGTACGCTTCCTGGTGTACTTGGTACTGCCAAAACGACATCGCCCTGCCGCAGGGTGTCAGGCGGAGCAATGATGCTAGCACTTGGCGAGATACCTGCTACAAATCTCCAAGATTATGGTTGGGTTCAGCCCAGACAAGACAGACTAGACAAACATATTCTGTCAAGTCGTCGATCTATGCGCATATATGCAGGGTCCTGACCGTTTTGTAGTCGTTCGATGGGTGCAATGAACAGACCTGCGACCGAGCTAGTCTTTTACGCGTGTACAAAGCCCATGTTACGTGCATGACGCACCACAACGTCGTCTCTGCGAAGCCGCGCTCAGCTCTCGTTCTCCCTTGTAAGATGTGAGCACTCACGGTTCTGTTAATGAGGTCTCGCACGCTATACGGGGTCATGAATGGCGTTGGCGAGCTTTATGGGGCGTGAACATACCGGGACATAGTCTTGAAGCATTGAATAGCTCATTGGCGCAGTCCACTATGATCCCGCCCGCTTCGTCCTCAGAATGCTTCGCGCATACATGAGGGACTCGCACGAACCGCAGAAGATATGTGAACCTTATCAGCCATTAGACACCGCATTGAAACTGCGCACAGTCCTTGAGAGAGATCGTACATGTAGTCTGGGTGCGGTTCAGCGTGTTATGGCCCAGAAAACATGGTAGACAAGACTCACGACCACTGCCTTCTCTGCCAACGCCTTCCTACATGTCAGCCTGTTGCACTTTAGGTTATCCATGTTTCTACGCCAAGTCCCCCCTCAGATGTATTAGAATGTATAGAAGGGGTATAAAGACAACAACTAACGCGCGTATGTCGTACGCTCACGTTGTGAAGATTGGTGAACTTGAAAGGGCGTCGTGTGTAATAGGCGCTCGCTGTGCGCGTCGAAGACGCGGTGTCACGTGGGCGTGTCAGTGGCGCTCACGCCCTGACACGCCGCTTACTGGCCGCAGCCTCGAGACGGTCGTCCGATTCTCAAATCCTCCCCTACCTAGCATTGCTTGGTCATTTTCATTAGATGATCATTCGCCTGAAACCACTCTGTCGATGCAGTAAGTGACTGCGCTGCAACCGGCGGACACATACACTCAGGAAGTTAAAGCTCAAATGCCGTTGCCGTTGACGGGCGCGACTGCGAGTCGGAGCGTGCAGGAATATCAACACCCCTGCATCACGAACGTACAAAACAGATAGCTCCTATGAGTACAAAGGTTCCCATGGTGAAGTTACGGAAGAAGAAGGAGATCCTGGCTAACGCATACAAGTCATAGAACACCGTCTCTTGCCATGGCTCTCTGCGAGGCCGCAGCCTCCACCTAGTCTTGACGGCGAACAAGGTTTCACGGATGGCAAGCCATCGCTGGCGAGCCTCCTTAGCATTGGGTCTCGCGACCGCATCATGTTGTATCATGGCCTCGAACAAAGGCACGAGAAAGTCGACGTTCGAGTATTGCTGCGATAAGGTTCGTCAGTTCAGCACCGTCGATGAAGTAGCTCAACTCACCTCGAAGAACATGTGACGAAACAGGTTTCCGACGATGAAGATATCGACCGCGAATGGATCATAGGGCACCTCATCAGAAAGCTCTGGCACTTCTTGGTCCCTTCCGAGCACGCCCAGCACCAGCTTCGAGGGGGCGTCGGGATGGATGTGTACGGATAGGCCATAGTCCACGAAGTAGTACCTCATAGGTACGGAAGTTCGTGGAAGAGGGCGGGCAATCGTTCTAGCGTCTGGGAGAAAGACATCGTTGATGGGGTGAGATCCTTGCGGGTACATCGCTGACGCGTCCATCATCAGGTTCTTATATGTGCAGTCGCTGGTAGACTCCCGTGAGTTGAAGTTCAGGCCGTAGAAGTATATTCGCCCATACCGGTGGGCTACTCCACATTCATGCATGAATATCAATCCCTGCCACGGTTGATCAGCAAAGATGAAGGTACGCATGCGCAGGGGTATCACAAACCTCCAGAATCTGGTCAATAAATTCGACAACTTCCTCGACAAGGTCCAGTGCTGGGCGATCAATGAGTCGCAAAAACGGCATGACCATGTAAGAAACATCCGGGTCTTCGACATCCTCAAAAAGATCGAGGACTGGAACACTGTGGTTTCGCGGGTCTCGACAGATACCATCAGAAGACAGCATAGTCGCTATCTGGCTTTCGTTGTCGTTTGTCTTCACTCTCTTGATATACACCATTGTGCCGCTTGATATACGTTTGGCATCGATCAAGTGCTCACGTAGCTATGATGCATCTAAAGTCAGCATTGTCATGATGTGGCGGAAAGATGAACATCAGATACGGGGGCTCGGATGGCATCCTCACACCATATGGCACTCTCTTTGTTCACCCTCCACGAAGGGATCCAGTCAGGTTGGTATCTAGGGCGTAGCATGTATCCTCGAGATTCCAGGAACTGTTGACGATCCCTCCAGCGGCATTCCCATTCGTTGAGCCGTGCAAAGGTATCATCTGTGAGTGGCTGAGTGGGACGAGCAGGTAATTCCTCGGCAGCTGGTCCAGGATTCATGAGGACGTAGTGAGAAGGGGGAGTGTAATCAGGCGACTCCGTGATTTTGCATCCTCACGGACCTTGTAAAGAAGAACAAAAGGTGCTGTTCTCCCAGCGTCACACGAGCGGGCCGCTGGCAGAGGACCTACGCAGACCCACAAACGTCGAATCCAGGTTACGTCGTCGCGCAACAGTGTTCAGACTACAGAGATCTTGTTCGTTCTCGTAGGGAGCCATTGCGCCGCGATATGCTGCGGGGTCGAAGCCTGTAATTGAGAAATCAGGTGTTCCGTGTCGGAGACATCATGATATGGGCGTTTCCAGCAAAACTCCTTTTGAGCAGCCTCTGAGTCTGAAGAGAGTGTTCAGGACAACTCTGATCGACTTCGTGAGCTCACAGTGATAGGAGACCATTTAGGCGATACTACAACGTACAGTCAGGAGAAGGCCCCCCTCCAGTCTGATTATTGTGGACCGAGATACAAGGAACTACAGAGTGCGCCCAAGTTATACAATCTCGCTGTGAGCATGCATGACAAGCTTGTCTTCTGCACGTCACATTTCAGCAAAGCGGAACAGATCAGGAACAATACCGTACAGAGCCTACTAGGCGACCCCCAAGGTTACGTTACCATATAACAGCAGACGAGTACAATAAGCGCAACTGTCGGTAAAGTGAACCTACTAACACAATATAAGGAAGCAATCTCATATATGAACGTCTCTGGCCATGGTTCCTGACGCGGTCGCAGCCTCCATCTCCTGTGTATAGTAAGCAGTCCGGGCCGAATTGCGAGCCATTGCTTGCGGGCCTCTTCCGCGTTAGGTCGGCGAACAGGATCAATCTCTACCATGGACTCGAATAATGGTAACAGGAAGTTTACGTTCGAGTATTGCTTATGATAAGGTCAGTTCTATAGTGATGGATACACATACATGTACTTACATCGTAGAACATGCGGCGCAGCAGATTCCCAATTATGAACACATCAACCTTGAATGGATCGTATGGGACTTCGTCTGAGAGCTCTGGTACGTCTTGATCCCTGCCTAGGGTACCGAGGACTAGTCCGGATCGTCCGTCAGGCGGGACATGAACAGATAGGCCGTAGTCGACGAAGTAGTACCTCACAGGGACTGAGGTTCGCGGTAGGGGACGAGCAGGTGTTACTGCGTCCGGGAGAAAGAGATCGTGTACGGGATGGACCCCACGCGGATACATAGCGGAGGCGTCCATCATGATGTTCTTGTATGTGCAATCACTATGATAGTATTAGTGTATGGAGACCGAGTAGATAGCACTCAGTTACCTACCGTTGTGCTACACCCTGTCCGTGCATGAAAACCAAACCCTGCGAACAACGGTCGTGAAGCGATATTGAAGGTCATAATATATGCATGACACACCTCGAGGATTTGGTCCACAAAGTCGCACACTTCTTCGACAGCGTTCATCGCAGGTCTATCAATGAGTCGCAAAAACGGCATAATCATATATGATGTGCCCGGGTCTTCGTCATCTTGGAAGAGATCCAGGATTGGTACGCAGTGATTGCTCGGATCACGTCGAATAGCTTCGGAGCATAGCAGCGTTGCTATCCAGCTTTCATTATCCCCCGTCTGAACTCTCTTGATGTACACTGGTGTGTCATCAGACACTCGCCGTGCATCTATGAGATGCTCTCGCAACTGGTAAGTATGCGGCACGGTCAATGACCAGACATAGTAGAGGCATGTCAAGACGTACAGGAGCCTCGATAGCATCCTCGCAATCCCTGAATTTTTGCTTCGTCAATCTCCACGAAGGGATCCATTCGGGATGGTACCGAGATCGTAGCATGTATCCACGAGATTGTAGGTAAGGCTGTCGATCCCTCCAGCGACGCTCCCAGTCACTCAGAGTCGCAAATACTTGGTCTCTGGCGCGCCACCGCTCATCTCCAGCGACATGGCTTGCTTTGGATGCGTGCCTGAGCATTGGGACTTCAAGACAGTGTCAATTTGTGGACTTGACAGGAAGGTCGAATCGAGGAGTGAGTGTACGTTCCCGTCGTTATCAATAGCATTGCAGCATGACTACATAGTATCAGGCCGGCATCAGCGACGAGTCGGTAGTCACGTCGACGAAGCCATCACGTGATGAGAAGAGCGGACCCACGCGGACCCACAGTACTACTTAAGTAACAGGTAATTCAGGGTAATTCCTATCCCTTAACATGTTATTCATGGCACCGTCGTCACCGTCTTTACAGACTAAGTGTACTACAGTACTCCGTTTATCTGCAACACTCGCTGGCATCCGAGTGATCCAGGATGTGATTGTTGCTTCATTGAAGAACGGCGACTCTACGCCGCCGGACTGTGAAATCTACAGGCTGAGGGCCCAGGCTATGAGCCCGATCAAATCCGAAATTCGTGTCACTAGAACAGTAATGTCGAGCTGAGATCACCGCCATTGTAATCAAGTATAGAAATTAGACTGACAAAGCGACGGCGGCCACTAGGTCCGACTCATTCGAGTGCGTGTGCACACTGCACTGGCAAGGTACCAGGCCTAGTTATTTGGACAAGGTATGGCGCTTGAAGCTCTTGAAGGATATCATTCTCTCTTGTCATGGCCAGCCGGCTTTCTCACACCGTATGACAAGGAGCTTTATGCAATTTACGCCGCATGTCAGAGCACAATGACCGGTGCCGTCGCATGCGTACAAGGGCTTGTTTTCACCACTGGCATGGGATCAGGATACACAAACTAAATACCACTACTCAAGAAAACTTCCCGCCAGACAGAGGCGTCGATGCAGTACCACTGGTGCGTGAGGACTCCAGGTGGCAAGTGCATGGGGCTCTCTACGAGGTGCATCAAACCTATGCAGCACCCTGTCGATGTCACGACAACGCGTTCGTTGTATGTGAGACCTGAATTCAGGCAGAGCGGTCCGTCAGTGCAGCGCAACCTCAGTTCTCTCGACATGCCATATCCTAGCCAGCAGGATGGAAATGGCCTGAACATGTACTAAAATGCCCAGTATAATGATACACAACCTTGAAACCGTGACGCAAGCGTACTCTGCACAACACAGGCAGCGCTGTAGTGCGGACTCGGAGTCTGGTATATAGTAAGATGTATGTGCTAAGATCCGATTACACTATGCCATGATAAATCACCACAACCAGTATACATGTCGCAACAAGATATCCGCGGAAGAAATATGCAGTGCTAATCGAGGCGTATGTTTCGTACATTACAGTCTCTTGCCAGGGCTCGCGCCGAGGTCGCAGTCTCCACCTCCGCGTAAAGGGAGACACCATAGCACGGATAGCGAGCCACCGTTGGTGAGCAGCTACAGCATCAGGCCGGGCAAGAGGGTCACTCTTGACCATTGGCTCAAACAGAGCCACGAGGAAATCGACGTTCGACAAACGCTGTAATACCTCATGTCAGGTCTGCGACGCCAGCACATCAGCTGTACTTACATCGTGGAACATGCGGCGGAACAAGTTGCCCACTATGAAGATGTCCACCTTGAAGGGGTCGTATGGGACATCACCTGAGAGCTCTGGCACTTCTTGATCTCTACCATCGGAACCGACGGCTACCTTGCGGTGGACGTCGGGGGGATGTGGACCGATAGCCCGTAATCTATGTAGTAGTACCTCACAGGTACAGAGGTCCGCGGGCGAGGCCGAGCCATGGTTTTTGCATTTGGTAGGAAGGATTCGTTGATAGGATGGAACCCTCGTGGGTACATGGCGGCTGCATCCATCATAAGATTTTTATACGTGCAATCACTGGTCGTCGAAATGAGCGTAAAGCAGATGAGAAGGGAACAGAGCAGACCGATGTGCCACCCCTTGTTCATGCATAAACACAAGTCCCTGTGGTGCATAAGTTAGAGCCGCGCTGACGGCAGAAACACGTGCGGCACAGACCTCCAAAGTTTGATCAATGAACTCGACGACCTCTTCGACAAGGTCAAGCTGAGGGCTATCTATGAGTCGTAAGAATGGCATAACCATATATGAGATTCCTGGGTCTTCATCGTCTTGAAAGAGGTCGAGAACTGGCACACTATGGTTCCGGGGATCCTGTCGGAGACGTTCAGATGAAAGCATGGTGGTGATACGGCTTTCGTTGTCCCCGGCCTTCACTCTTTTGATGTAGACAAGCATATCGTCGGACATACGCCTCGCGTCTATCAGGTTTTCGCGCAACTGGTAATTGGTATGAGCGCCGGTATCCACGAGACTGTCTGAACACATACCGGTGCGCTCAAGGCGTCCTCGCACCAAATGATGCTCTGGTTGTTTGTTCTCCACGAGGGAACCCAGTCAGGATGATAGCGAGGTCGTAGCATGTAGCCGCGCGATTGTAAGAAGCGCTGCCGGTCTCTCCAGGGAGCCTCCCATACACCAAGGATCGCGACAGCGTCATTATTTGGGATCGTTGAGGGTGGCAGTGAAGTACACTGGTCATTGGATGAAGCCATGAGCAAGTGCACGGTCCACTGGCAGGCGTACGAGAGGACAACAATAGATAGAGCAAGAGTCGGGGAAGATCTGTTCACAGCTGTTTCTCAGTGTGTAGCAAGACAATAAGAGTGCGACTAATGCGGCAATCGTTCATCGCCATTGCTTAAGCGGACCAACAGTGGACCCACAAATACCATAATCGGTAAGCTGAGGCTCGCACTAACCTTTGTCGACGTTGCTCTTGAGCCTGAATACATACACCTGCTGAGGACCAGGTGTAGCCGCCTGCTGGCCAGAAAATGAAAACTGTGGACACGGTATACTCGAAGCACAACACAACGTCAGATTACAATCCAGCGGTCCGTACCTTACGATATGTAGTCCTATGCGGGAGAGGGAGGAGACAAGTAGCAATAGATCAACAAACAAACAACAAAAACTACGGTCTCCAAGCGGGTTGCCGCGCAGGGGTGTTGGACATAGGGGCCCCGGGCCGTGTCACCTTCGACGGAGTGTCTGGTCGTGAGGTCATCTCTGCTCGTCGGAGGAATTGGAGAGGAGTGAGGGGCGAGCCTGGCGAGGACGTGGTCTTGATCGACTTTGGACTAGCGCCACTCGGCGATGACAGGGAGAAGGACGGGATGAACGGCTCGTTAGGCTCGGGCGTCTTTGGCGGGTTCGGAGGAGTCATGAGGATTGCGGCTTGCGAAAGGCTCGTGGAATTGATCCACTTCTCCTCCCGCGAGCCTAGACGCGGAGATTCTGGAAGGAATCGGAATGCATCAGCGAAGTGATCCTTGATGAATCTGCGAGGGCTGTCAGTCAGAGCGCCACTAGATTCAGTCTACCACGTACTTCGAAAGTTCTGACCATCCACCACCTACTCGAACCATGACAGTCTGCGAGCGAAGAATCCTACAGAAACAAAGCTTGGGGTCTTGATCACCTATCCAATATTTACCACTTTGATCTTTCCATGTATCTGCAATAAGTTCGACGGTGATGTTTACAGGCAACCGGTTGACGACTTCTCCAACTGCGACATCCAACTTGTTTTTGGGGTTCGCGATATATGGCTTCTTTACAATCGCAGGTCCTTTATTACGCGGCGGCGATCTCGGCAGAGAAGGGAATGATTGCCTCGGTGCACGTGCCCAAGACGATCGAGAGGTTGAAGATTGAGAGAGGTGCGACCCTGGGCGCGATACGGATAGGGATGAGATATCTGAAAAGGCAGGCGATGCGGTCCGCGGTGTGCTAGGTGTATGTCCCGTTTGGGCGCGCGGACGAGATGGTGTGAGGTGAGGTTGTCTCAGAGGCGTCTTGACGGCGGTGTTCGAAGCGGTGCTATTTGTCCTCTGACGGGAAGCAAATGTCGAGCCAAATAGCGTCGAAGATGTGCCCGTTGGTCCCGATACCGACCGGCTTGCAGAAGCGGTGGGTGGCTTGCTCATGGAACGTGCATGTCCGCCTGTAGACGACCCAGAGGTTGAGCGACGTGCGCCCAGAGACGGCGGGGCAAGGAACCCATTCGCGGATCCGATTGAAAGCTTCCCGTACCTCGACGCCTTCTTGGCAGGGATAGATGCAGTGCTGGTACCTGATGCTCTGCTGCTACGACCAGAACTCATGACGCTACCAGGTCTCGACTTCGTGCCACTGACGCGGTCATTGCCCATGGCCTCCAGTTCGCTCCAAGTTTGCAAGATGCGATCGCGCTCGGGTATAGCACGCGGATCACCAGCGACTGCAGCGTACGAAGCCTCCATTTGAGCAACCAGTCCTCTAGTGAATGCCAACCGGGCATTGAGTTGCTCCTCGGGAGTAGAAGAGGCATCCGATAAATGTCGAGACGATAACATCCCAAGAGGCGGAGATGGGTAGCTGTCAATGTGTTCCAACAGATCGCTCAACGCATCGTCGCAACCCCGTAATGAGAGTGCGAGGTCAGCGAGCCCATGAACAGTTCGCATCATCGCAGAAGAAGCTTCGACCTCGCTCAGCAGAGACTGCAACTCTGCTCTGACCTGTGGTCCATCGGTTCCGGTACAGGTAAGAAGTTGGGCTTCGGCCGCTACGGCCGTGAAAGACTGATCCATCTCCCGTCGAAGATCATCACTCGGGAGCGACAGGTCTGATGAGTGCGAACTAGGTCTTGCAACCTCATTGATGTGTATGGACCGTAATCTTTTCCTGAGAGCCAGAATTCGTTCATGCAACTCAGAAGAGCCGGATAGAACAAGCCCCCCGGGCGGCTGAGCGACGACACTGAAGATATCTGAGGAAGAGTGAATGAGGATAGTCGCAATCACTCAACAACAGTCCGTACCTGGTTCATGCTCATCTCGGGCAATTGAAGACTCCATATCGGATTCAGCCACAGGTTCAAGATGGCGTTCTGTGGCGCGCTCCCCGCTACCACCAGGGTTGTCTGTCTCTGTCGCCTCTGACGTTGCTTGAGATTCTGAGATTGCGCCAGCAGAAACCGAAGGGGCTTGCACATCATCAGAGGAACCGTGTTTCTCTCCAGCATGCGACTCCAGTTCAGCCTCTGCGGCCAACTTCTCTTGCTCTGCCGCAGCCGCCAATGCTCGTTCCTCCTCAAGACGACGCTGCTCCGCCAGTATCGCCCGTTGCGCGTCTTGCGCCTGGGTGATCTTTGTCCGGAGGTCCGCGACGCTCTCCTTCCAGGCCGCGTGTTGGCTCTCAACGTCATCCAATGCGCGTTGCCGGCCATGTACGATGCCATCGCGAAGTCCGGACTCAGAGCTGTCCGGCATCGTCTGCAGGCGATGGAGCAGACCACGGACCGGAGAGAAAGAACGTGAGATGTCCATGCCATCACTTTCGGTCAGGCGGTCAACCTCGTCCACCAACTCATCGAGGCGTTCCAGACTCGACACATTAGAAGGATCTGCGAGGGACTGCTTGATGGATGCGACTGATTCAGCGACTCGACGGATGTTGATGAGTATAGTAGTGGTCGCGACGTCGACGGCCTTGGCAGTCTTGACCAGCTGGAAATGCTCGGACCTCTGTTCCAGATGCTTCGCCGCACCGGACAGTAGCATACTGTAGCCATTGGAGTCCGCTCGGACAGCACTGTTCATCGAAGCGGGATCAACCGGGAGGCCATACGAGCCGACTCGCCTGACGGCCTCGAGGTCGAAGCCATTGATGAGGGGCAGATGTATCTGCGAGGGCGATTGTCCTGTCTTCGGTGCGTAGTCCTCGCCTACAAATGAAATGCGACGAGGCAAAGCATGGTTGAACGTGCGAACCGCGTCTTGACAGCGTTTGAGCTCGCTCGACAGACCACCCTCTGTAAGGAGCAACTCGTCGCCCACCAGGGTACCTGAGAGAACGTCTTCGATACCTCGGTCGAAGCGTACCTTCAGGTCCTCCATCTGGACCTGCAGCGACTGGGCTTCGTCACGAATGCCACCCATTTCAGTAGACTGGTTCCGCACAGCATCCCAGAACCTGGCAGATCTTCGCAGGTTGTCTAGGACGTCCCCCAAAGCGGTTGAGCATTGCAGGAGATGGTCTGCTAGAGGTGCACAAACGGAGGGTGTCACCGCCGTGATAGGATCAAACACTTCTTGCTTAAGCTGCGCTTGCATGCGATCCACTCTCGCCAACACAGAACCAGGCGAGATGGTCAAAGGGGGCAAAGCGGTGCGCGGGCTCTCCGGGGTGGGTGGCGCTTCGCTCGTCCGCAACTGCTGCCGCCACATCTGCTTGTCAATAGCGGCAGAGACGTTACGCCGTAGGTCCTCTGACTCCGCGAAGGCTTGCTTCATCGATGTCCACATTCGCCTCGAGGTGTCTAACGCGATCGCCCGGGCCGTGACCTCCTCGCGCATACGCATCGCCGCTCGTTGGGCAGTTGAGAGACGATCAATCTCCGCGGCGGAGTGGATCTTGAACTGAGGATCGACACCAGCATGGTCCAGATGCAAAAGAGCGGCACGGGCATTTGGTAATAGGCTGGTGGCCTCCGAGTCGGCTCGTTGCAACTCCTGCATGATGGAGGGTAGCGAGGCCAGAAAGACTGCATGCCGCGATTCGTCGAGACATGCTTCCGTGCTCAGATCAGGAGGGCTGCCGTCGCCGTGATCTGTGGGAACACCTGTCTGCAGGCGCTCGAGGATGGACTCGTACTGCGCAGACAGACCCGACGCGGTTTTGCAAGCTGCCTCTACACGTTTGACAGCCTCCAGGGTTGCATGGTACTCCCTCGCGAGAGCTTCCGCCTTCTTGACTTGCTCCATGGCGGCTGTCAGCTCGGAGGAGAGGACGCTGATAGTTGCATCGGTTGCATCAGGCTGGTCAGGAAAGAGGGGATGAATCGGTCGGGGAAACAGCGAGGACGCTGAAGAAGGATTCTCGCGCGACTGCAGTCGGTTGACAATGGTCACCGCACGGGATGAGAAGGCAACATCCTGGCGCGAGGAAGGATGTCCCAATCTGGCGACCTCGAGCTCTTCCAGCAGGGTCTGAGCAGCGACCTTGTCTTTAATGGTCTCCACGTACAGCTCGTCAGCCCTTGTCGGATTGTTAGTTCAGCGTCAAAAGGAAGAGATGCGTAAACTTACTTCTTCCACTGCATGACGACACCCATGACGAATTTGCCAACGTCCTCCATTGTGTTGATGCCCTCGTCCTCAAGCTTGTCCTGTTCATCGAGCAGCTCATCTGGGACCGGCTTGCGGCTGTGGTCAATCAGTTTGTCGAGTGTCTTGCCCGCGCCAGCAATCTTAGTGTGTTTGAGCGAGGAAACGCGGCTCACGAACTGAGCTGCGTCACGGGAGAGCATTTCCGCTAGCTTGAAGCGCGTGCTGCGAGAGAACCCAGGAGACACGAGGCTGGACGACGCATCGGATGCCATGGACGCGATAGAGACGACAGAGTTTCTCCGTCTCGGTGTCGAATCTGGTGTCACTTCATCCTCAGCAGCAGGTGCATCGTATACAGACGGTGACCACCGTGCACGCGTCTTGAGGAACTCGCGAATGTCAGAGAGGACCTTGCGAAGTTCGGTCCAGGCGCCAATACGACGCTCTTCCCATGTCAGGCGAATCCCCAGCAAGTCTAAGTGATCGGAACGGTCTCGCAGTAGATGGAGCAACTTGTCGAATTCGTAGATAGTCGTCAGTGTGAGTTCAATGAGGTCCGTGTCCGCCGGGGACAGGTTGCGCTGGGCAGCGGCTAAGGTATAATGTGTTCGTATAGGATGGCGTCTCCAGAGTATGTTTGCGTACCTTTCGTGAACTTCTTCAGCTTCTTCAGCTCACCAGAATCAAAAATCTCGGTGTCCTTTTCTATCCTGTCATGCTCCGTCAACCACTCTTCGAGCTGAGCACGGGTAGCAAGCCCTGGGACTTCCGCAGCAGACGCGCGCACGGCATCCAGTCCCGCAAAGACCTCAATGGGCGGAAGGCTCTCCAGGAACTGTGCAGCGGTCAGCAAGGCCCAGTGCAATAGACTACACCCCGGACCTTGATCTTCTCCTCTATCCAGACTTTTCTCTCGCTGAAAGCCTGCAGTTCGATGACTTCGTGCCATTCCAAGGCTTGCTCATCCTCCGTCGCTTCCGACGCCGGCTTAGGCTGCGGGGAAGCTGTCGTTTCCGCGGACGCAGTGTCTGGCGAATTCGCGGTACCGTCTACATTCAAGGTGCCACTGATCATGCCCTCCAACACCGCGGAGGGAGAGAAGTCCTCAGACATGGCTTTGAGCCGAGCTAAACACCGGGGGTATTGCTTCTAGAAGGTAGTTCTCGCTGTGATCGTGAAGGGCGTGAAGGCATATAGGGATGCGGGGTTGCAGCAGGGTATGTATTAAAAGAGTGGGCTGTTGCAACGAGGCATGGGTGGGCGGAGAGTGGGCTTCCAGCGGCGGCTGTGTGGTGTGAGGGTGTAATGAGGCTCAGGAAGAGCAGTTGCGTTGTGCCCGCGAAAGCGCGCGCTCACCGCGCGTCTCACGAGGTCTAACGCCGCGAGGCTCAGCTGCAGGCAGTCCTTACACGCGGGGTCGCGACCAGCGGCCAAGCGACTCAACAACGGTTGCACAAGTCTGTTACATTCGAACGAAGTACACGCTGTTCCATATTGATCACAGTGCTACAGGACAATCAGGAAAAACTACAACATTATACCATACGAAGGACACAGCTATAGAGAAATGTTCTGCTCGTAAAGCGAGAGATATTACAGATGACGGTCGAAGCTAGCAAGGTAATAAGATAGTGAGAAATGGCAAAGATGGAGACAGGTCATTCGGCGCGCACGGTTACCCGGCGTAGAGGACGTGCCGCTCCGTATTGTCTAGCCAATAGCGAAGGTCTTCGTCGCCTTCCAACTCTACGAACGACTCCGACACACTGTCTCGGTATCGCAGCTTCCCTACACGGTTCTGCAGTCGCTCGGACGCCTTGACCATGAGCTGCAAGTGCGTAACACGGGGATGGACGCGGATTGCCACGATTTCCTCCGCGTTCTGCGCAAAAATTTTGATCTTGACGTACGCAATCTGTGGGTTGGATGCAGACACGGGGGGCGCATAGGCAGCGGCGTGCGACTGAGATCGGGAACGACCCGACGTCGATGTCCGCGTAGACTCCGCCTGCGAAGCTCGCCCGGAACCGTTCGTGGGGCCTTGAGAGGATGCGAGCGACGTACGAGACTGGCCATTCTGGTACGAGTCTGACCGCGGGGGTAAGGCGGAGACAGAGGCTTGCGAGTACCTCAAATCGCCATTCTCCCCGCGATCGCTACCATTGGTGTTCCTCGACCTAGGCCGCAGGGGCTGAGTAGTATTGTAGGTGTTGTAATTCTGTTCGGCCGCCAGGTATGGCGATGCCTCGTCAGCGCCGTCGCGGTAGGAGTCACGGTCCTGTGGCGGGGGAACGCCACCGTCATCTTCGTAGTCGGACACGTCGCTCCGGTCGTCCGTAGCACTGGAGACGCGCAACCGGGACATGCGCTCTGTCTGGTAGTCCGCCTCGACATTATCGTAGCCACCCTGATCGACGTATGACGTCCGGAACAGGGCGTCAATCTCCTTCGTCCGAGGTTCGACCTCGACTTCGGCGTCACCGGGCTTCAGAGACAGGAACGTTCGAACAAGGTAATGCTCCAGGAGATACCGGTACTCGTGCCGGAGCTCGCAGAGGTTATGTAAGTACTCGTCGAGTTCCGCTCGTCGCTTATTAGCAACCTCGTTGTCGACTTCGTTTACGGGGCCTGGCATGTAAGGCAGCACACGCGGGCGACCTTCGACTCGCCCCGCCTCTTCGGGATGGGCGTCGAGGAAGTCTACTTGGAAGTCGTAGAAGTCGTTGTAAGATCGGAATAAGACAAGTTGCCTGGCTGGGGGCAACGCTTGGGAACCTGGCGGAGGATAGGGCTGAAAGATGGAGTGTACTCGGTACCAGTACTCCTCCATCTCATAATGGAACGATTTGACGTCGGCGGACAGGAGGATGCCCTCCGGCAGCAACTTCGGCGATGGGGGACGCGGGTCTTGAACAGGGGGCGATGGCTGTCGCGTCAGTTGTGGAAGTGGAGGGAGCGGTGGTTGAACGACAGCAACGGGGGAATTGGAGTTTGAAAAGGCCGACTTCAAGCCCATCGCGGCGGGATCATCTAACACGCCGAGCGAGATGCTGTTCTGCTTGTAAGTCATCATGGCTCTCTTCCATTCCTCGACACGGGGCAGAGCCCCTCCGTCAATGAGGGCCATGGCGTCGCGCACTGGTTGCCCCGTCGCGGGGTCGCGGACCTCGACGAACGAGACAGGGATGAGGCCTGGTCGTCCGAGTCGACCGATCGGCTTCGCCACGAACCATTCTCGGTTTGATTGAGCGACAACGGTGATAGGATCGCCCGCCTTTGCATCCAGTTCGTCAGCACGTTCGGCAGTGAAGTCATGGAGAACGACGGCGTAGAAGGCTTGAGGTTTCACAGGAGGGGCAGCAAAGCCCATAGGTGGGCTGGTCTTGAATGTCGAAGTAGTTGGTGTGCGAGGCCTTCACATACATTAGACTTGAATCTTGCACCCCAAAGGCCGATACACACTCACTTTGGTGTACCCTTCTGGAACTCCTCGAATAGATTGCAAGGGACAAGGCCCCGAGCACCGGTCATTGGGTTGTGGGCTTCGTACCACACTCCCTGGCTGTTCACATCGTTGAGAACATGAAAGAAATCGCCCTTCTCGAAGGACAACTCCTGGGGCGCGGTTGACTTGTAGGAGCCCAGGGCCCTGATAACCTTCTTGGGAGGGAGGATCGCAGTGGGCGGCTTCGACAGAGACGGTAAAGGGGTAGTGATGCGCTGTGGTGGGTCTTTGCTACTATTGAGTGACTTCCGGAGACTTTTCATCATCGAGTCTGGCCGTAAGAAAGCAAATTCGTTAGGGGGACGTGAACAGTGAGCGACGGAAGGCGGAATCGAGGAAGTCGTCGGAGGGTATTATCAGGGAGGCATAAGAAGGCGTTGGTTGAATTTCCCACAATACTCGTCCGGTACAGACAAGTCCAAAAGGGGAAGGTTCATCACCCGCAGCGCTCGCCGCACACGCCTGCACACGCGCCCCGACGTTGTCAAGAACAATAGCCTATCGATGTCGTGTGCCGCTCGCTCTTCCCGGTATGTCACATACCACCACATCGTGTCACTTTGACTATCTACATGCCGAACAAGCGGTAAACCCTGTTTTATCATTTACACTTCGATAAACAATTTCCTGACCAGTTGGCATGCCTTTGTCGTCTTAAAAGCAGTAACTCATGAAGGTCTAAGCAAGGCGGCGATGCGAACGTTCGGTGTCCGTAACGAATGGTTACCGTAGCTTGGAACAGTATTACTAGCATCCCCTGGGCATCAATGTTCAGCCATGATCATGAGGAATATGAGGCTTCTGGTTTGTATCCTAATAATAGCCTACATGAGGCAATACCGCTGCTGCATCATCATGTCCTCAAGCTCTGCGCAGGGCACTGACGAGACAGCTTTTACCCGTGCGATGGATTCCTATGTCACCCCCTACTTCAAGCATACACATATCGCGGAGTCGCCCATATGGCAGGTGTTAAGTCACTTGCTCGTGTGGCGGTGGTCTTGGGTCATTTTGATAAATGGTCGGTCACCGGTCCCGGTCAATGGCGACAGGCTTAACTGATGTAAGGACCGTCGACGGACGTCGTCTCGAACAACACTCGGCCTATTCATAACTTTTCCATGGGCGTCATATTCTCTACAGTACATGTATTTCGGATACTACTACAGATATATGTCAGTTCCTTCAATAAGTTGATATCTCAGCATTACACAGCTTACTACGGTCCTCCGACTGAGTGTTACTTATCCTGCATTATGTATCACTGTTCGTGATTGATTACACGTTCAGGCTGAAAGTGCATTCAGTCATGGTAAATTCACTGTCCTGCACCCCGGGGTCGAATGCAGGGCGGTCGATATAGATGAAAGTGAGCACATAAGCGCAACGAGCGAACCAGTAACACACGTCGGAGTAATGAGACCTGTAGGATTCGGGCGGACGATCGAGAACAAGGATCCGGACATGAGCGCTTGAGCGCTTGAGTTGGTCCGAAACTGGATCTCGCGGAGCGCTTGCCACATTAATTATCACGTGAATGTGTGACACTATGTCACGCGGTGTTCCTCTCACTCGCGCGCCGAGCCACTGCTTGCTCTCCTTTGCACATCCGGCTCCTTGCATATCACCATGGCGGCGAGAAAGCTGCAGAGTGAGTCCTCAGCGGTGGTCACAACTGCATGAAAATGCTGAGACTGTTGCAGCCGAAATTGACCGCACCCTCAAGAAGGTGGCTGAGGGTGTCGAACTCTTCGAAAGTATCTACGACAAGATGCAAGCGTCGACAAACCAGACGCAGAAGGAGAAGCTCGAGACAGACCTGAAGACGCAGATTAAGAAGCTTCAGCGACTGCGAGACCAAATCAAGACATGGGTCGCTAGTAATGACATCAAGGACAAGACGGCGCTGCTCGACAACCGGAGACTAATCGAGACAGTAAGTCCTGCTGCGTTCATTCATACGTCTTGCCTGCGTGCGCTGCTCTCCCCATGTGTGCGCGCACGTGAGAGGCCATGCTTCACACCGCAGTGCTGTCGCTGACTTACTCGTCTGTCCTCTCTGTCATGTCGCACGCGGTGAACAGCAAATGGAGAAGTTCAAGGCATGCGAGAAGGAGATGAAGACGAAAGCGTTCTCGAAGGAGGGGCTGACACAACATGCGAAGCTCGACCCGAAGGCGCAGGAGAAACTGGAGGTCACGCAGTGGATACAGATCCAAGTGGAGGAGCTACTACTGCAGGTCGAGCAAGCGGAGGCAGAGATTGAGACGTTGCAGGGTGGAGGGAAGAAGAAGAACAGGGCAGGAGGGGCAGCTGCTGAGCGGTTGGAGGCCCTCGAACACCTCAATGAACGGAGGAAGTGGCACATCAGTCGACTTGAGCTCATCCTGCGATTGATGGACAACGGCTCTATGCCGACAGAGAGGGTTCTCGGGCTCAAGGAGGACGTGCAATATTTCGTCGAGAGCAATACGGTACGTGTCCTCCTGTGTCTTGCGCAGCATTCCTGATCTTCTTGTATAGGACGAAGACTTCGACGAGGATGAGGGCATCTATGATGAGCTCAATCTTGATGAGGAGGAAGAGAAGTTCGGTCTGGCAAACGATGAGGATAGTGATGAGTCTGAAGATGCTAGCGACGGTACGTGGTCGCGTGTATTCCCATTCCGGAGTTTGACGACAAGCGCATGCAGACTTGCCTCCACGGACACCAAACAAGAACATGATGAGGAGAGCGTAGCGAGTAGTAATAAACGTGATGGGAGTCCCGTGCTGAAGAAAGCAACTGCAACGCTGCAGCTACGCAGTACGTTGACCGTTCTTTGGACTGGATTTCGGTGCTAACCCTCCGCAGAGCCTTCGATAACAGGCGAAGCGTCGTCACCAGCCGCGCGTAAAAACACATTCGACTCTACTGCAACAGTGAAGCCGCCAAACGCGAACTTCGCTGCACAACCCATGGCAAGTATTCTGAAGGCGGGGCTACCCCCACAGCAACGGCCGGCGCCTCTCCCAGTCCGCTACGCGGCTGCGGCGGCAGCAGCTGTTGCGCCATCACTGCCCACACAACAGTCAACGGCTCAGTCACCACAAACACCAACAACGGCAACGATACCATCTACATCCACCCAGCCTTCAGCACCAACGGCACCATCAATATCGTCGACAACAGCCACCTCGTCACTTACGCCAGATCAGGTCTCCGCCGTGACTTCCTCGCCAAGCTTGACACATCCGTCAGTCGCAAGCCCGATGTTGTCGTCTGCGGCGTCGGTATCCGTACAACATGCAGACAGCTACTCAGACTCTCCAGCGCTGTCTGATGCACCACCAAGCTCGATCAGCGGTCCTGCGGCGACGTCATCACCGCAGCGCATACAACGCAAAGGTCAGTGACCGGACGCCATGGGAATATTAACCTTCGTTGAACTGATCCTTCTCAGCTTCAACATATTCACCGACAGCCGTGCAAGCTTTGGCATCTGTAGTAGTAAGTCTGTTGCATTTTCAGATTATCGAAGGGGTTCTCACAGTCCGCGTAGCAGTCACCAACAGAAGCGCACGCACCGCCACAATCCCTAGCGAACGGCGCATCACCAGCAGGACCGAGCGCATCCCAACAGCTTTCTGCAGGCCCTTCGCCAATGCCTCAGCAAGCACAAGCATACCCTGGCTCCTCAGCACCCGCGGTAAACGCGCAATCGAGTGGCTCGTCACCATTGCCACCAACGCAGCTGCCACAATACCCACCTGGTGTCAAGGCGCCCGGTGCGGGTCTTGCAGCCGACCACGACCACAGCGTACCGCCAGGCGTCGCACCACAGCAGTTGAACCTGGGCGCGCAGAGACCCGGCTCGACGGTGCCCTCGCAGATGCCACAGCAGGCGCCACAGACGCGGCCGAATGCATTCCCTGGATCGCTATCGGATCTGGTGGTGTCCTTCGAGACTGTGAAACAAAAGGGTGCGTGGTGTACTTGTGGCACAAAGGACGGGTGGGACGGTGAGCTGATATATATGATGCGTCTGCAGCGCCCCATCGGATGTCGAACCTCGACCAGGTACACAAGCTTCTGCAGGGCAGCTACTCCAGCATGCCGCAGCCGCAAGACACTGAGAAGTGCGTGGATGGTTGAGTGTGTGCTGGGTGCGGCTGCTGACGTGCGCGATGTGATGCAGGCCGAAGTATTACGTGCCGAGGAACCCCATCCAGACACCAGCGTACTACCCGCAGACACCCAACCCGATCCTGAACACGGCGGGTATCTTCTCTCAGCTGGACGTCGAGACGCTCTTCTATGTGTTCTACTACCTCCCGGGCACATACCAACAGTACGTGGTGCCTCCTTTTGGTGGCTGTTTTCTGAACGGACTGACCCCTGCCTTGCAGGTACCTCGCGGCCAAGGAGCTGAAGAGACAGTCATGGCGTTTTCACGTCAAGTACCTGACATGGTTCCAACGACACTCAGAGCCTCAGGCGATTACTGAGGAGTACGAGCAGGGTGTCTACGTTTACTTCGACTGGGAAGGTTCTTGGTGTCAGCGCAAGAAGAGCGACTTCCGCTTCGAGTACCGATATCTGTCGGAAGACTGAGCTATCGATCCTTACTGTACCATCCGCATAGCGCGTCCTCTTTTTCTGCGACCTTACTCCGTATCTCGACGCTTTCCTTTTTATGAATTTATCTCCCGCGTTGCGCGTGCCGCTGTGGCACACATCTGTAGTATACTGTCATCGCGACTTGCAGAGGACCATGCAATACCGTCAGATCGTCTCAATACTAGTAAGCAAGCATCGCGGAAACCCCCGGGAGGGCTCGTCGTCATCGACGAGTCCTGTGCAGACCTTCTCGTGGTCCGGGGGTAAGTAGTCTCTACGAGACGAAACGAACATGCACTTTAAGGGCCCGGAAGCCACACCAGCTCCGATGCCCAGGGCCCACCATAGCCCACATCTGCCAATACCCAAGGCAATCCACCCACATCCGGGTACCCGTAGCGGGAAGGAATAAACCACATTCCACATAGAACCATGTCATTCTGACCCAGACCGGGTAGAGAAATCCCAACACCGTCCTCAACAAGAAAACACCTCCACGACGCGATAGGACCCTACGACGACGACGATAGAGCGTCTAAATGAGCGCCAAACCACGCCAATCGGCGCCAAAAAGGGACACAAAACTTTAGAGTTTGCCAACCGGGAAATGCCAAAAAACTATATAGATCACGAGCACAGTCATCCCGTGACTAAGAAGAGCAAATCCCGCCTAAAGCACGTGAATAGCCGGGACAGCCCGAACCACGTGAATGAGTATACAGTCGCTGGCCCTCCCCATCGAAATGGAGACAAAACAACCATGTACATACGCGCTCTATGGAACCATGCCTTTCCCACTGGGAACTAGACTACATGCCTATGCAACATGAACAGAACAAACGCCCAAGAAGCCATAAACGTAATCACAAAACGCCACAACCGCCCAGGAAGAAACGCCCAATAAATCGGTTAAAAAGCCTACACACTGGCCCAGACAGCCCAAACGCTCTCCTACAACACACCAGCCCTAGGACGCTGCACCCAACACACCGACAATGGCCCAAACGCCACACAATGGAGACGCACCACCTCCCAACCAAAAACGGAAACGACAACAACCCACGCCTCCCATCACTCCCCTACCCCAACTCATTATCCCACTCTCACACCTCCCGATAATTGACGTCGAGGTTACCGAACAGCCAACGATGGAGGAGAGAAACGGTCTAACATGGATCGTCAAGGACCGCCCACTAAAACAGCTGGCGAAGCAACAGCTCATCCGCCTCTGCACCGACTCACAGCGATCCGGAGTCGGAAGGCTGTCACAGATCGTGACGCTCAGGCGTCACTGGATCACGTTCGCCATCTCGGGCGCCCGATCCTATTGCACGTTACGCGTCCCTGTCCCATGGGTCGCCCTAGACAACATCGAAGGTAGATCACACGCCTCGACCTACGCCACGCTACCAAACCTCCCGCGCCCCCACCCCAGCTTCCGCCACCTCCCCTCATTCCGAAACGATGGCGAGAACCCATACGAATTCGACATCGAGGAAGAAGAGCTCGAGGAGCTAGACCGCCGCCTACGAAGGATCGCGAATGACGAGGAGCTAGATGCCGGAAAGGAGGGCGAAAAGATCGGAAAGTAGGAGGACCGGATGCAGTTGACTACCAGGAACGTACCAGTAACTCCCTAAACTAGACCATTTGAACCCAACGCCGCACGTCATCACGACATACAAAGCAGGCCTCGTAAGAGACTGCGAACCAAAACCCGACAACCGCCCAGGCACGGGGCCCGCCGTACTCGCCGAGTGACAGGTGCGCCTTTCTTGACAACGCCACTGCGCGCATCTCGCGATTAACAGCCCTACGACCGCCCAAAAGCCGAGATGAAACGCCCGCCCAAAAGCTCCATGCCATGTCAATGTCAAACCACATCCCCGAGCTCACCGCACGTCAAAAATGTCACGAACATGGCGACGACGTGGCCAAAAAGAAAAGAAACCGGAGACAAAATCGGTGAATTCCAAGATCCCATCTCAGCCGGCCGCGCGTGCCGACCACAGAACAATAACCAAAGAAGAATTGAGAACAATCTGCAACTGCGAGGAACCATAACACTCCGGATGCCGCCTCTACTCAACGAACGGCGGAATGAAACAAATCCAAAGATCAAACGGAGATCCACCGGAATACTACGCTCCTGTGAGTCTTTATTCCCCCCAAAATCAAAGCGCCGAACGACCAGTTCCGAGCACGCAGACACCCCAGCCTCATGAACGTGACAATGAATATGCCAGGCCGCGGCCCATAGCCGAGCAGGACTCGCACGAGAAACGCGCACCTGTGCCAGTCCCCCGTTCTGGAGACGCCAATTTAAAAAACCTACCAGCCGCCAAACCGCACGGCACTGTTACCACCCCAGGAAACAGACCAGAACGATGCCTGCGAACAAGAAAAACTCGAACCCGAACCCCACAGCGTCGAACGTGAGTACAAAAACATATTACGCCAGCCTCCCTCTCACACAGCAATGCAACAGTGTACCCCAAACCGTGGCGTAGTGATACAGGGAAGAGGAATATCTCCCTCGCCGTCCAAAAACCCATGGAATGCGACTATGACGGCGGATGGCCGCTGGTCTCCTTGTACGTCCGCCATCAGCCATTGATAGCCCATAACCTAAAAAGACCCGCAGCGTACGCGGAAGTCGTATCCCGCAGCGTGTCCCCCACGCTCACAAGCCTACCCGCAATGGTGGCCCAGCGATCGACGAGCGTGACGGAAGCAGCTCCGATGCCACAGACCCCGGTCCTCCGCCCCGCTCAAGCGACCGACGACATCCCGCATCTTAGCCTACCCCCAGCCTCCACGGCTCAAGCCGACGCCGCACCCGCCATAGTCCAGCCCTCGGCGGAGGCATCCGCGGTGAGCTACGTCGACCGCCCTCCCGCATCCTCGCCAGGGAGCCCTCTCGCCCTCGCCGTCCAGAGAAAAAAGGATAAAGGCAAACGTAAGGCCAGCGCAAAGAAATCCGCGCAGCGCACCGCGGTAGCCTCCATCGGCGTAGGCCCTCCGCCCACCATCCCGACCCAGGAGGAGCGCACGCCGAGCGAAGCCCGAAAGCGCCGTAGAGTCACTGACGACAACGGGGACGAAGCGAGCATCGGTGAGCCGACCCGATCCCAACCGTCCCCGACCTCCACACGTCGCCTCGAAGAAACAGTGGCTGCAGCTGCGGTGGAAGATGCCTCCGCGACGGACCAAGCCGACATCAGGAAAAAACGCCCGTGTCCCCAAGTGGTTGTGGAGACAAGAAAACCGGTTGTATAGTAATTTGGCCAGCTCTCGAGCTGTGATAGGCGCTGTCGTCTCGGCAAGACAAGTCCTTCGATTTCAAGTGCGTTGTATTGGACCTGTCGGATCTCAAAGACATTGTGAATCCCCAAAATCCCTTGGAGAGCTCGCTCAATCAAACCAGGTATGTACTCTCGAGAGCTCTCAGCTAGGTTTCACTCACTCTAGAATCACTTTTCACGGTCATTACTTTCGTATGCCAAACCTGGCAGCCCAGCAGTCATTATAGATGACCCGTTTCAAGCTTGTTGGTCGCATCAATGATCCTATTGATCATTGTAGTACATGCACAGCACGTACAAATGCCTACACCTAATAATACAACACCTAGATAGTACTAACGAGACGGTAGAGACGAGCAGTGAGATGTGAGTGAGCTACAGGTACCAGGTCAGATGGCTAACACGGCTCGGGTATTCTTCCGTACAGAACAGATCAACTAACTCGGCACGGTGTCAATCCCACATGGAAGCGATATTGCGAGGCTGCGACCACTCACCTTATGTCCCGACGACCTCTTACTTGGTC